GAAGGTCATGAACAGCCTGCAATGGTCCTTCGTACGGCCGAAGTGCAAGGCGAACTGCATGCTTCAACCGGTACAGAGGTTACACGTGTAACAACAGGAGTCCTTGACCAACCGGTTCCTTCTTGGCCTTGGTGGCTTTACTTGACTCTATATACAATTAGTCTACCAATCTTAACCGCCTAGGTCTTATTAGCTTGTTTTATGAAGCGGAGTCTCTATAACCTCATTTTCAATATTGGCTGTATGTCTCTGAAGATTATCAACAGCCTGCAATGGCTTTTCGTACGGCCGAAGCGCAAGGCGTACTGCATGTTCAGTTTGTACGTGTGTAACAATATTGCTGGTCTTTGCGGGTTTGCGAAGGATTAGCCAAATGTATAATTATAGAGTTAAGGTCGGCCACTAAGGTAAGAATGAAAGGGTCCGAATAGACAACATAGACCTCGGCAGCCATAATATCATATGTTTATATTCTAAAAAGCCTTTAAGCATTGCGGCTAGCCCTTGTTATATCATACAAGATGTAAGGGGTGCATCAGACTGAACAAGGGAGTGAAACAGATTTCTCACTCTTTATCTGTTACTTTTTGCTTTATATTCATCTTCAACGCAACACATCTGTACCAAGGATCAGGGACAGGCTAGGGATCACGCGTGTGCTCTTTTTGGAAGCAACTCTGCATTTGACAAGATTCTAAACTATCTGACAGTGCCTATCCTACACCCCTAATTTACATGTATGAGAAATTGTTTGTACATAGCATAGATGCTATCGAGCTGTTACAGGTCAGGCTGATTTAATTGAGTAAACGGCCTTACTGATTGAACTTGACCTATCGAGATATTTCGGACGAGAGCCGGAATCTCTGTGCTAGGCTGGGTAACTAACTGAGCACTAGTAGCAACAACGGCTAGGGTACCGATAGGAAGTGAGAACCCTTCCCTTTTTAGGCTCATGATAGTTGATAAATCAGTTTTACACATAACTTTGAACTAACTAGCCCGTTACACGAGTAATGTTTGAAGACAATGCTCCGTACCTAGGTAGCCATTGATTCAAGCAAGTCCTACCAGCCCGGGACAAGCCCGGAGATCTTTCCCCACTGCACGGCCAGGCCCTCGATTACACACGGGCCAACTCAGTACCAAGATATCTTCCCCGCAGTACCACCCACGATGGCGTTATTTCTTACGCAACGCTTGCATAAGTAACCCGGTTTAGCCGATGGAAGGCAGTGTTTGATGATAGGTAACGGCAGATACACCGGGACCCCATCCAAGATGCTTATCACCAGTGGAGTATCTGCCGGAGGGGACACGGCGTTTATGCCGTGTCGGAGCTGAATAGTAATTCTCTTGTAGGATAGGTTAATCTTTTATATATAACACTGTGACCTAAAGGGTTCTTGATTGTCGTTTCTTGTAGTCAGCGCATAAATCTAGTAACTCGATAACCTTAATACAATGTCGTCTCTTCATCCTCTTATTGGCTCGGGCTACAAGGGCAGCCCCAATCACGCGGGTGGCAAGCTCTATTGCCACTGTAAGCAGAACCCCGTCGAGGTTACCCTATCATCAGACGTAGCCTTCAACCACGCCTGTGGCTGTTCCAAGTGCTGGAAGCCCGCAGACGCTCTGTTCAGCGTTGTCGGCGTCGTCCCCGTTGAGAAGTTGGCTATCACCGCCAACGAATCGAAGCTACACATCATCGACCCTAACGCCGCTATCCAACGAAACGCCTGCAAGGAGTGCGGAGTCCACTTGTTCGGTCGCATCGTGGTCGATCACCCATTCAAAGGTCTCGACTTCGTCCACACGGAACTCAGCAAAGGGGCTGGCAAGGATGGATGGCAAGAGCCTCAGTTTGCCGGATTTGTGAGCAGCATCATTGAGCAAGGCGTTGATCCGGACAAGATGTCCGAAGTGAGAGACGGATTCAAGAAAGCGGGACTTGAGACCTACGATTGCCTATCACCAGCGTTAATGGACCTCATCGCTACTTTCACGGCTAAGAAACTTGGAACCTACAAGGCAAAAATGTAAAATAGGAAAACACGGAATGATAGCTTTTTTCAACTATTTAATCAATGGTTAGTGCAGAAAGGAGTAAAATAATTCAAAAAAAAGTTCTTTCCTTATTTTATGTGTTAGGTTAGGATATTCTGAACGGCTTTGTTATCAGCAGAGTGGGAATGAGGTCTATGATTATTAGTAAATCATTGATTGTCTCTATCCTGAGGAGAGAGTTGTTACACGCTTACAAGTTGTACTAGCTGAATATGCAGTTCGCCTTGAAAGGCCATTGCAGGCTGTTAGTAATCTTTAGAGACATACAGCCAATATTGAAAATGAGGTTATACAGACTCCGCTTCATAAAGCAAGCTAACAAGACCTAGGCGGTCAAGATTGGTAGACTAATGGTGTATAGAGTCAAGTAAAGCCATCAAGGCCAAGATGGAACTGGTTGGAAGGACTCCTGCAGCCTTAGTTGATCATTATATTGTGAATAGCATCAAGTTCCAAGCCCAGATCTCTGCCCTCGTTATAAGAGTAAAGTTCACGGTAGTCTGTAAAAAGGGTAACAGGTTCATTGTCAGACTTTGAATTTATCTCTGTAGACGCTCCATGCTAAAGGCTTGATCATTTGGCGGGTAATAGTACATGTCATTAGGTGATTGCACATGAAGCTCAAAAAATAATCGTTTGAAGTATAATAATATACTGTCATTATCATAGTTTATACCAGCGCAATTAAAAACCTGAAAGCAAGACTCCTCCATCCGTTATGAAACATCATAATCAACATGCAATGCTATAGAGACCAGTATGCGTTGAGAAGTAACTCCCAAAATGCCGTACCCAAAATCCAATCCATTTCAATATCAAACCATTAAAGCCTTGTCTTCATGAAAGAGGATCGCGTATGAACTACCCACGGAGGCGAGTCATCTTGGGATCATAGAGCGGCTCTGGAGTAACAGTAGCCTTGACTCGCTGACCGAAGTACTCAATCTCAACAGCATCTCCCTCGTTGACGGTGGCAGGAAGCCAGGCATAAGCAATGGGTTTTCCAATTGTGAACCCGAATGCTGCACTGGTGACGTACCCCTTGGCCTGGCCATCAACAAACACCGGCTCCTTGCCTAGCACAACGGACTTTCCATCATCGACGGTGAGACAGCGCAGTTTCCGAGTAACTGTCTTCTTGGAACGTCCAAAGAGCGCAGTCTTTCCCACGAAGGACTTATCTAGCTTGAGCGCGAAGTCAAGACCAGACTCATATGGGTCGTGCTCGGTGGTCATGTCGGTACCCCAAAGCCGGAACCCCTTTTCCAGTCGCAGGGAGTTGAACGCGGTGCGTCCGGCGGCAATGATGCCGTGGGGCTGTCCGGCTTTCCAGATCGCATCCCATAGGCGTTGGCCATTGTCGGCGCTCGTGTAGAGTTCCCAACCTAGCTCTCCGACGTATGACAATCTCAGAGCTCGGACTGGGATGCCGGCTATACTGGCATACTTGCAGCGGAAGTACGTGAGTCCCTTGTTGGAAAAGTCGTCAGCGGTCACTGCGGTGATGACTTCCCTTGCGAGAGGGCCCCAGAGACCGATACAGCATGTGCCACCTGTTATGTCGCGGACATGCACACCTCTTTCAGGGGTTCGCTTAGTTTGGAGGCGAGCCTCTCGAGTGAAGTATGCAGTATCGACAGGTCCGTTCACACCAACCTGGTATATTTCCTCGGCGATTCTGGCGACTGTTATGTCACTGCGGACACCACCTTGGTCGTCCAGGAGCAACGTGTAAGTAACAGCACCCGGCTTCCTAGCGACGGTACCTGTGGTCAACCGCATGAGCAGATCGACAGCGCCCGGACCGGTGATCTCAAGGCGCCGAAGCGGCGTCATATCGTACATGGCCACGGCTGTGCGTGTCTTCCAAGCCTCAGCAGCTGCGATGGGTGAATAATACTTCGCAGACCAGGCATCTCGCTCGACAGGTTGCCACTCAGGAGGCAAGTCATTAAGGAGCTTCGCGTTCTCCTCGTACCAGAACGGGCGCTCCCAACCGCCGCCTTCAAGGAAGTAAGCGCCGAGCTCGCGCTGACGCATGTAAAAGGGGCTAACCCGCATGCAGCGAGGGGAGTCGCGCGGTTGCAAGGGGTGAAGGATGTCGTAAATCTCTACAAAGTTTTGCTGTGATGTCTCGCTAACGAAATCAGGGGTGAGCTGGACATCTTCGAAGCGTGCCAGCTCGCACTCTCCCAAGTCAATCTTGGACTTGCCCTCTGTGAGCACCTCGGCTAGGGCACGGGCTACACCTGCTGAATGTGTCACCCATACGGCCTCTGCGACATAGAATCCGTCGACGTTAGGCGCCTGGCCGACGAGTGGTCCGCCGTCGGGTGTGAATGAGAAGATACCGTCGAAGCCGTCGGCGATCTCGCATTTTTGCAAAGCGGGCAAGATCTCTTGGGATAGCTTCCAAGCTGGTGCGAAGTCCTCTGTGCTGAATTCGAGACGGGATGGCATGTTCTTTTCGTCTACTTTGCTAGGGGTTGCGCCTAGCGAGGCTGCGACGACCGGCATAGGACGGTGGCCGTAGTAGCCGATACCATATTGTGTGCCGTGCTCACGGTAATACAGGTCTTGATCCTGATATCTTAAGATTGGCAACGTCGCTGCGTTCGGATCGACCGGAGCATCTCCGTTCGTTGTGTGACCATTCGTCAAGTTCCCATTTGTCAAGGGTTCACCATTTGTTTGCTCACTGGGAGGGGTTTCGGGAGTTATGGGCGTGGTCTTGACGTATTGGTGTGCCATTGGCAATAAGGGGATGGGCACGCCAACCATGGCACCGACCTCGACTCCCCAGAAGCCGGCACAGGAGATGACGATATCGGCGGGAATAGTACCGCTTGGTGTCACGACTCCAGTGACGCGGTTATTCACCTTTTCAATTCCGGTGACAGGAGTCAATTCAAGGTAGCGGACACCGGCATCTTTCGTACGCTTGATGAGTACCTGGACTGCGCGAGCGGCTAGCGCAAGGCCATCACTGGGGATGTGTAGACCACCGATAATTAACCCATTGGTGGTTAAAGCAGGGTAAAGACTCAAGCACTCCTCCGCACTGATTATTCTCGCGTCGATTCCATATGAATGGGCATAGCCTTGCTTCCGCTTGAGTTCCTCGAGTCTTTCTGGCGTTGTGGCGACTTCGAGACCTCCAACTTGGTTGAAGCAACTTTGCCCGCCACTTTTCAGAGATAGGAGCTTCTCCACGGTGTAGCGGGCAAATAGGGTCATTGTCTTTGAGGGGTTTGTCTGGAATACCAGACCCGGGGCATGGGATGTAGAGCCGCCGGGCATGTCTAGAGGGCCTTGCTCGACAATGGTGATGTCGGACCAGCCGCGCGAGACAAGCTCGTCAGCGACATTGGTGCCGACGATGCCAGCGCCGATGATGACAACACGGGGTTTGGAGGTCATGATGGAGGTTTGTCCTTCAATGCAGTCGGTGTTGTCGGAATACAATGAATGTCCATTTGTGCTACTGAGCTATCTTCTATATACTTCATCATGATCATCTATCAACACAATATCAGATTGCTTCTCCTTCATCGGCCACCACATGTGATCACGAGATGGTTGTACCTAAGCAATCTAGATCCAGTAGTTGAGAGATAGGAGACCGTGGAAGCCGATCACGTGATCGGCCCAGGACCACAATTCCCTTGGCCATTCTCGTGTGGACGACGTAGTTTCTGTTTTTAGGTCAATGACTATGTGGCGCTTTAGATAATGGTGCGTCATAATATGAATATCTACGGGTATCTACGGGGTATCTGGAGCACGATAGTGGTATCACGACCTCGATCAGGCAGAGGGCCATGCTTTGACAGGTCTTCCTTAGTCACATACTTCGGGAGAGATCGTCCCATCGTCGCGGAGAACGAGGTCGCATCGTGGCACATGTGCTAACAGGATTTCAAATGCGTTGCGCCTTGTTTTACGAATGGCTGCAGGAACTCTAGTGATGGTTCTCCGATTTCTGGTAACCGTCAGGATGCCTCTCTAGTCAGCGGCTGGATACGATGCAACGTACACTTTCACCTCACGCCAAGACATAGAACATGCAGGGTCTAGTTGCCTCACACAAAGTCTGGAGAAAGGGGCGGAGTTAACTGGCTTATCGGGATGCCAGGGTTAGGGTTGCCTCTTTCGGATGATTACAAACGATCAACTCATTACTCCAATGTTGGTTGGCTGGCGGATAGCGTAGGACGAAACGCAACGGTGCCGAGACACTTCTCTGTTATGGGTACATGATCGGCATTCGGTATCCTGCATACTCCACTGTTCAAGGTTAGCTGTAGTAGTCAGGACAGAAGTCAGGAGATATCAATCGTTAGGGCGGCGTTGTGTTTATCCTGAACCTGGTATACAGCTGGTAGGCCGGGGAAGAACTCCGTGTCTCTCACGCGTATGTTGTCCCGGCTGTCTTGGCGAATGCCGAATCGCGACTCTGATTTCACAGTTGAGACCATCGCATTGCCGATTAGTGTATTGGAGTATATGTAGGTGCTGGACATGAACCAATGGGCTCCCAAGAGATTCATCGTGGTTGTTGGCGATCAGGCATCGAGCCTGCAACAGTCTTATCCATTCAATGAAATACGAACGCTAACGCTAGAATTGACTAAATTGTACATTACTCAGAGCCCCCCCCTCCCACCAAGGTGTACCTCCTGTATCGGCAGATTGAGTATCGAGCCAACCTAAGTCTCCTAAGCCAACGAACTGTGAGGGGTCTGCATACAGCCATGGTGTAGTATTGAATGTGAGATTGTCGCTTGGCTCAAGAGGTGCCTCGTTCCAGACGGGCTGCCCCGAGGCTTCAGGTTGATTTGAATTGACGTGAGCCCGGCGGGATATCGAAGGCGCATCCTGTCCACCGCTAGCAGTATCTATCTTAATCTCTGGTGATGTGGCGACGTCGATCTCTAGCGTAGAGTTCTCGCCTAGATCCTCCTCTGGGATGCTGGGGGCGATAGAGGGGTGTAACAAGTCTACGGTGGGAATGCCCTTACAGTCTGCAACACAGTTGAATTGAAGAATATCCCACATCAGGGGCACGCTGAGATAGAGCTTGGATGGAATCCACTCGTCCATGTCCATGTTCTGATACCCACCGGCGATCCGTGTCAATGTATCTAAGTTGCGGTCCTGGGAGCTATTAGCGCGTGCCCTTTGGCTCTTTCAGATGACATACCAAAGCAGCACAAGCTGGCGAAAAGGGTAAGAATCCCTTGAGAAATCGCCTGCATTTCGCAAAGTCCGCCTTGGACTTCTGCTTGAGCCCAGCAGCGGCAGCGCAACAGTAGTACAGGTGTACAGTCGCAGCGATTGCTGCTACGTGCCCTAAAAAAGGATCAACCAATTGTACTTGCTTGTCTACAATCATGTCAATCATGCGGACAATCCAAGTAGCATGAAGTAGTGCAAGCTCAGATGATCGCTTCCAAAAGGTGTTTGGAATCGCCAAGTTCGGATTGTGCTGGGCCCCGACGATATAAAGAAACGGGTGGTTCAACACTGTAGGTATGACATGGTAAGTGAACTGCTCCTTCAGCCACGGAGCCCAGTAGTCGTGGTTTCGTCTCAATTCCTCAACTGTGCGCGCATAGAACTTGACCGAGTCATATCTGTGGCACATAGGGATCCTGTTTTCAGTTTCCATAAAATCAGACTGCACCACAGCGTATGTTGAATCATGTCTCCAAGGCTCTTTCAATATGTTGTGGGCACAATCGGATACAAACTTCCTCACGCGGCTCCAAACCCATCCTAGATGGATACCTGTGTTCCATATACCAGGTTCCGAAGAGTCTGAAGACCTATGCTTCTCGGTTGGTAGTGAGGGCTTTGTCGAGTGTAGTTCTGAAAGCAGCATCTGGCCCCCGCTAGCTGATGAATAAGAAGATGGCCTAACATCAGTGGGAACACTGGGGAGACCGGTTTGACGACCGTAAAACTGCTCCAGAAGCTGGAGACTCCAGAAAAGCCTCCTCTTCCTCTCCGTGGTCGGATCTTCAGTAGTGTAAGCCGATTCGAGATCAAGCATAGCTGAGCGACACAGTTGGAGGGCCAGACCAACGTGGAACTGGCCGAGATCAATATTACCATCTGTATTTCATGTTAGATTATAGCCTTGTTAGATTCTCAAAGTTAAGCCATGCCTAAGAAAAAAGAATAGGAAAGTAAGCACAGGCTCTCGATCGTCTCTAGGACCACTGTGCCATTGGCAATGCGAAGCATGATCAGCGGCCTGACATTATGACCATAGAGCTGTAACTGCTCACGCTTGTTGGAGAAGCGTGCAGTCAAACAGATTATGCTGCAGACAAGTTCGTGTGGAAGCGAGCTATAGTTATTAATCTCATCGCGCTCGAAGCACCAAATTGGTTGTCTGTGACAATATCTGAAGTAAAGGTGAACCCCGGTGGCGATATCCGCCGTGCCGGGGCGCGTATCTGAACTTTCGGAATCGGACAGAGCAGTTGTAACATTACCGTCAGGGTAACTCCGACGCTCAGGTGCTGAGGCTGGAGTATCACCCGCATCCGAATCTTCAACGTCGTTTTCTGTTTGTTGTTCTTGGGGTGTTCGTTGTGGGTATTCCGGCCTGGATAAGTAGTTAGAGAGCTGAGACCCGAACAGGCGTTCAAACACTGGAAATCTATACAATCGTCCTTTCAGAATTAAATCTAGTTTCTCTTCCAAGGTTGCTAGTCTTTCCTCCTGCCAAGTGTCAAGGGAGGTTCATCAAGTAGGGTAGTGCCGCATGTAATACCGATGGGCCGCCACGTGGGGAAGACTTCATCAATGGGGAATAAGAACAGGTTTGCTTGAGGCGAGAGCAACTGGAACAAGCTGGCTTTTCGCCGGGACATCGCGTCTTTTTCCGCCTTCATCAGAATCAGCAAGTGAAGCGCTTAGAGGGCAGTAACAAGGGAACAAGAAGGGCAACTCAGCACAGACCTGCACGGAAGGCAGGCATGGTGTGAACGTCGTCTGCCACGAGAACTCGTGCTTTCGCCCGGCGGCGTCATCAAGCCAAGACAACTCTCTGAAGAGGTCGGTAGCAGTATGAAACCACCTGTGATATGATACGATGTTCGCGGCCTTGCAGAGGAACTGACGTTAGCTACAAATAGATGATTGTAGACTATAACTGTGTCATTTGGCGTGTGCGGGGCGATTTAGTCTCTACACGGATCCATCTTATGGTCTAGACCAAGAGCGCTGCTTTATTATCGAGCGGAGGATTGGCCGGTCTTGTGACTGGCGTCGGGTAACATCGCTCTCCGGGCGTTCGAAACCAGAAATATGAGCTTGAACACTGCCCGTTTTGAGATGCGGCCGCATTCACGTGGGCACTTATAGCAAGGCCATGGTCTACCCCTGACCACGCTCGCGCTAGAACATAGCGCCGACACTAGCAGCTATTACGTCCTGCTTACATTAACTATGCGCCTCTCTATCTCTTTCTCTTTTCCCATATTCAGATGCAGCGTAGACTATCGCCGAAGCCGGTGATAAGGCGTCCCAGGAGGGAAATGGCCCAGGTATTCGAGATATAGGTATACTATGTATAGCGTTGCAAGCATCTTAACGATCGCCTCTAACGCTGCTTTAGGACCGCGTTATCGTTCACTGTACATACCAAGCTCTGGACCCTTGATAAGTACTTTATACCCGCTTCGGCAAACCCATCATGTCGGGAAAGCTAGTTACGTGTCACAACAGATGCTGTCAAACGCGATCGATGTTATCTTGCCCATCAATATGCTCCGATATAGGGAGGGGTTGGCTGACGCCGATCCGATAATAGGCAAGCTTTCGTACACACATGAAGTGACCGGCTTCGAAGACGGTTATAATTATGATAGGCTTGCAATATTATGTGGTGGGTAAGGTGACGTATCTATTCATCCCACCAATCCTCACATTGTGACTTTTACGAGAGGTAGGAAATACACATATTTTGGAGACAAGTTTCAATTCAATGCTATGAATGCCCTAAACAATGCGCCATACCAGAAATCGTAACAAGAATACAAGATAAAACAACAACACATTAGATCATTCCCATTAATGCAATATTTTCCTCCCTGAGTAGATACAGTACTACCTTAGACTCCCGTTATGCAAGGAAAAGACCATGGGTGCACTAAGGACCCGCGGGCGATCATTAGGCGACTGGTAATCACCAGTCGAGCTCCTTTTTCGAGCTTGCGCAATCAATTGATGCGCAGAACTCCATATCTTGCTCGCTGACCTTGGCATCGCCTGGGAGCTTCTGTTGCGCAGGCCAGATCTTCTTACCGGCCTTCTTCTCTTGCTTGTGATGGTCTGTGACGAGATCACGGACCAACTTCTGGAAGAAGAGAGGGCCTTGTTCCATCTTCGGGTGCATCTCACCGTTGACGAATACACCGGCTTGGATATTCTTGTTCGCGTTGGCACATAGGTACTTGTCTTCCGACATTACCCGCTTGTAAATGTCACTGATCACTGTGAAGTCTTCATCGGATGAATCCTTGTTTCGGTAGACCTCGTAGTACATGATCGATGTGGTTGGGCTCTTGGGGATAAATCTTTGGATGAAGAAGAAGTGAGGCCTAGATATGGGTTAGTGATGTGGTCTATCCCAATGCAACAATTATTATACTTACGAGACGTTCATTGAGGCATTGGGGAAGTAGAATGTAGCTGCCAAATTGAAACCCGCTTTGATTTGCTCAGGTGTTGGATTGCCAAGATGCTGAACATATGAGTTCTCCGTGACCACACCGTAAGCATCGAGATTGGCAACGGTGGGAATATCGGGGTGCGTAGTCGGGCAGTGGTAGCACTCGTTGTAGTTGTCTCCCAGAAGTTTCCAGTTATATTCACCCTCCATCTGCCAGGTGTGGTCGAAAACATAATTTTCAAAGTTGTAAGCCTCGAATCTGGCCTGCTTGTCGATGTTCTTGTAGTCCTTCTCCCATGGGATCGTAGGCTTCTCTGTGGCCTCCATGTTCACCCAGACGAATCCGTTGGTATCAACGTGGACATGGATAGGAAAGAGACTGTTCTTGCTCTTGTCAAAACCTTCCATGTCTTGATACGATGGCGCCTTAGTGAGTTTGCCGTTGAGAGCATAGGACCAGTTGTGGTACTTGCAAGCGAGGACACTGTTGTTGCCTCCCTCAGTTGTGACGACTGGGAACGCTCGGTGTCTGCAGATGTTGTGGAATGCATTAATCACTCCGTGGCGGTCCTTGGCGATAACAAAGTCGAAGCCGGCTACCTGGTATCGTAACCAGTCTCCAGGGTTGGGAAGTCTTGTTTTGTGTGTCGTAAGAAGCCATTTCTTTGAGAAGATTGCTCGTCTCTCGAGATCAAACATCTCTTGTGATTGATACCATGAGCTCGGCAGAGCCCTTACGGTCTTGTTCTTTTCATCCTTGGTCTTGGAAATCCATCCTAGACTAGCGAATCTTGACAAGTATGAAAGGGCTATGGCAACTAATGACGCCGATAGCGTCAGAAGGAGAATTTGAGGCGAGTAGTAAATCGAGAGTTCAGCCATAGTGAATTATGCTTGATCACTTATGTGTAAGTGGTTGTAGAATGGAAGCATACACAAGGGATGTGTGATACACTACATCATGGCGGTCATTCTCTTTTTTATTATACGACCTCCCCCCTCTCATTGCTATCAGCGTCGGGCTACTATACATTATGGCCGGTCCTATCTGATCCCACCGTCCCGGACCATACTAAACACGATTGTGACGATGTACAATCTCTGATAGCATATCTAGACGCGGTCGAGACATCGGTCACATGACCGGGTCTCGATCGATTGAAAAGCTGCGGTGGAGGTACTCCGAGATACGATCACGTGATCGGCATTCAGAAGGACGGCTGCCATCCATTCCACTACTTTGTGTGGAACTGCACATACAACACTGCAAGGTTGGGCACATGGGAGCTTGTGCTCCTGAGAAAATGGATAATCACGATGTGGCAATGAAGACTGCATAATGATGCGTCACCAGAGACCCCTAGATTCTACGATCGGCAAATCGAGGAGCGTAATGAGGTCTCACGAATGTTGTGATCCCAGCAAGATGGAATACGTGTTAGCCAAGAGAAAGCCGTTCATTGTGCTTAACTAATGTTATTGAGATTACTTCACATAAGATGGCCGTCTCGGCCCAAGGTTGTTTGCCGAACACGGACCCGGGAAGCAGAGGATTGCATATCTGCATTGCCGCCTCCTCTCATGCCTGATAACATAACTTGTTATGATTACTTGCCTCTTCAGTTGTACCAGTGATATTTCCTCCCGTCTTGGCATGTTTGCAAGGGTGTGTGGCAATTGAAGACACGGCAACGTCGCTTAAAGAATATTCCCCAGATTCTTTCTCGGTTCGGCCATGAGATTTGAAACCCCGGGTTCAGGCTAGCCCCAATCGAGATCTCAAACGTCCCTTTGGGGTGGTGAGGAATATCTCCAGTTGAACTTCCTGGTTTGTGCGGTCGCTGGATTTTTACTTACTCAATTATTACACGAAAAATGATATCTAACTAACATTGAATTGTCTCGGGATGCACGAGTGATGCTGAGTGACGCGTACATGTGATTTCCAAATATTTCCGTCTCCTATAAGCTTACACAAGTTCGAAGACTTACTAGGTCGCCGGCACCGGGGTTGTAGTCCGGGACGGCAACGCACCTCGGTCGTTGCAGTCTGCAGGTTTCCTGGCCAGCTCGGCGCTTCTCTCAACATACGTGTCAAGAGAAAGGCCTAGCCCGGATCAAAAGTCACGATGTTTCTGCCCAACGTCGTTCACGTGGTTACACCTCGGCGGTCTAGGCTATGGTTCCATTGAGACATGCCAACCAATCATTACCCATGTTTGAAGCGCCCGATTACTCTACACTTTTAGAAAGGCGGAAGAGTTACCGGACTATGTTTGTCCGGTGGTTGGTAATTACTGCAGATACTAACCCTTCCGAGATCCAAATTACATAACCAGACTTACATGGATCAATCACGCGGGAAACTGCTGACTATACTTTTTTTGTCTAAGCTGATAGGTTGGATATTGAGGCTCGTATGCACTATTCTAATCCCTGCAAAGCGTGCGTGCTTAGCTTATATAAACGTCTAATTGGAAAAGAATATACAAAATTAGAATAACTAGAACTTACGTTGCTACATGGTGACATTCATTTATGTATCACAGGATATGCAGGCGGTACGGGCTGAGAGGAAGTACGTATCAAGGTGGTAGTGAGATTAACGAGTCCCTTAGAGAGACTGTGATGTACATTGCGCTTGAAAAAAAGAATTAATTATCATTATTTACAACTTAGAAGTCCTAACAGGATCCACCAAATCCCTCATTTCGAACCTGGGCCAGTCCGGAGAAGTAGGTGGGAAGGGGCGCTGTCTATCCCAAGCCCACTTCTCTGTCAATTGGGGAGACAGTTGGCCCTCGAGCATCTGAACAATATACTTCCCTATCACGGGGAAGAATTTGTAACCGTGGAACGAGCCACCAGTTGCGATGTATAATCCCTTCGCAGCAGAGTGTGGAGAAATGATGAAGTCTCCGCTTGTGGTGAAGGCATCCCTATCAAGTTGTTAATCACAAACCATTAGCAAACAGAAGGAACGACAGACTCACCAGCAAATGCGATGTTTTGTTAAATCCCAATGCGCAGTCTTCTTGCCATAAAATGCGTAGTTTGCATGCTTGATGTCGTCCTTGAGTCTCGGAGACACCTCCCACTGAGCGTAGTCAGGCTTTGGAGGTGGAGATGAGACAAAGTGACCAGGCAAAATTTCCCTGGTATTTTTGAAGATTGTCTGTCCCCACCACTTCATCTCCCTGCCATCTGGGGTGGGCGGCAGAGAACCGAGGAAGGGTCCTGTTCGAATATAATTAGATTTCATATACGAGATAAGGTGCGATTTAAAGACCAACTTACCTAACTCAAGATTGTACCCCTGAAAAGCCACCGGCATGGAACCGTATATCGCATGTGACTTGTCATCTAACTTGTGCATTCCAGTCGTGATACCACCAGCAACTAGTCTGAATCCGGCTGCGATGTTGGGCAGGCCACTGCTGACGGCACTGTACTCTAGCAACGTTGGGGTGAAAGCGCCAGCGGCGATGATGGTATGTGTTGCTGTCAAGTCCTTCCCGCCCTTTGTCCGGATGCCAGAACATTTTCCACTTTTACTGAGGAGCAATGTAGCAACTTCAGCTACCTCATACTTAACACCTAGGTCCATTGCCTTGCGAGTAATTGCGCGCAAAGAATCTCCAGCAGCGCCCCAACCACCGGTTGGGTTCACGAGCACCTCCTTAACCCCCGTGTAGTCAGCGTTGTCGAGGAGTCCGCCATACAACTTCTTCGCCTCCTCGATGGATACAGCCTTGATATCAGCTTTGCGCCCAAGACGCTTATAGTTCTCAATGACCTCCTTGGCATAGTCATCGCGACATGTCCACAAAAGACCAGTCTCATGGAAATATGGCTTCCATAAGGGATCGGATTTGAAGATATCTTGAGCCTCGAGAGCGAGCTCACAGTAGACAATGTCATCATAGTCTGCCCGCACGACCTTGTTCCAGTCCCATGAAGCAGCTACGCGTGACTCAGCGTCAAACGCATCCCGATCAACGAGGGTGATTGATGCGTTGGGGTATTTTGTGATGAGATGGTAAGCTGTCGATACGCCGAAGATACCAGCTCCAACGATGATATAAGACTCCGTGCCGGACGACATATTGAATAGAAATTAGCGACGACAACGATGACAAACAGCCAATGCGAAAGAACACCCTCAATTACCTATCCGAACAACAATCAGATATATACATTCTTCGATCTATCTATCCCCCCTTCCACCGCCGACTCACGAGCCCGCGCCTTTCCGGTTTGTGTATAACCTTGGCATTTAGACACTTGGTGCCGGTATCGCCCAATGGAGACCCAGATAATCGGCTGTGTATGTCAGCGCGGAGTTCGTGTTCCTTACTCCGCTCACGTGACCACTGTCACCGTGTATGCTATTGGTATGTTTTATCGTGGCGATTCATTGGGATAAAACCATAGTAATTCTAGGCCATTTGGAATCCTCACGTGATGAAATAAGTCCCAGATATTGATAGAAAATGGAACGATTTATATCTTGGGATCGTCATGGCCGTAGATAGATAGATACCTCGATATTAGGAACAGATAAGGTGCCGACTGTAAACTTGGAAGAAGATGCACTAATCATACCTATTTCGCTTCAAGAAACATCTTGTTCAATTAGCAAGGAAGTGTGTCGGAATTTAAGATAATGTGATTACGGGGAGAAAAGTCGGTACACTGCTTTCGAGATATTTCCTGCGATACCGGTAGCTGAACGTCGGGAAGTCTTAAATTGATTTCAATTTTAATTGATATTCCAATAGTGCCTGGCATTGGTCACCAATCACGAAAAGTCCGAATAATAGCCCCTATGGCGTAGTGGTAGCGCGTGTCACTTGTACTAATAAGGTTGCAAGATAATGACAAGGTCTCTCGTTCGATCCGGGATGGGGGCAATGATTCTGTTTTTGTCTCATACGAGAAGCAACAATGTTCGCTCTAGATAAATTTCTTTTTTCCTCTTTTTATGTTCAATCTTTATAGCATTGCACCAACTAACTAACTATGTATGTAATAAATGTACATACAATGAGTGAGTGGCTCCTCTCCTTAAGATTCTATTATATTTAAACTTGTAAATCAATTAAATACTTATCGGTGTATAACCCAACCGACCAATACCCCTTTCTCCTTCCATGTACCTAGGTATGTATATACAGGTATATAATATGTCTACATCAATTGTATATCGTCAATAAACTAGAAGTTGTTTACGATGTATAGTGATAATAAGCTGCAATGAAAGATGGTCATTCATTGATAAAAACTATAGTACTAAGAAGCTATGGTAATGTCAAGCAATCTCATATGACTGGACCTTCCTAGATACCACAATAGTTTATTGAGACTTCGCTATTAAGCCAGCTCACACTTAATGCTCATGGTAATCTCGTTCCAACCATAGATCCCCAAGTTGTAATGGCGGTCATCATTGGTGACTGGCCCACCACGGTTTCCAACACAACCAGTATTCCTATGTGAATGATTAGCCCAATCTCATCTTCAGCACTAAAGCGAAGTTCTTACTCATTGAAGATGTAGCAGTTGTAGCCAGGAGCGGCCCTCGCGGAGCTAAGACCAGTAGGAACGGGAACTAGAATACCCCAGCCTGCATCAGCGCCTGACAAATGCCCGATAGAAGCCTTACGAGTGGTGTTGGAACAGCAACATACTGCACTGGCCAGGACTTCCACAGATGTCGTGGCAGTTCTGGAAGTTCTGATCTACACAATATTGAAAGATGAAAGTTGCATGAGCAGGCGCTGCTAGAGAGCCAAAGCTAGCAGCAAAGAACGCTGCTTGTTTAAAGGAAACCATTGCGTTGTCCGATAATTTTTGAGTTTGGACAAGGTTTCTGATCTGGGGGACACTGGTGCAGTTTGAGATGGAATATTGAGATTTAGGTAGGCAAGTAATCAATGCAGGGTGCTAGGGCGAAAGCCGGGCTTTATACTTGATGATGGGAGCGTATCTTCATCGACAATACCTCTAGTCTCGAATTACAATTCAATTTGTCTATATTATAGAGCTCACTCAGCTTGCGGCAGCTTTCGTAGCACTGCAGACGACGCCTGCTTACAATATACATGAATATTGATGTTATGCATATATAAGCTGAAGGGGTGACTCTATATAAGAACTAGTGCCGAAAATCATGTCAAGAATAGAGGCAAAAGACAGTGTCTTACATTCCGGCTCATGTGATACTACTTCACTAAACGGAGGCACTCAAGAGCTTCTATACTTCAACCAGAATGTATAACATTATTTAGCTATGCAGAGCAGATTCTCTACTGTTGAGATCAATTGCTTCTCACATTGAGGTACTACGTATACCGAGTTATTATCATGAATTCTGTGAAATTTGTTGGGGTTAAGTCTTGACTTTGGCTCGACTGTAGATGTGGCGAGCTGAAAGCTGGAGGAAGCGGGATAGCGAGTCGCAATATACGCCAAGACTTTAAAAAATTATGCAGGCCAAACGGCCGTACCGATTAGGTAGAAGCTCACCGACAGCTTCAGCTATGACGTATAATGATTGGCTTGAATTGAGCCTCATGTTGATAAATTAGTCATGGAATACGACCTTGATAAGAACGCAAGAGCTGAATGTGTACACGGTGTATTATACTTCTGGCGACTCGTGAGGCTATTTAGGATAGCCATAAAGAACGTCGACAGAACTGATCGCCATTGTTGTACTATGAAAATCCCCCTATCTCCCATGTATCGTTCGAACTAAGTTCCATAAGATAAGGGAAAGGTATATGTAAGTACTCCTACGGATACAACGATCAAGTTACTAGGGCCTGTGATCTCTTCACTAGATCCCGAGGTAGGAGGGAATTAGTTGATTATATCACGATAGCATGTGCAGATGGTGAGGATCCCGACCTGGTAACGTTATACATTTGCGTAGTGCAGCGGCATAGTTCTGCACATCTGTTCCGTCCCAGATTACTCACACTTTGTAAGGATAGGTCAAATCGGGTAACGGGACTTCATGAGCAAATATATTAATTGAACTGGCAAAGAATTTTCAAAGTCCACTGCAATCTGTAACTATTGTTTGTGGTCAGGAGAGTAGGGGCATGGGGATACATAGGGATACACAAAACAAATCTTAAGCTACTCAGGTATCCAAACGTACTGCGGGTGAGCTGTCTCATAGGGGAGGTATCCTGTTATTAGTGCGTATTCTGCCCTCACACAGCAGTGTGATTGCAATCCACAAGACTATATGGGGTTTAAATAAAATGACTAGGTTCGTTGGAATATATTCATAAGCCCCTCCGCTAGTGAGGCGTAGTAGTCCTGCCCAACTATATCAGTTACTAGGTATAAGGACGACTTGCCCTATTACCCTAGTAACCAAATACACACCTGGGAAGCTCTTGTTTATCCCCAGTAACGATAGGACCTATGTACCTTACGCCACACAGACTACCGCACGATAGGCAAAGATAAGATGTAATGCCGATCGGTGTACGATACATACTCCTTCCTGCTCGTAAGCGGCTTGCTTTGGGCGAAGTGAAGGGTACCCATACGACCACCGAAGCACTTTAGTTAGCTGTGGGACATACCATAACCCCCGTGTAGCGAAGAAAGGACGGCTTCGGATTAATTTGTAGACGACAACTGATCGAAGTAGAACCGGTTGGTACACTTGAATACATACGAAAATGAGGAGGAGGAGCGTTTAACGCCCTGGGTAGAAGAGTATGGGTGATTTAACCCCGAGGAAGGTTTCCACCTTGTACAGTAGACCATTAAATCCAGTACAATCAATGGCCGTTGATACAATATATATGTTCAAAAGCCTTATCTTCAGGCTACATAGAATAAAATCTTATTTAAGTCTCTGCGAGCGCTACTGACTCAAACAATTTCAACTTGTGAACGGTTCAATCATGGGGGCACTAGATGATTATTATTGTTCTATGAAGGTATCGAAGTCTTTTGACTAGGCTAGGGATACATGTAGCGAGTCTCTTTGTCTGTAGGAGCCTTAGGATCGTGACACAACTGGACACATGCCCTGCGCTTGTTGTGTAGCATCTCCCCTACAGACCCTTAGATTATAGAGAATGATTGGGGAAGCTGCCTTAAACCAGACGTCTGGAAGAGCTTGTAGATAAGCAGCAAGAAGCAATCATCTTTTACCTCCGGTAATGGCATTCCTAGGTGCTCTACAATGAAGGATGTAGAATCCTTGTTCTTGTGCTGCAGTGTCTTCCTCTCACTTCCCTTGATATGAGCAGTCAGGACCACCACTAACGACATCATCGACGACATCATCGACGACATCATAGTTAGAACCCTTTCCTAAGTGAATGGGTTGGATAACTAATAACAGAAAGTTTGCCTGATATCTAGTCCTTTCTTGAAAATTTTTGTACAATCCTTCTTTACCTTTCTATCACCATTTGGTGCTACTGTTGACACCACCTCTTTCAAGATTCAAAAGCTTCCCCCAACTGTATGCTCAAAAACATCAAGTTACTTTCTGCCTTCACCATTCAATCTTAGAGCACAAGCTCTATCAACATATCAAGCTATTGGCACTAGACAAGGCCATCAGGTAAGATCCCCATCCAACGCGCAGCCACCTCGCCGTCATCCTTCTGAGGGCTTTGATCTTGGAACGTCTATGTACACGGTTATTTACGTATTATCACCCACAGTAAGGATGATCAGCCCAACTAGTCACCTCAGATCTGCTCACTATTATACCCTGGGTTGCTAATCCCTGATTCCTGACCTAGGTCCAGATAGTCCTTCCTTTTGCGACATGCCGCCCCTGCCAGATTCTGTGCCGTTGGATTCCAATGGCCTCCCCCTAGCATTCGTAGAATGGTTAGAGGAATCGGGCCATACATGTGAGTATTCCTTGAGGTGTTTGAATTGAAGGAGCAAGTACGAACAATAATCAATCACGCAATTCTTTCACCCACTGCATACATTATGCTGAAGCAGACGACTTACCTTTTCGAGTACTTCATATAGGGGAAAGCACTAAGCAGCACATCAAGGACCACGATCAGTTTCCCGATGAGGAACCTGAGGAAATGCTCGTGTATGCTCTGAACTGGGCTTATTTCTGCTGCCCTGGCGTGTTCGACTACCATGTTGCACAATACCACGATTATTCCAGTGGATGGGAACGATGGGGAGTCTTTCTAGATTTCGAGACGCCACGGCCACACAATGTCGATGTTGACTGCGACACATGCTATCTTTGCGAAGCATGGGAAGCTAAAAATGAGAGATTCTGGGCGAGCGTGATATCTATAGAGAATATCGCTGCAAAGCAGGGTCTAGACATGAGGTACTCCGGCATGACACGTGAATGGAAAGAGGTGATCGCGAAGCACGTTCAGGGTATCGGTAAGTCATTCTGGAACATTCACTTCTGCTTAGTCACTCAAGGAGCACAGAAGCTTCTATGTGAGCTAGACTACTGCTTCGTAATCTGTCTACACTTATGAAATAATCGAGTCTTCACTTAATATGAAGATAGCTGACTCAAGTATCATAGTTCTCGAATGCTACCGAGACTCAGGTTGCGAGTACCCAGACCGCTCCATCCACTTTTTCGAGGATATTTTAGGCAACATTCCAATTTCCGTACTCATTCTGGACGCTCTTGTGTACTAGTGGTGGTAAAGAATCGTTCCAACTGGTTAAAGGAGTATATGGTATCCTGACCCAACGAGGAGGAGCTTTTTCATCAACATACTTGAGTAACTGGACAATGGTGGTTACGGATACCTGCACAAGAAGCTCATAGGAAGTTTGACAGTCGCTTGTTTACGCGAATTGTGTTGGGGAATTGTAGGATCCGCCGTCTTTCTAGCTTAGATAGCTACAAACTGAACAATCACTGCATTTGAGTTCCTATACTTCACGCATATCATTGATGACCTAAATCAAATGACAAACTTGAATGCTAAAATAAATATTAGCGAGAGACTTGAAAGATGAAATTGCGGACATAATCTCAGTCTCGTGGGGTCTTCTTTTTAGAATGTAGTTCCGTAGCCCGCGTAATAATGGAGAGATTTCCAAGCTGGAAATACTAATTAGCGTCTGGAAAATAGCACGAATCACGACCCCCCAATCGTGCGACACCAAACATTTTGCTCAAGGTTGCCAGTCCGCCGTACTTCGTGAGCTTTTTCGGAAATGCCAGTTGCTAAGGTACGCGTCGAAGGTTCCTCCGCAGCCTTAGTCGCGTCACGAGCTTCTCTTCCTCGAGGATACCCCCATCTAACTAAGTTAATCCAACTAAGTGGGATTTCCACTCAAATTTTCCATCAATCAGAACACGCGCCTCGAGGCGCCTCGGAGCGATGATGAGACGGATCCACCAATTCTAACCCCTCCATACCCCACGGAAGAGGACACTATCCGGGGGATAATGGGAAAGCAATGGAGTGGGATGAAGTTGTATTAATTACACGAGAGGCAGAGGATAACGACGAGGAATAGTTTATAAACGACCAGGTTTTTTCATCGTCTCCGTTCCCCTAATCTTCTATCACCCCGTTCCCTTCTCAGCTGGTCTTGTTCTACTATTCTAATACTATCATCTTCCCTTTAATACTTCCTCAAATAAGCCACAATGGGTGAAGTAACAATCACTGGCTGGAGGACGAGGGATGTCCGATTCCCTACATCTCTCGATAAGACCGGCTCGGATGCTATGAATGCCGCTGGAGACTACTCTTCTGCATACTGCATCCTTGAGACAGATTCGGAGTTCACAGGCCACGGAATGGTAGGTCTCTGACTACTTCAATTCTCGCATGAAGTCATCTAATAACCGAGCACAGACATTTACAATCGGACGTGGCAACGACATAGTATGCGCAGCCATCAACCACCTTGGCGACAGACTGAAGGGTCGCACCCTCTCCTCTCTAGTAGCAGACTGGGGAAAGACCTGGCGGTATCTAGTCAACGACTCGCAGCTGCGCTGGATCGGCCCCGAAAAGGGCGTCATCCACCTCGCGCTGGGCGCCGTCGTCAACGCTATCTGGGATCTATGGGCCAAGACTCTCGGAAAGCCGGTTTGGCAGATCGTGGCCGAGATGACTCCCGAGGAGTTTGTGCGATGCATTGACTTCCGTTACATCACAGACGCCATAACGCCAGAGGAGGCCATTGCCATGCTGAAGGAGAGCGAAAAGGGCAAGGCGGAACGCTTCCAAGAGGCGATGCAGAGCCGCGCCGTACCAGCCTACACGACGAGTGCTGGTTGGCTCGGCTATGGCGAAGACAAGATGAAGGCCCTACTTAATGAGACCCTAAATCAGGGATACAGGCATTTCAAGCTGAAGGTCGGCGGCAGCGTTGAGGAGGATCGACGGCGGTTGGGTATCGCGCGTGATGTGATTGGATTCGACCGCGGTAATATCCTGATGGTAGATGCGAACCAAGTTTGGAGCGTACCCGAGGCCATTGACTACATGAACAAGCTGGCGGAATTCAAGCCCTGGTTCATCGAGGAGCCTACATCGCCCGATGATATCCTCGGCCACAAGGCGATCCGCGACGCGCTGCGACCACTCGGCATCGGCGTCGCCACGGGCGAGATGTGCCAGAACCGCGTCGTCTTCAAGCAGCTACTGATGGCAGGCGCCATCGACGTATGCCAGATCGACGCGTGCCGACTCGGCGGCGTGAACGAGGTCCTAGCGGTCCTCCTCATGGCCAAGAAATTCGGCGTGCCGATCGTCCCGCACTCCGGCGGCGTCGGCCTGCCCGAGTACACGCAGCACTTGAGCACGATCGACTACGTCGTCGTCAGCGGCAAGCTCTCGGTGCTAGAGTACGTAGACCACCTGCACGAGCACTTCCTGCACCCCTCGGCCGTGAAAGACGGGTACTACCAGACGCCCATGAACCCGGGGTACAGCGTGGAGATGAAGCCGGATAGCATGGACAAGTTCACGTATCCTGGAGAGGAGGGCGTCAGTTGGTGGAGGAGTGACGAGGCGAAGCCGATTCTAGAAGGAGAGAAGATTTAAATTGTACCATAAGAACACTCTTACTTAGACTCAGTAATACATATCTTGCTGCTTTTCCGGGCTTGAGCAATCCGAATATCCCTTCATTATGACCGATCGTGAAGCGCAATCACCGTGACGTATCTACCGACGCACCGCGACAGGCGGTTTCCGCCAATGGTAGACCAAGCATAGTGCTCCCATGAGGCATGCGAGACACGGGAAGTCACCGAGGCGGTGGGACTTCACTTACCTAGGTTCTGCGTCTACACTATACCGAAGCACGTGGTTGTACTCCCTGTCGCGAGGCGCATTGAGTGGGCGCATCGGGACAGGGGAGAACTCCCACGGCTTGTGGGTGCGGCTGTGGGGAGGATATAGAAGGATTACCCGGGGCGGGCATAGGATGATGCGAGAGGTGTGCTGACAGAGTTGGAGAGGACTTTGCGTCCTGCTGTTGTTCAAGGAATGCCTACTATCTAAGGCTACGAAGATTAGGTATGGCCTTGTGGAAGTGGAAGGGATGCAGGGGCGGTTGGTAACACTTTCAACGGGCTATTTTCGTTCCCGCATATTAGTATAGTAGCTGTTGGGATTTGCCTTGAGAATGCCATTCTGAGGAATCTCTGGGATGGTTTCGTTGCAGTCTTACGTGCAGTCGGCGTCGAAGCGCCGAGACGTCTTTGGCGTTGCAAGGGCGTCACGATGAGGATGTTGGAGACGGTGTGGGGATGCTTCTGCGAGCTTGTGGGATGGCTATTTTAGGATACTGCAAAGGCTCTCACATACGTACCGAAGAAACTTGAGACATTCTCGCCAGTATATTCAACTCGGTTGGACACGGCGGCCAAGAGATCATGATCTGGGTAAACCCAAGAGACAATGGGGCCTTGTCGGCGCGCGAGAGCAAACTGCATGTCAGACGCCGTGGTACCTGGCAGGCAGGCAGTCAGTCATCTCGGTGAACCTATAGCTCGATCACATCCATGTATAATAAATAGCTTGCATCGTTGCATCTCACCCACGTGAAAAGTGCCGTTTTGACTGACCGCTATTCGATTCCGATGGAGCCGGTGAAATACTACATATAAGACAGGCTAGCCCCCAATACCTCCTCGAAATCCTTCATGGGTACCTATGTTGTTATCTCTGCATCGTAGCACCCTTTGGGAATTATCTGATGGCTAATTATGGAAGTCGTGTGAGTGTTAGAAGAGCAGAAATCTTCTTGCATGCATCGCATCGTAGCATCGTACAACGTGGCCACGAGGCACTGAAGACTCCCTGCCTCATGGGCGTGGAAGAGAGAAGTCTTGGAGCAAGCCGTGTCTTCCGGTGAAGATTGGTTGGGTAGGCTCATAGTTTATGATGAACATCGATAACACGATTTCAAAAGAAGGCCGGTGACCTTAGATAATCTGGGAGTCAAAATGAAGCGTGAGCATTAATATTTATAGTGAATCATTAAGTACTAGGGTTACATAATAAAAGTTCAGTATCTTAGTCGCCGTAGTTACTCTCACTGCGCTTTCCGTCGCCCCCTGTGATATCATCATGTATTGAGTGTAGTGCCTTGAGCCATGTGTCGAACACGAGCTTCAGAGGGCCGTGCTGATCGTCTCCTTCATGTCTCCTTAGCATCTCATTGCGTAAATTTTCATACGCCTCGATCATGATCCATATCTGTAGAGCTGTAGTATCCGTATGATGCTGAGCTGGTGATCTACGAAGCACTGAGGACAGCTCCTTCGTCAAGAGATCTAAGCATCTTTGTAGATCTGAATGTCCCGAAGGTATCGTTGGCTTCCGTCCCAAGCCCGGCGATGCCGTCTCGTAGCTCGTCCAGGATGGAGAGCTGGGCACCGATGAGATAGTGCTTCGTTTAAAGTCTATCGAATCTTCCCCAACTAGTGTCCCGTCGTCGGATCGTGGCGACCCTCTTCCCCTTAAAGGTGAAGGCTCAGGTAGTTCCGTCACAGGCTCAAGGGGCGGAGGGACGAGACTGGGGTCTTGGGGGTTGAAGCAGTGGTCCTGCTTCTCTGTGATTGGAGAGTGCTCAATACCTCCCTCATTCACAAAAGAGGCGCGGGATTCAAGAAGCGCCCTGTATGATTCGGCAATACTCTCAATGGTTGGCACGTCTTGTGACGTGCCTTGAGTACGTAGTAGAGGGTGAGTCTCTAGTTGGCCAACATGTGAGACGGGCGTCTTTGCATATCGCCTCGTCATGCGAGGCGGTCCAGGTTTGATTGGGGGAGCAGCTGTTTTCTCCTCACGTGGCGTTGGGCTCACAGGAGCGGCAGCAGCGAGATGTGCAAACTCGGGTACGGCAATACTCGCAGGACGCTCCCGAGTCTTCTCGCTATCCAACTGTCGTGGACGGCGGCCGTCACGAGAAGTGTAGCCGTTCTTTCGAAAATCCTCGAGCCAGTTGCTGTCTTCTGAATTGATAGGGACGGGCAGGGCGTGCCGTTGCGGAACACTCGGCTTAGAACCATTGAACAGGTTGAATGATAAAGAGGCACGGTGTGGTTTTGCTTCTGGTGAATTTGTCTTGGTATCACTGTAGTTGATTGAAAATGGTCGTTGCTGAGATTGAGTACCGATTTTTTGAAGCTTCCTCTTCAGTTTCTTGCCTTCAGGCTTCACCATTGATGGCGCTGACCAAAGCTGGCCTAGATACCGATCCATTGTGTTCTAAATAGATGTCTATCTCCACGAGTTTGGGTATTCATCCGATCACGGTATGAAAACAGGGAGGGTAAATGCTGGAGCGAATTGGTTTGACGATGCTATGAAGAACAAAAATCGAGACACCAAACTAGGGACGAGGCTCGTTTAGGGAATCGATAGATTATATCTCGTCTGACCGCCAGCTTCAATCCCGATATTGTAAGGGAGCATGCCTGCTTGCCATAGCGCAAAACGAATGACGTTAGGACATGGTAGGATGCAGCGTGCAAGCATCGTCATGCAGCCGGGTGGACACGACTCAGCCCAATACGAAAACCGGATTTTCCCCTCTCAGCCCATGAACCATGAAAGAGTGGAGGCGGACGCCGAAGGAAGCGCTACATCAGCCTGGACCAAGCCGGTAAATGGCACACCAGACACACCAGATACACACCAGATACACCCAGATACACACGGATACACACGTTCTGACGTGCCAGCAGTCATGGTCGGCATGCGCTTGTCATCGTATTCCCCCCTGCCGTGACATGCAGGACGAACTGGCGGCCGTGGGATCCTTGCACATCGCCAGCTCTAGTCCAATGGTATCGAGACAGCCTCGACAGCCATCACCAGATGGGTGGGATTAGACCCCCCCAAAATCCTTGCTAGCCTCCAGCTGCATGCTACTAATCGTATCTCCAATATTCCAGACTGCATACTTACTTCGTAGCGAAGTTTTTTTTTTTTGCCTACCCGCTGCACGACGCAGGGAGAAGAACACTGAAGGGTTGGAAATAAGGTGCCTCACAGCCTTACAATCTGCCATTGGCTGAGCCAATGCAGTGGTAACGTCGAGTTTCAGGTGGCATGATATTAATAGGCAAACGGAAAAGGACGCAAAAGACAAGGCTGTTCTATATGATGATCACCACCTTTGTTAGCAGACAGGAGGAGCGAGCGCAGTTATTCAGTACCTCGAGCTCGGTAGTGGTGTACTCAGTAGGTAAGAAAAAGCCTCGATGTGACCGCCAGACCGACCACATCACGTAAGCCCATGATGGGCCGATTGTTGTCTGAGCACCGACCGCCTCATGTCTCGCAACTGCAGCGAACTGAATGTGCTTTGGGAAAAGGGTTGCTTTTGGGCATCAGCGCGGCCATTTAATTACCACGTTATTATCTGCGCGCTCTGTTTGATTGAGGGACACCTGGTGTTCACTTTCAAGCGGTCTACACCCCGCAAGATATATCACAATGCAAAGCCGTTATAGGACCCTTTATATGACAAGGAATGGCCTGTCTAGTCAAGCGGCAGATCAGCCTGGCGAGCCTGGGTAGCCTTAGGTACTTTTTTAATGAAGTGCTGAGCAGGTACCGGCTTGGGCCCTGGATGCCCTGGATGCCCTGGATGCCACTGGGGAAAGTATAGAAATCCATGTCACTCCAAGTAAGTTGCTGATCTGTGCAAGTCGTAATGAGCGAATCTCGCGATACTGGTGGTGATACTGGTGGTAATGGATAGGTATGTTCAGAGTGCTGGCGAGGCTGGGCAGCTAAGGTAGGTATACAGTAACGATAGGCAGAGTCACAATCACTAATCAGTCTCACTGTCATCGGCGCTGTCTTAGCACAGCTAGCAACATTTGGGGCAGTTTAGGACATCTTCTCCCCGCCACGGTTGGAAGTATAGGACAGTACATAGCACAGTATTCATACGGCAATTTATTTAAATTGCATCCAGCTTAGCACTGCTACTCAACGCGGTTTCACAATGCGAAGCGACGCGTGCCCCGCGAATCACCGCTTGCTGCGTTGCCGAGCAGGAGAAGATCAACAACCACGACAGAAACACTCCTCCACTTTCGTTCTTTTGCGCTTCCGAAATGAGATAGCAATTTCCACTGCTACATGCTCTTGTATACCCAGCTCCTGATTTTGTCGCATCAGCCGTCCTCAATTGGCTGCTTTGAAACAGCCCAAACATGCCGCTCGTCTCCGGCGCCCAGCGCAATCGCGGCCGTCCACGGCCCTCCTCGCCATCGCGCCCACAGCAGAACAGACGCACCACCCGCCTACCAGACTACGAGCCTCCGTCCTTCCCGCTAGACCGCACCTCGCAGAGGGAATTAGCCGAACTCTCCAACAACACAGACACGCGAAGATACGAAGAGCAACTCAAGCAGTCCATCACACTGCTAACCGACAATGTGCGCGACATCAACGACCGTTACGTCAAGAAGAAGCACGAGTTAGACAAGCTGAAGAGGCAGAAAAGGAACCAAAGCGAAGATGTCGGGGAAGATCCAGAAATAAAACAACGTGGCCATGCCGGAGAAGCTGCAGTTGCGCGTCTCCGTGATATGGTGCCCGATCTGACGGTCGAGTGTGACACTGCTGTGCGTGAGGTCATAGATCTCCGTGTCGAGCTCGAAGACGGCAAACAAGCGATACAAGACACGGTCCGCAAGGTCGAAGCCGAGAGTGCCAGTGCCGCAGACGAAGCTCAAGAAAACCCTGAGGATGAAGCCAAAACTGAAGACGAAGATACAGTTATGCGAAATGCAAAGCCTAGAATCCGTGGCCCTCTAAAGATCTTGAAAAAGGAACAAGAAAAGGCAGCTGCCGACTATGCTACAAGGTCACTGGAGCAGCGGTATGCTGCTGATAATGACTATATTGGTTTCAAGCGCCTTTGGTGGGATGCTGTGCACAGTGTAGATGGCAAGCCACTGCCCGACGCTTCTAGATGGTTTGCCGGTAATAATGTTGACGGCAATGACGACGAAGACGATGAGGAAGAAGATTTGGTTATTGCCGAGGAACACATCAGTATATACTGCCCGTTGTCTATGGTTGTCATGGAAGAGCCTTATACCAGTAGTGTTTGCAAGCACACCTTTAATAAACCGGCCATCGTACAGTTTCTCCGCTCACAACCAAGCCACAAAGCCCAGTGTCCGCAAACCGGTTGTAGCAAGGTATGGCTACCGCTTCTCCCCTCCTTCCCCAGACTTTAGTCGGTCATATCCTACCTCTGTCATAGCCCCAAACTTGCTCTCATAAGATGCTAATTATGCCCATAGGAGATATCAATCAAAGACTTCTACGATGATCAAGTCATGCTCCGCAGAATTCAACGCGCGCAAGCCGAAAAAGAAAGACGAGATGTGGATGATGAGGATGACGATGGAGTCGACGTGGATGGCGACTCATCGATGCTCGACCCACGTAACGTCAAGGCTGAGCGTGCTAGGGATCGGGGAAGCCAACTGCTCGCAAGCTTAGGGGTTAACCCAGACGAGGACGATGACAAGTTTACCGATGAGTAGGGCGCATTACTGCAAATCATGGTTCGCGTTCCACTGCTTTTTGGTCGTAAAACAGGTATCTTTGTCTTGTCTATATTCTAAGCAAGTCTATAGTGAGGGCTGTCTAAGTATGTCGTCCCGCCATCTATTCTATATGGTTCCCGGGCGCCGTGGGCGCATTTCTATATCTTTATAACATTGCTCCTTTACAATTTCGCCCGAGGCTCATCGCTTTTCTTGGGTGCGCTACGATACCCGCTCTCCACATTCGCGTCATTCACGACGTTCCCATGAACATCACGTCGAATGCCCAGCTCCATAAGCTTGGCGAAGACGGCCGCGAAGTCCGCGAAGAAGCGATCCTTGTCGGTAGCATACGTCTCGACCCATTTGCGGAACGACGGGTCGGATAAAAGACTCATGTCCGTGGGCAACATCATAAGCCCTTCTACCACCTCTTCGTCACTCTCTTCTTCCTCGACCGGCTCCTCCACGTACACGAACTGGGCGACTCCGTTGTCGAGCGTCTTCGGCTTCCACGCCTTCTCGTTCGCAAGCAAGACGCGGAAGTACTGGTTCGAGAAGCGCGTCGGGTTGTTCACCCACTTGCCCTCGAAACCCGAACGGTCGATATGACATCTCCCTAAATTGTGTGCCCCGCTGAGCGCCACGATCTCCTGGTCGTTGAACCCCATACGATTGAAGATGAAGCGCAAGTGATCGGCGCCCTGCGCGCCATCAGGCAATCTCCCGTGCGGCGGGATCTTCGCCTGATGCGCCTCCGTCTCGTCGAAGTCCGTACGCCCGCCTTTCCACGCGATCCGCGGCCCACCCATCTCCTCGATCGCGACGATCGCAGCGAGCGTCCATAAGTCCGCATATGTAATCCACGGATGCGCCTTCTTGATGGGCTCGAGGAATGCCCGCGCGTGCTGGAGCCCCGCGTTCGCGGGATCGCCGCCCTCGGCCTCGTACCGCATTCCCGCGCCGTTGGAACCCCCCGTTCCGCTCGCGGCGTCGTATGTGCCTGCGCTGTGCCACGCTAGGCGCACGAGGACCGGGCCGGCTGAGCCATCGTCGTAGTCGGGCTGATGCAGGAGGTCGCGGATCGAGGCGCGGACGGCGTCAAGTTGTTCTGCCGAGGGTTGAGGCGGGACGGTGGCTACACCGCGAGTTATTGATGGCGCCATCGGTCTTTCTCTCATGGACTAGGTTGGAAGACGATGATTAAGGGGACGCGATCTCATGTAGATATTAAGATTAGGAGAATTTTACAGTCAAGGAGATCTTTACGCTGGAAAAAAATTGTGAAAAAGATAGTGACGCTTTTTGCCTCCTGGAATCAAGCATTGATAATAATACAATAGTCGGTAAGAATACACGACTAAGCAACGCGGTCATCGGTATTTTATCAACCTCGGCTTTCTTTCTTAGTTCATGCTCACGCGTAGGTATCCACAGGCACTATGTGAATAATAACGGGACCAAGTCTCCATTTGCCCTCGTCTTAGTGTGGACGCCGTCTTCTCATCTTTTTTTTTTTTTTTTTCGTCCCTTTTCACGTGAAAGTCTGGAGGGATGTAGCTGACGCGTAGTGTAGCCCACTTACTTAGTCTACTGCAGGAGAAAACTCCCGTCAAGAGCTTTATTAGCGCGTTGAGGGTCTGGCGGTACCGTTGCCGCGGCAGTCTAGGCTGGTAAGTATCTTGGTGTTATTGACTTCGCGTCTGATAGTTATATAGATAGATCCCATCCGGACGCGTATCGTCGAGTTCTCTCGCACTGAGTTGAAGAGAATCTTCGACTCGGCAAGGCGTATGATGTCTCGGCATTGTCCGGAACACCTTAGGAATAGCGAGGCCGGTTACGCCATCTCCTAGGTGTAGTTGATACCAGCTACCTGCTGTGCTGTATTTATAATAACGCGTTGTCGTCGGAAAGTCGAGCGGCTCGTGTTTGCTCTGCAGCTTAGAACACCTCATCTCATTAGCAACGACTCCTTATGAGCAATGTTGTTCAGATGACGTCGCTGGGAAACTGTGTAACACATCCGCATTATTCATCTTTGCTGTCGAGAAGTAGAGGGAGCTTGCGCTAGGTCGGATTTGCTTGCTCTAGGGGATTTTTTCTATTTGTCTCTGTTACAGTTGCCTTTCTCAGTCGTTTCCCAGAGCCATAGCAGTACCGTAGACGTGCCTCATCCCGCTCATGTTCCTCAGGACAGACAGCCACGACTCACTGGATAGGTGCTGACAGCACAACTGGTTCAATGGTAAGGATAAGCAGCGCTAGGCCCGGGCCGTTGGTTTAGCGCCCAAATTGCCGTCGTAGGATATCATCGCTCTGTGTGTGCCTCTCAACCTTTATTAGATTTTGCGTCCAATTGATGGTTTAAAGAGTGGACGATGTAACGCAGTGCGATGATGACCAGACTGATCAAGCAGCGAGTTTAGGCGACGGGACTGTGGATGCCATGGAATAGGGCCTCCCGACGCTTTGTCGAGCTTGTTACGAAATCATTCAAGAGATTTGGCATCTAGTATGAGACAGCCAATCATCACGAGAACTTTTTCTTTTAACGAGAGCATCGACTTTTTTTTTTTTGGTCCTATACGCCAATGCAGGAATAAATAGATACAATGTGTTCCGATCGCCTATCCGCAAGCGCTCTTGCATTCTTGCAGTGTGGGTTGAAGTAAAACTGGCAAGCTCTCGTTCCTCACGCGGTATTCACACAATCCATCGTCACCACATTCGCCCTCCAAGTTCGTGCTCGCCCTGAAGGTCGCGGACCCCGTCATAAGCTTGTACGCTTGAGTAGCGTAGATGGTGCCATTGTACGTCAGCTGGAATCCAAGACTAAAGTAATAGTCGCCGGGCGCCGAGAGATCTGTGTGCAGCTCGTTGAGCGTCACCTGCCAGCGCGGGTTCGAATAATCGCTCGGTACTACGTCCGTCACACAGCTGTTGCTGCTGTGGCCGTACGGAGTGAACTGGTCCGTTTTCCAATGGAGTTCACATTGCGTTGTGCTCTTTCGGAACACCACGTAGCCTCCGCCAGATGCGTGTGGTGCCGGCGCTGCTGCAATTTGCTGCACGTTCGAAATCGTCAACAACAGGCCGCTTGCATTGGCGCTGTACGGGCTTTCGTGAGGGTTATATGTCGACAACGAGCTGATTTGCCATGCCTGTAGCGGATACCAAGGCGGAAGTGGTGGGACAGGAAGCTCGTTTGATGATGCCAATACAATCCGCGAGGAGGTCGCCGCGAACAACAACCCGAAATGTAGGAGCCTCATATTCTAATTATCGAGATCTATCGTATGTACACGGAATAAGAGACGTTTGACATATGTACGGGTTGATAGGCGTGCTGTCGAAGTCACAGCTGATTATATTTCTGGTTACACCTCTATTGCTTTTATACCAAAACTCACAGGATCCATAGCAGACATTTCCCTCTCCGAATACTAGCACGGTAAAACCAAAACCCACGTGTGAACTTCGTATAAGGATTCGATCCATTCCTGTTGTAGGATTCCGGCTATTGGTGCATATTAATATTGAACATCTAGACCCAGGGCCCCGGCGTCGTGCCTCAATCGCAGGGTCATGGAGAATCGGTGAACGAATGAGAGGCGTCCTCCACATGCGCTGTTGCGCATCAGCGTTACATTCGAGTGAAAATATCTACCATAACGCATACCAAGCTAGACAATAGTAGCGAGATGCAGTAGAAATCAGCAACAACAACTCGCTCAACGAAGTCTAAGCCGACACGATCGCTTCAGCGCTATTGTTTCTCGACACTGTACTGTTCGCATCTCGTTACTCTTACATAAGTGAATGTTCATACAACGTTACTCACGCAAGAACGCCCACCATCCGTGCGCCTTGCATTCCCGCTCCTTGAGCGCGTACGTGTACGTTTTGACGGCTAGGTAGTCCTTTATGGGATCATATTTCTCCGCGCGTCGGGTAAAGAAGACTACCTCAGGCACCATACATAAAGAATTCTCCTATGCTCAGATTATGTTCGGCTCAAAGTGAACTTTCCCCTTCTTCTTCTTCTCCACATTGCCTGTTTGCGAATCTACAGCAACTGTAGCTTGGGGTCGAATTCCGCGTACGAAGTAGTGCTGTCTTCATGCGCCGATATCGGCCCGAATAACCTCGATTCTTCCTAATACACTCTCGATTAACCTTACCACAACGACCATCACGTATCTGAGGGTTACGAAACTGCACTTGATTCGGTTGTATTGCCCCTTTTCCTTCAATTGAAGGTATCAAAAGTTTGTTGTCATGCTTTCCCAAGCATGTCGATGCACAATTCGACATTCACTTAGAACAAACGACGGTCCTCGGCGATTTTCTGAAGTTACCTTCATCTTATAGTTGGGCTGCCGGAATCTCTAAGATGCATGCATCTCTTCTCTCATGTTGCTACCCTATTCCTGCCAATCGCGGTTATTCCAGCCCAAGTAGACATACTGTTACACGAAGAGGACAAGATCATGCCAGCTGGCAGAACTAGCCGCGCTGACGTTGCTTATCCTGTCATACGTGCCATACTTACCATCAAGGGAACCCTTATCATACAGCCTCTTGTGTTATGATAGTCGCAAATAGTTTCACGACTTTTGAGGCCTGTCACTTGATGGCCCAACTTAGAGTTAGTAGGCAGGCTATAACTCAGCAAGTCTACCCCGGACACGGCTGCAGCCTCTGATCATGTGCCAGGTCGCAGCAAGCACAGCTAGCTGAACGCCAAGAGACCGTAAGAAGAGTATAGCAGTGGCAAATACGTTCATGTATGCAGATGCAGAGATCTTTGTCAATGTAAGCATATGCAGGGACTGTGATCTAAAGCAGGCAATTATAGACGAGTTGACTAATAGAAACTTCGTCGTTGTGACCAAATTGGCCTTGACGTGCCTCGATCTAGAGTATTACTTAATACATCTCTTCAGCTGTGACTTCCTCTGTTTATAAGAGCTCGCATAATGTATCTGCACTGCATCTAAGAGAAAGGGAGCTAAGTGCTAACGAGACTGCTTTCTGCAGAATACGAACTTAATGGTTTATTAATAGAGGCTATAGAGTAATCACATTTGTATTCGGCCTACCTGTTCTCGCACATGAACTCCGATTCATCATTCAGGAGGAATATCTCATTGATCAGGTGCTCTAAAGCTCACTGGACGGGTAGCTTCACCGACTTTCCGCACATGCAAGCTACGTAGCATTCACACGTGGGAAACCTCTTACCAGAATAAAAGCATTTCGTTTTACAATATTCTCAGGGCTGAATACAACACTGGGAATATAACCCACTATTACAACGTTCGATATCACGGTTACACTATCACGCGAACAATGGAAGTCTGTGCCTAACAGTGCACTCCTCTGTATATTAGCCAAACGTTGATGATGGTTGTTTGAAGCGACATTCGCTGATTTGCAGAACTATTGTCACAAATACTCACATAGAAGTACTTCAAACTCTGATCAAGACACGGTGTTCCGTCAACGCAGTTCAGCTTTCTAGAGTAACAATGAGTGAGGCACCTGGTGGAATGTATCGTGCTATAAAATGCTAACAGGTCAAGCCGAACAGGATAAAGAAGCGAGAATAACACAACAGCCATGATATACAGCTTGTTCTTAGGTGATCGGAATCCCGTTTCTGTGTGATGAAGCAGATTCGGAACTCATCACAAGATAATTGGAATTACAGCTTGGCAAAGCAGCACCTGAGCTACAAGTACTTGCACGCTCTGACCTGCTTGGAATACCCATACGTAACGTATGCATAATACTCTATGCTAGTATTCTCTGGTTCTAATAGCTCTTACAAATTTCCGTGATAGAGTCGGCGTAATAACTTCCCGCAATGTAGTATTCAAGAAATGGTACAAAGCTTGTATTACGATGCTGATATGGTTGTCGCTTCTGACGGTGGACCAAATGACTTATAGCTGAGGAACACATTCTGTTACACAACATATCACAACATATAATATTCACATTCATTAATCAGGTTTTGCTATATCATACGTGGTATATCTGAGTTGTACTGAAGTATATATAGTGAATAGCTGCGCCGTTGCAAGATACACTTGTCTAGTAATTAACATGTCAAGCTGGCTTCAAAGGCAGAAACGGTGCGGGTTTAATAAAATTATGGTTCTGAGTTAGACACTTAGAAAACTTTCGATTCACTTTTATACAACTACATATTATTAGTGCAGCTCTGTAGCATACATAAAACGTCAAGGCTGTAAGCTACTCATCAAGGTCAAGTATGCACGATGAGCGCGGGATCACATATCTCGTCAATACCTTCACGCATTCCAGGAAGCTACTTAGTTACCATATGCCAATATGGACAATTTCAGTGAATTCTAATGCTCAGGCCAATACTAGCTCAGCATCACGATGCCGTTGTTACGGTTTCGACCATAAGCACACATGTAAGCAGGAGGAGGCATTCAAGCAGCCTGATTTGAAAATCCTATGATATGGCACGGTATCGTGGTGCTTATTCCTTTTCTGCAGAAGCTATGAAGCGTCTTACCATCCTTCGAGTCGACTGATCTAGGCACTTCGGTTCGGAGATTCTGAGTAAGAAGCGAGACGAGGGCATACCTGCGGAAAGCCTTGGGATAGAGAGACGGCCCTCTTCTATCCTGTATCCTGAATCATTATAAATAGCCGTAAAATCCCCTCGATAGTAGGGAACGATCATCCTCTACTATACTCCCTATCTCTCAAAAGCTCATCAAAGTCTAGCTTCACCATTCAGAATGCGTTCCGCACTTGCGATTGTCAGCTTCGCCGCTTCCCTGGCGAGTGCACTCACACTGCCTCGCGACAACAGCAAGAGTGCTGTCGCTCTCAAGGACGAAGGAGATGTCCATACCGAAGCGATCACTCATGTCTACCTCTGCCAGGGACCTGGATACGGAGCTCCATGCTCTCTTGAGTCCCTTTACACTGGTTACTGCTGTAAGCGCTGTTGCCTGCTTGACCCTAGATATACTACCATTACGCTAGCTAACACACTGTGCAATTGTATAGACTACTTCATCAATGGCTATGATAATACTATCTCGTCTGCTCAACCTGATCCCGGCACCACTTGCGCCATTTTCGAGTATGTCAATATTCATGAACAAATTCTCATTATAGCAGTGGAGCTCTACGCAAATGACCTAACACTAACTTCTATTACTCAAGTGACGCGGCCTGTGGAGGTACCTATCTCTCGTTCACCTACCCCGGCATTTCAGACCTGAGCGCCTATGGTTGGAACGACCGCGCAAGCTCGATTGCCTGCTTCTAGTCAATAGGTGAAGTTGGCGCAGTATTTTGGGGGTCCCTATGCTGTAGGCTTAAGTTGGGCAGCGATGTTCTTGTTGCCCCTATTATGGAAGCATGGAGGTTCATTGGTTGGAGCTTCTCTACGCTCTTTTAAATACAGCGCGCTGAAAATATTCATATTTAGTTATTTCCTTTATCAACTCATGAAAAAGAACACAGTTTAACGTGTATTTCCCCTCTTTCGATGATATCGTAGTGACATGACTGAAAGTTACAGTTGAGAAGGGGCCTTTCTTAGAGACTATAGCTATCGGATTCCTATACTCAGGTTATGCTATCATCGAATTGGTCAGAGACTCCTGTGTGACTGTAACTCTCCACAGCGTAAGTTGGTCAAGGACTCCTGTAGCCCCTGTTGATCATTGCCATCTGAATAGCTTCAATACCAAGCCCAGTTGCCTGTCTTTGTTGTACTCTTCAAGCTTTCTTCAATCGGCGTTATGATGTTACCATATACCTGGTGTCGCATTTCTTCCTGACCCAGATCAAGGTTTGGATAACCAAATGCAAGTTTCAAACAGCATTCTACAGAATTACAATATTCCTGACCCCCAACCAGCGCGACCTTGCTCAAGAGGCTTCGTACTATCTCGAACCCCCGTTCTGTTGTGCAGTCAAATATCTCTTTGGGAGACGCATTCGAGTTAATTGCGCCAGACTTCTCAGAAAGCACGTCATCCATGGACCTCCAAAGAATCACCTCAATCAGAAGTACAAATAGACCCCATATGAGCTCATTTGTAAAACCTTCAGGTCTTGGTATGATGCAGGTGTTGCTACCACAGGGTACAGTACAGTTGGAGCCATGGCGGCACAGATCTTCCGGTGCCTTTTTCGATATGTAAGCTCGGTCGAAATTGATAACGTCGTTGAAACTGCTAAGACACAACATTTGACTGGTCATTATCGTCGACAACCATGGCGTTTCATGCAGTTGAATGATACCCGACGAGATTGCGGCGGCAAGGGCAAGCTTCTGTGGCAGTGACGGAGTACTCCGCTGGCGCCAATGAGCCGGTGCTTTCAGTATATCCCAGATAGAAACGAAGTTCAGTACAGAGCTCTCGCAATTCTCATCGAGGGGTATAACACTGAACCGCCCATACTCTTGAGCCGATGGGTCCGTCGCGTACCCGCAAGCTTTTGATTTAAAGACGTCTATGCTCAAGGAGTGGCATAACTTGTCTGTCATCAGCTGTGGCGGTATTGGGGACATAGGGTATTCGGGCGCTGGCTGTCCGTTGTTTACCACCTGGGTATTGAGATGTCCTCTAGTTGTAAACTTCACCCGCTTCACCACCCTTTTCCCACTCGCATCCCCAATCGAAGGACGCGTAGGAAGATTCAATTCCCCAGTTGAATTCTTTGATGATATATCAACCTGTAATCTGACTGATTTCCAATCCCAAGTCTTGGGATTCGGGTTCTTGAGCCCCAATGCATCGTAATGTGACAAGATCGCTCGAAAGTCTAGTTTCCCGACTATGTTTTCTTCTTCCCCTCGCAGACTCAATCGCGGAGTGAGAAGTTGCAGGCATAGCCCATGCTTTAGCGGGCAAGCTTCGCATAGACCTAGTTGTAAGGCCTTGTATAGACTGCGGATGACCCATCTGAACAGCTCCAGATATTTTCCCTGGGATCGCTTGCCGCGGCTAGGCTCAAGTCGTAAACTACCAATGACTATGGTCTCTAGAGTTTGGTTCTTGGCAATTAGTCCCTGAAGCGCCTCATCATATGACGAACGTTTGATGACTAGAGACACCCGCATAATGTACCGTTTGACGGTTCCTCCTGCGTAACGTTCCGGCTATTGAGAATGATTCGTATTAGTTGATGGCAGTTGCCAGAAGGAGGATGTAACTAGAAAGTACTAACTTGTCCTTCGGGACTGAGCCCCAGATTCGATTTTAGCTCTTCCATGATGGTGAGCATATCCTTAACAGTGTCTTGAAAGGTGTTGTACATGTGGTCAAGCCTTGTTTCAATGCGTTTCTTCGCATCTTCGTCTTGCCATAACGGGCCAAAAGGCTCGTTGAGCATTGGCTCTAGCTTAGCTGGAGACACGATGCCTCCCAGTAGAGTTTCGCATGTGTTATATAATTTACCATGTTCCGTTTTCAGATTTCGAATGAGGCTTTGAACAACTCTCACATGCCCGCGCCACGTGGACACGGCACTTTTACCGTCATGGTAGTGTTCAAGGGCGGAAATAATTAGAGGGATCACTCCCAACACAAGGCCAACGGCCTCAACACCTGACATTCTGCATATAAACTGCGCTGTTTCCCTGGAAAAGCGTAACTTATCGGAGACACGACTCAAATGGTGACGCAGGCGCTGTATTTCAGGTGGTCGGTATGATATGGCAAAGCCAGATCAGATAGTCCGCGCCTTCTTATGCAGTTCCTTATTGGACATCGGGCACAGCCTGCATGAGTAAATGAATACAATTCTGATCGGGGCATCCTTTTCCCGAATCCGATGTCACAGTAATCTCTCAGCTCTCCAATGGCACTAACTTGAGATGATCTTCAGTTTGCTAGCTTTCTGCATCTGGGATACGATGGAGCTTTACCTCACCTCCTAATGGCGACTTCAATTTCTGAATACGTAGTACAATGCATACAAAAGTTTCAAGCCGCTTCATCGGAGTGTGATAAGCTGAACGATGCGGCACGTCAGAAGTTCCTTGATGAGTTTGCACGGTTCAAGATCTGGGCGGGTAATTTGGGGGCTCACCGCAGGGGTCGCAGTTCACTAGATTGGCGCCTTCGCGACGCATCACATCTCCGAGAATTGGTTATCAATCTACTCACGGATTTGAAGAGTAGTCTCCATGACAGTATGTTATAAATATCGGATGATTGGAGATATGCTCGTTGGAATCAATTTACGCTAATGAGTAAAAAGCTCAGTCACTGCTTCATAATGATCTCAAAACTGATCAAAATGAAGCGCTAATCCCAGAAGGCTCTCTCGGAACTGATGATATCGAAACCAATGATGATACCGAGTTCCTCGAAATTATTACAGATATAAATGATATAATAGGTTGCTTGCTAAGACTTTCAGTCTCGATCAGAAATCCCGCTCCGCATGACCATTTCATGTCATCGAAGTTCATCGATACCTCCTATTTTGAGGAATACGACGTGGAACACGTCAAAGCCAAGTTTCCGCATATAGAACTAGCATTAGCAATTCGCCTAGGAAAGGCAATATCTCAAAGACGACAGTACTTCAAGTATCGCAAGGCTCATCATGAAAAGCTCAATGCAGGGTTAGATCTCGACTTGGGAAGATCCGAAGCCGGAGCTCAAAGCACAATCGCATCGTCTATACCAACCGCACTCAAGGATAACGAAAACAGCCACCCGGCATTCAGTCGACTCGATGAAGAGGAAGAATCGAATTCCGGTGCTTCTCAGACATCTTACGCGACTTCTGGTCCGGAATCGGGTCGGCTCAAGATCCCTTCGCTACCAAAACAAGCAAGTGATGGTCCTTTCGAATGTCCATTTTGCTACATGATAATATCAGTTAGCACTACAATCCAATGGAAGTACGTTGCGCTTATTATGACAATGTTTGAGAAACGGCGAATAATTACACTACTGATCATTTCGATAGGAACCACGTAATTGCGGACTTGCGGCCATACACCTGTGTCGAGTTAGATTGCTTGACTCCAGAGCAGCAGTACACCAGACGCCGAGACTGGCTGGAACACCTGGACCAGAAGCATTGCCGAGTCTTCAGATGCCCCTATTCTTGCCAGGAAGCAGAGTTCGACACACGTAGTCAGCTTGAACGTCATCTACGGAGCCTTCACCAACAAATGTCGTCTCAAAAAGATCTCAGCTTTATGATTAGTTTATGCGAGCGGTCTATGCCTTGGCCGGAAGAGGCCAAATGTCCACTCTGCCAACACACTCTATATTCGAAGGGAGAATATGCTCGCCATGTCGGCCGGCACCAGACCGAACTGGCTCTATTCGCCCTTCCGCGCAATGAAGACGATGAAGAAGATCTCCTAAAAGTAGAAGATGAAGTAGAAGATGAAGACGATACAGAAGGCGAAGATGATGTAGAAGACGAATATGACAATGTCAAATTTGTGGCTTCAGGTAACGTTTTTTTTAGAGCGGTCGAGGATGCGAGACTAGCCCACGAGGAAGCAAGAGCGAAGGTGGAAGAGGAAAACCGGAAAACGAGCTCCAAAACGCCTACCCGCAATAGCCAGAATCTCACTCCATCCACCATTGTGATCGAGCCCACTGAGGAATCTCAACGGTTTTACAATCAGAACAGGCGCGAAATGGATAGACAGCGCCTTGAACCCCACATAGAAGATATCCTTCCATTAGAACCCAAGATAGCGAGTGCCATTCGCGGTAGGAGGAGAGGTCCAATAGAGTTGGAAACACGAACTAAAACTGCTTTCAAAAGAAAATTCAAGCTTACTTGCGCATTTCATCGCGCAAAAAGGGTATCGGTAAGTTTTAATGAATTCGGGAACATATTAAAGTTCATCTGGACACGACTATTCTAACCAGGCGCAGTGTAACTGCCATGATTTCTCGAAATTGGAAGAAGGCTATCGCAAGTACTGTGCGGATGAAGAGCAAAAGGCAAGAGCTGCCTCCCGAGGTGAGTCGGTGAGGCCGTTTGGTGAAGGTAATAAAGAGACGTACAGAACTGGTGATGGCGTACCGTCCAAGGACGAGGTAGACGCTCTCAGGAGGAGGTTTAACTTCCCGTCCCGTAACTGAAATACATAGTTAACCCCCCGCCCCTCCTTTCCTAGCACCATTATCGCAGATCCTCAAACCCACCACGCCGCTCCAGAGCACAGCGCGAGGTGGAACCAGCGACAAGCGGTCAACGTCATAAATATGTCATGTCCCTGAAATATCATCGGGCCGCAAAAAAAAAAAAAAAATTCTAGACACGCGTTATCCACAATAGTACCCAGTATAACGATAGTAACGTGGAGCTAATTACTTCGCGCGAACGCGGGACAGGGTGCTTTTACAATTGGCATGCTGATATCACATCACTTGGTCGCTAGTTTTAGTACATACAATTCAATCAAAGGGTGAAGTGAGGAAAGGATGTAAAGGGTCAGATGGAGGTTAATCGTCAATGCTATGACAGTTTGTTGTTTTAGTATTCACTTTCTTGATGCTACCCTCATGTCGCCTTATTATACACAGAAATATGTATCAACATGGCACGAGACAAATCATTTCCCCCCAAAGAGCAAATGCAGTGTAGAAGATTCATTCAAAAAGGTACAATTCATAATCTAGTCAAGGATATCTCTTCTACCTTGCCATACAGTCCATACCACCTATTATTTCGTTGCGATATACATTTTACAACTTGCCAGCGGCAAAGAAGTCCTCAAGCGCCTCCACGACTCGGGCCTTCATGGTCTTCTCACCCTCACGAACCCAGACACGGGGATCGTACTTCTTCTTGTTGGGCTTGTTGGCGCCCTCGGGGTTACCAACTTGTGTCTTGAGGTACTCAATGTTACTGGTAATGAAGTCACGGTGACCACACAGGTACGCCCATTGCAGATCGGTATCCAAGTTGACCTTGCAGACACCGTAGCCGATGGCCTTCTTGAACTCATCCTTGCTTGATCCAGAACCACCGTGGAAGACAAAGAAAATAGGCTTGCTGTCCTTGGACACGCCCAGCTTCTCAGCAGCATATTCTTGGTGCTTGCCCAGGATATCGGGTCGAAGCTTGACATTGCCTGGCTGGTAAACACCGTGGACATTACCGAAACCAGCAGCAATGCTGAACATCTTTGAGATAGGGCTCAAGGCCTGGTGAATGGCCCAGATGTCCTCAGGCTGCGTGTATAAGGAGTTGTTGTCGACGTCCTCGTTGTTAACGCCGTCTTCCTCTCCACCGGTGATACCGACCTCCATCTCTAGCCATAAGTTGACGGCGGCGGATCTCTTTAGGTACTTGGCAGTGGTTTCGATGTTGGATTGCAAATCCTCCTCAGACCTAAACAGCCAGATGTTAGCCCTTCTGTACTTAAGGAGCTCGAATTTTTCCGTGGTAGATGAGAAGAACAGAGTATATGATGTATAGACGGGTAGTGTGGCCGTCATGAATCTTGAACAATTGGAGCGACATAGATATCACACTTACAGATCAATCATGTGGCTACTGAATAGGGGAGTTCCGTTGTTCTTGAAGAATTCCTCTGTATCATGTCAGAATTCCGTCCATTGACTCAAAAATATGCCGTCAGCACTAACCATCGGCATCAAGCATGCCATCTAGCCAAGGAAGAAGCTTCTTGGCACAGTGATCGGAGTGAATGATCACTGGGATTCCGTATAGAGGTGCGATGGAGCGGATGAAGTGAGCGGCGGCTAGAAAACAAAGAGTGTCATGTCAGCCAGTAGTCAGTAAAACTAGAGGGAATTGGTTGTAATTACCAACGGCACCGGCAATGGAAGCCTCCTGGTTGGTGTTGGAGATGCCCTTGCCAGCAAAGAAGGCAGCGCCGCCATTGGAGACCTGGAGTATGATAGGAGACTTGGCGTCGCGAGCAGCCTCCAGAGTTGCGACGACTGTAGAAGAAGAGGTACAGTTAACGGCAGGCAGAGCGAAACCTTGCTCCTTCGCGTAGCTGAGGAGCTGTTCACAGACGAGGTTTCAAGTCAGCCGATGCGTCATGTACTTGAGGAAGCGCAAAGGGCGTGATCAAGAGGCAGAAAGAGGCCCCGGGACAGCAGTAGACGTACCTTGTAGACGTTCTCGCCGTAGACGACGCCGGGCTTGAGTCCGAGCTTGTCCATGACAGCCATTTCGGATGTGGTATTCGGAGGTGAGGTGGGGTATGAGCGACAAGAACAAGCTTTGCGTAGTAGCAGGAAGTTAGCTGGTATGGTCTGGTCTGGTATGTATGGAGAGTGAAAGGGAAGAAAGAAAGGGCAAGAAGAAAAAGTAAGAATAGCAATGAGGTATTAAGCGGACGAGAGAGGGGGTCTGGAGCAGGGAGAAGAGGAGCAGATTGTAGGACAGGAGAAGCAAGGTGAAGCCGGACGAATTTAGTTTGGTACTGTAGGTGGTTCGAATTATGGGCTATGGGCTTTGATCTTTACGACGGGACCTCCGTAAAAGATGGGTAGGCGAGAGGTAAGTACCTTAGGGAGCACGGTGCCTGACTAGATACTCTGTAGAATGACTGAGAAAGAGTGGAATCATCACCTACTTGTCGATTACTGACTGATTACCTACTGACTAGGTGCCGTATTGTATTTGCTGAGAAGGGAAGAAAGTGAGAGAGATGTATGAGGTTTATTATCACGACAGCTTTTCTCGACATGTACTTATTGGATAGGTACCTACCTAGGTACCTATATTACAGTGGTTGTGCACCGCGAACACCACACATAGGTAAGTATCTGAGGTCAGCGCCTACATAGCCTGCGTAGCTGTCAGATCAGGTCGTCTCTGGCGTAGGAGGGGGAGGGGGAGGGGTAGGAGGAGGGGCAGAGAGAGAGCTGGGGCCTCTAAGTACCTAGGTACATAAGGTAGGTACGGTAGGTAGGTACCTATGCTCTATGACTGCATATGATCACATCAGTGGACACCGGCTTGGTGGTTCGAGCCCGCTACAAGTCCACTAGGAGTCCGCCGAGCGGCCGCTTGGCAGCCCTGGCAGCCCCTCTTTCGGCGGGACCTGCATGCAGTACTGATGCGGTACTTTGTCTGCTTGCAAAAATATGCGATCGCCGATGTACTGAGGGGCTATTATTTCAATTGCCAAATGATTGGCGGCATCTCGTCCACTGCCCCGCCCCAGCACGACAGTAGGTTTTCCGTAGCACCTAGCGCAACTCGCTCATCCATCAATGGATAGCTCTCGAGCTCCGTCGTCCGGTGTCGTGTTTGCCGTTGTCGTCACGAGAACCGAACCTCCATCTCGATGCCCGTTCCGGATTATCCCACCTCTTCAGATTACTCCGTACACGAACTCCCCAAATTGTAACCCATTTGCCGACAGATTGGCTGCCAACGATGAATTCTCGGATACCCCATCCAAACCGATGTCACCCTGCTGTCAATTGACTCTACTCGCCGCCCGTAATAGTACAGCGTCATTATCAGCTATATGCGTGACCACTGGTCTAATTCCCAATACCCACGGTTCTAGATACGTGAGGCTGTATGCGAAGCTGGTGAGAGACTACACGTATACATGAGTCAGCTTGGCTGTCAGAGTCAATGCCACCCATGCCAAGCGTTTTCCCAATCCCCATGGGGAACCAAGAGCTTCCTTACATGGACTATTGAAAAAAATATAAAAGTCATGGGATCACGAGAATAATAGCGGCTATCGTCGCCGTTGCTGTCGCCGTTTCATAGGCTGAACCAATCAGCTGTAGAATCACAATGAGGCGGCCGACTCTGCCTCCTACCCACCCTGCATGAACGTCTTCTGCCGAGGATCCATCGCGGCCTGCACCCGAAGTCTCCCGGACATTCACGATCTCGGTTCAACTGATCTTGATACCTAGCTCCCACGTCGTTGACGATGTTCCGGTCTACACCTTGTTGGGTGTTGGCATGCAGTAGTGTATAGGTTCCCCAGACCTCGGGAGCTGGAGAACATCGATAAGAATACACGCTATGCTTAATGTAGCATACCTACTTACCAGTTGCCGAAGCATTTCCTGAAGTTGCCGCGTTTGTACGGCCCCCAACCTGCGTCGAGACTGATCACAATCGAGGTTAGTATCTCTTTCGACTTTCCGTACTTTTCTTTGCGGAATAGCGCGTATGGAACAAGTTAAATACTGGTAGTTAGTTACGTACATGCCTAAATCAAGACGACAACCAAGCCTCGGAAGCAATCATAGAAAAGATACTCAGAATATATTCAATGGAGCGCAGATGAACATTGTCGTTGGGATAAATGCTAATAAGATGGAAAGGGCTTAGCTGAACTTAGCTGAGCTCGGCTGAGTGGATAGAATCCCTCAGCCTCTTCTCGCTACTAGCTTGGTTGTAAACCACACAGGAGACTGAAATTAGATGCTAGAACCCGATTCCGAACGACTTGAATAAATCACTTGTCAGGATAACGCTTCCTGCGACCCGGCGTACCATGTGCAGGCTATTCCCTTCTAGTCTTCATTACCCATCATGACCAGTAGTAACGATGCGGGATATCTTCTCCCCTGCTCCGCATCCTTCAAATGCTTCGACCGCTTCAGCATCATAGATGACACAGAAGATCTCGAGGACCCAGACGGACAAGTACCGTTTTGGCCGATCCTCACTTCCTTGCTCAGATCCACCCCGATAGAAACACCAACACAGCTGGCCGAGCTCCTAGACACCATCGCCGTCACCCTGCGCGGGAGCTCCGGACCAGCAGGCGACTACGGATTCCTCAAGTCTTTCATAAGTACATTGGAGCCCGCATTCTTCGGCACATACTGGCCCTTAATAGTCCAATTCGCCCTCGAGCTCCCGGAGCACTTTCCCAGCGGAATCCTTCCGGTTCTCGGCGCCGAAGGTACCACATCTACTTTGGAGCTAAGCAGACGTCAAACAGCATGCCTCGTGGTCCATCAATTCCTGTGTACCTTATGTCCGCCGGCGTGGCGGGAGGAGTACTTCGACTTCAGCATATGGTATGCCTCGGGCCAACGCCATGAGCAAGCGTGCAGGATATATCTAACCTGCCTATTAACATACCTGGGGACGTTCCTCTCTACGTCTGATCAACAACAAGACGATTGCCACGTGACTTACACCCTGGTAACCGCTGAGGCAGACTTCACGACAGTAGGTTCGTCACAGGCGCCTCTTAGTCCAATCGAGATTACGCTTGTAGACAACTACGAGACATCTCCCGCCCAACTCGGCCTGCCCTCCGGCGCAGCCGTAGTCTCCGCAAACCGATTCATCGGCTTCGGACAATCCGCAACACAAGAAGAAGTCCACGTCGGGAGCTCGCCAGCATCATGTCCAGCCGTTCTAATCACGCCTCCGCTAGCGAAGAACCAAGTCCTCGTAGTAAGAGGCGCAGAAGCCGTGTTGAGCATCACCGGACAGCGACGGAATATCACCGCAATACCGCAAGATACGATTATATCTACAGAATGGCGCGCTCGCACAATGTTATTCATGGACGCGCTGGAACTCGACGTCGAAAGCGACGCGAGCGGTCTTCCGGATTTAGTACCAGAGAATCTCACGCGAGAAGTCAATAAAGCCGCCATTGCGTTCTCATCAGGGATGTACGAGGTTATTTGTAGTCCGCTCTGGGGCTGCGGTGCCTTTGGCGGCGACCCCTATGTTAAAGTCGCGCTGTTGTGGTGCGCTGCTTCTGCGGCTCATACGTCTTTGAAGATCATCTGTGATCGCGAGGCTCGCGAGATCGTCTCGTCGTTGACTCGTCTTGTTACGGCTGTGAGAGGCCGATTGGTGACGGCGCAGGACTTGATGGGACTCCTTCGGTCTATACCTAGAAATACTGCGAGACTGCAGACGCTTGACTGGATGGTAGAGCGATTGGGCGCGTGATGTCATGCTATGGACTTACTCGAGTCTGGCATATTGCCACCTGAAAACGTAGAAGATTAAACCAAAGACGATAGACTGCCATAATCATAGCAGGTTAAGCCACTAAGCCTACTATGACTTAACGCCTATGCACTAGGTATACTTATAGAAGGGCTAATCATACAAGTATTAGCATGAAGTTACATGTTTATGTGCGAGGCTATTTATATGTAAGGCTGACCCTTCGTTATAATAGCCCTCATAATAGCTGTTATATTTATAATGAATAAGCACTGTAGTCATTGCGGACGTAATGGTTTACCTGCTATGATTATAGCGGCTGTACTAGGATGGCTATTGCCCATGGTTTATCTTCCAAGTTTTGTCCTATGTGGCCTCACTGGACCTTCATGGTCTCAACGAAGTGCTAGAAGCCTCTTCCACACCGCTACTCTCGTCTTTCGTGCGTCGGTTGCGGCTCGGATAGACACAAGGATAGCATTCCATCATGAGAGGAACGACCAATTAAATCATGATACCATTGAGTCTGCGAGATCTCAGATCAAGCATTCGAACTGCGCAGCTGTGCAGATGAATAGCGCTACCAAAGAAGTTAGTAAACGGTCTCTAACCGTCGGCATCATACGAGACGTGGCGGTGAATATCAAGAGAGGTATCGTACGATGAGTACAGTATCAAGATTACCAGCGCCGTACACCAAGTTGAGGAACCCGTGATGCTTTGTCCGGACGCAGAGGTGTGCCGTAAGGAATGTCCGTCTCGTATTAGAAGCGACGAGCGTAGCTAGGTATGTACGCAGGATAGCCTATATAGTGAGTTGGATTCTATTCCTACCAGCACCCGCCATCTCCGTACTGGTAGTAGAAGTTGGATAAAGTTCGCGGCATGGCATATCGCTCATGCAATAGCAGAAAAAAACAGCAAGCATTGACCGAGTTTAAAATGTAAGCAGTGTATGACTAGGTAGGTAGGTAGAATAGGTATGAATCATGATATATCTCGTCCCGTCAAAGAATATCAATCCTCCCGGGAGTCTTCTTCATGAAAATGATATAAACCTCTTTTCTCTACTGCAATTCCAAAATTTCGCTGAAATTTTCCCCAAGTATTTTTTTTTCCCTCCAAACTTGAAGCCCGCTTTCCCCCCTAATTTTACTATCACAGTTTTGCTTGGTATACGTTCTCTCGTTGCTTCTCGTGGCCTACGAACACCGAGTCGACAATCTCCTGGGATCGAACGGCGAGGATCGATAGCAATGTGTCGCTTAGCTACATAACCAGTCGTTAGATTTCTTTTGGGCTCGTGTTGATGGCGAGGGCGAATGCAGGCAGGTGAAACTTACTCCGTGGGTTCCCTCGCAGCATCCTTGCAGCCAGACACCCGAGCCCGGCGAAACCTTACCGGGAGCGAATTGTATGCCGTAGTCGCGACCAACCTTGACCGGCCGCCCCCTGATCTGAGCATCGTACTTGCCCGGCTGTGATCCCACCGCGCTTGCTGTCTCAGGGGCTTTGGGGAGAAGGTCGGCGACGTCTTCCATCATGGTCAGATGGGCTTGCCTCTGGTAACCCGTGGCGGCCACGACGAGATCGCAATCGAAGATTTCGTCTTCGCGGTCGGTGACTTCGCTGATAGGTCGCACTCTCAGCCTTAATTTGTCACCTTCTGCCTCAACCCCTGCGATGGCGCTTGATCCCAAGATGCGGTGTGGCCACTTCTTGCTGTCTTTCCCTAATTCTCGCTGCTGGTCATACATGCGCTCGTACAAATGCTCAATCAGCTCAAGTCGAACAACTCCGTAATTCGTGGCACGGGCATCTCCCAGGAGAGAGTGGCGGAGCTCGCTGGATCTTTGATACAGTTCGTCGACGTAGGAGGGGTTAAATATCGAATTCACACTGTTCAAATATCAGTCATGCATTCAATCCCATTCATGCCGGATGCGCGTGATATCTAGCGCTGGACTGTTTCGTGCATATAGGGTCTGGCTTACAATGGAGAATCATCGCTAGGCTTCAGGAACTCGGAGCGCATGATCAGAGTCGTTTTCGAATTTGGGTATAAGTTCTGTATGTTGCTAAATATTTCTGCCGCGCTTTGCCCAGCGCCAACAACAGCCACGCGATATGGCGCATCTCGCTGCTTGAGTATCCGGGGCACTAAGTATGCGTATTGGGAAGAATGGATGACTCGGGGGTTGTTGGAGGGCAGGCACTTGGGTATCGACGCTTGGCCGCCAATGGCAAATAGCACGTTCTTGGCTGTATGTGTCACTATGGTACCCGTCTTGACGTTCCTGGAGGTGACAGTGAAGGTAGATACCGGTCCCGAGGACCTCTGCTTTGGAGAAACCGAGATGACCTCACTACCGTATCGCACGACGTCATCGAACGAGCTAGCACACCAGCGAAGATAATCTTCGTACTCGACTCGCGCAGGAAGAAATGTGCTTAAGTTGGTGAACTCAACGAGCCGTCCGTTCTCGTGTAGGTAGTTCAAGAAGGTGAATTTGGAGGTCGGGTCTCTCAATGATGCCATGTCTTTGATGAAAGAGATCTGCATCTTAGCTCCAGGTAAGAGCATTCCGGCATGCCAGGCGAACTGTTGTTGTTTCTCTAAGAAGAGAACCTTGGGTGACCCTGAAGCGCTGTTCCCGGGCAGCTTTCCCGAATTGATTGAGTCGTGAAGGGCCACAGCGACAGCCAGACTAGCTGGGCCAAAGCCAACACAGATGAGGTCATGAACTTCGTTGGAGGGAGTGGGTTTTAGCTTGGAAACAATACTTCGCCGCGTGCTGTTTGCGACGGGTTTTTTCACAGTGTTCTGAATAGGATAGCTTCGCTCGACAATGGAGACGACATGGCGATCGTCGTCCACAAGACTATGAGGAGCCATGGTTCTGAGGGCCACTTTCGTTACGTACGATATTGCTCGCGTCGTCTGGCAGTCCGCAGTTGTAAAGCTATCATGCAAGTTAGCTAACTATGTTGTGATAAATCGGATTGAAAGTGAGTCCAGATCTAAGACGGTAATGATCTCAGTCGTGATGTTGGGTTAAGTTAGAGAGACAGGTGGGTAAATGGCAAGTTAGGCTCTTGGTGATGTTATAAGTGACACCTAGTAAGTGACACGGCCGGAGACTGAGCAAACATACCAATATAGCAGATGGGAAACCCGGGGATGTGGAAGACTTGCCGGGACTTCAAATTTGCTGGCCAGTGAAGGAGGCAGATCTTATTATACCCCGAAGACAGTTGAAAGACCCATATTCCGTCGCTACCGACATGTACTCTTCCAGAATCGTGGTGCGGCCTAGTACCGGCCGGGCAAGTGTCAAGGTGAGACTTGGGTATAGCGAAGGCACTCGGGTGGAGATGAATATGCTGCTTTATTACAGATCTGTAGTATGTATCATGGGCCTCGTTCTAGCGCCAGGGCAGAATTGGGACATGGACAAGTGCAACGAGGTTGACCGCTGTGGCGTGCTGCGTCTTGCAAGGCGCGTCTGAGGCAATGGTATGGGTAGACGTCTTGGGAACGGAAATCCATCCTTCATCGTACCTAGTCCGCTACAGTAGGCAAGCGCTCTACCCACTTTAGCGCAAATGGAATACTATATTCGTAGGTGGATGCGATCATTACTGTGTACAAGCATTAAATCCCAAGTATAAGTCGATGGCTAGATTCGAGTGGGCGGATCATCTTTTTATTCCTAGTTTGTCTACAGGCCTAGGAAACGCACAAGTTTCATGCAGATGAGTCTCTGTTTTCAATAGATTCCTCTTCTGTCTATCAGATAGCGCCTAGCAATTCGATATCTTCATGAGTGAGGCGCCCTGAGCTGGAGGAGAGGGAAGAAGAAAAAAAAAGGGCGTACTTGTGCAGTAATGACGATGCATATCATCATGATGCAGCCAAGACTGGCGTGTCAACGGCTGATGGCGACATCGGCATTATCATCGGATCAGATAAGATGCGCCTGCATGGGACTAAGACAAGCCGCCGTAGCGACGACGACGAGTCTGGCCGTGCTATTGGTGGCATGTGAATTTTCATCATCCAATTCTGCCGCCATCTCCACCATCAAGCAAGCAAATCGCGCATTCAGGGTCAATCACGGTTGGCCTGCCCCCACGGGTAGACGGAATTTTGCTTGAGAAAGGATACTAGGGCGGAAGACTCAACTGGTAAAAATAAGCAATCTCGCTCGGCCCCACGGTCCAGGGTGAGGTGTGTACCCGAGCTAGAGCCATTGGAAAGTTCCAGTTTGCTGTGATCCAGCTTCCATGCCTGACAAGCCCGGCCGCGGATTGAAAGAGGTTACGGTTGGTATTTGGGCGACTGACTTCCAACGACTTGCAGAGACTGTGCACCATGCTGTGGACGAGACATGCGCGGCGTTGGCTCCAAGGTCAATCGACGGCTTCATCTCGAGAACGGAATTGTAATGGAAACTGAATACGAAGTGGGGGATGGGCTAGACTACGTGTAGAATGGTTTGGAATATCTAGCTATTTCTGCCACCATCCCACGTGATGAGCACACTCTTCAAGTACATGTACAGTAGTTCAAGACGCTCATACATAATACATACAAACCTAACCTACATGGGCAATGATTGTGCGTTGTTTGTATGAGCCCACCATGAATCTTCCCTTACCTGGTGGCTGATATGGCAGAAGACCCCGAGTTCATGCAGAGACAATGAGTGCGCTCGTCTTCCAAAGAGCTTAACCGACGGTGTAGCGGGGCCCAACAACTACGGTCCAGGAAAAGCCGACTTTCGGCTACCGAGTTATCAGATCCTGCGGTAGTTGCCTACCCTTGCCAGACTGGCCCATATTAATCTGGCGATATTGGCCCTTGGTGTAATGAAAATTTTTTATCTGATGATCAGATAAGATCAAATCGGGACACCAAATGGGGCCATGTTTCTTGGTATGGAACTAGGTATGACACACCCGACGGTTGCCGTGGTTGTTTGTGGCAGTCGACGCAGGTTTTTCCAACGAGGAAGGTAGTTACAAGCGAAAAGCGGGAAATTAAGGAGAGTTAGTCGAGATGTTTGCGCCACGATTTCGAGCTACGGGTTGTTGTAGCCGATTCGGAGTCGTGATGTGGATGCATTGGAACCCATGTTCAAATACACGTGTACCTACCTCATGCGAGGCCCGAATAATCGTCAGTCGCAAAATGCCACCTGAAACTCGCAGACCTATCTAGATATACTACCTAGGTAGTCTTTAGCCTACCTCGGTCTGGACAGCTTAGGCCAGTTCCTCCTCACTTATGCTAGGTAGATGCTGGCGGGTCTATCATTCGGCTACTGACCGACTCACATCTATAGATAGAGCATAAATCATTTCACGGCTGTTCCATACCTCGGGCTTCAATATCTACTTGGGCCATTGAACATTCTATGCTTCGAGTAACACCTAGTCATAACCTCTTTCGTTTTACTATTCAGCGTTGAGTCTTGACACTTCACTTACGAAGTACACTAATATTCGCTTGTAGGGTCAACTCTGGGCAAGAAAGAAGCCAGAAGAGGCCGATCCCGCAGCTATAGCCACTAGTGGAAAACTTACAGTAAGGAATTTAGAAAAGTAGCATAGATGCCTTGTAAGTACATAGTATCATGTCATTCTCTTGTGGGAGTTGTCCAATTCACCTATCTAGGCTGAGAGATATCCACCCAGCTTAGCTTAACCCCTGAAGTAGGGCGGACGGCGTTCCGAATCATAGCCATTATTAGGTACTATATAAAAAACTATTATTACTATTTCTTTTCAACAACCATTACATAATCTCATATATAACAAAATGCAGGTTTGAAAGCCCTTCAGTTGTCGTATGTTGAGTTGAGTTCAGGAGCACCTGGGCACTTCAGAATATCGCTCGAGCTACCCCCGCGACCCCCTCGCCCAAGCTCCCCAAGCCCCTCGCTACTACATGGGTACCTCAGTACTGGTGGGTAGGAAGTACCCGCCGTGTATCTCATAGTACTCAGATAGGAAAATGGTGCTGATTTTTGGTGGAGGATACATCGTTTGCGTCATCGATACTTGGCTAGCTCGTTCTAGGCAACTGAGATCGATGTACTGCCAGGTTCTCCAACGTTTGTAACATTGGAGCTGCTGCTTATGTAACCCATATGCCTACGAAGTAAGTCCCCTTACAATCAACTCCTCTCCCTGTGCGTCTTCTTTTTCTTTTGAAGCATTTCATTCTACTAAGCAAGTTGGAAATTCTTACGATTTGTCTCAATTTGATATACATCTTTGGTATATATTCTTGGCTATCTTTGCCACGTCTGGCTGCTTTCAGAACACCAGATATACTGCATTCAGATCTGTTTCCATCAGCCCTACCGTCTCATCGAGCTCAATACGATGCTGCATATGATGCGTCGCTTTCCTTGACAGCTTATATATTGTCGCAGCCGCCGAGCCCGCTGTGAGGCGAGGGCTCTGTCTCCTGTATGGCCATGTCTCTGAACCATCCAGGACCCCTGCATGCTGACGGCCTCTCCGTCCTGAATGCCAACCCGGCTAAGCTGCCTGGGCCGCGTTTCCTCCATGAACTTGTCCCACAGGCGGCTAATAACGTTCTGTCTTGTGCCATCGACTTCCTGGCTGAAAATGATCGACGCGTCGTCCTGTCCTACCCACAGCTGCATGCAGCATCTCTCGCATTAGCTTCTCGCATACTATGCATTTTGAGATCAACTTTGGCCCAGTCCGCCTCGACGCTTGAGCATTCAGGTCCCCTAATCATCCCTATACTTTCCTCTCAGTCTCCTCAGCTTTATGTTGCTATACTAGCTGTACTCAAGGCCGGGGGTGCCTTTTGCCCCCTGAATACTGATGCCCCACCTGAAAGAGTGAGATTTATTCTCGACGACGTAAAAGCCAAAATTGTCTTGGTGAACCGAGCTCTTGCTTCCAAACTTCCCACAGGCGACGGTACCTACACAGCCATATTCATCGATGATGTCATTGATACCTTGGAAACTGACGGCGAAGATCTGCATTGCATCCGGGAGCTGACTCCCCAAGATCTCGCATATGTCATGTACACTTCAGGCTCGACAGGCACGCCGAAGGGTGTCGCCGTCTCTCACTTAGCTGCGACCCAATCTATCCTAGCTCACGATCGACATATACCATCTTTCTCCAGATTTCTTCAGTTTGCAGCTCCAACATTTGACGTGTCTGTGTTTGAAATATTCTTCCCACTTTTTCGAGGCGCGACATTAGTGGGCTGTAACCGCGCAGAAATGTTGACTAATCTCGTTGGCATTTTGACCAAAATGGAAGTAGATGCATGTGAATTAACGCCGTCTGTAGCGAACAGTCTTCTAAAACAACGTTCCCGGGCGCCATTATTAAGACTTCTCCTTACCATCGGAGAGATGCTCACAGAGCCAGTTATCCAAGAATTTGGAGGCAACGAACTCAAGAAGAGCATGCTATGGGGGATGTATGGTCCTACAGAGGCAGCAATTCACTGGTAAGGCCTGCTGCTCTTGGGAATTAATGAATTCTGGCTCACAACCCACGCAGCACTGTTCAAAATGCATTTGCAACTACTTCAGATAGGGGTACCATAGGCATACCTCTTGATACTGTCTCGGCGTTTGTTATCCGCATATCCACTGACCCTAATGTGAATTTCAAATTCGGGGTCCTTCCTACAGGAGAGACGGGCGAACTAGCTCTCGGTGGCCTGCAACTAGCCAGCTGTTACTTGAACAGGCCCCAACAAACGACTAATTCGTTCGTGGATACACCGTGGGGACGAGTATACAGAACCGGGGATAAGGCAAGAATCAGGCCAGACGGGACTATCGAGTGTCTAGGCAGAATTGACGACAGCCAAGTAAAGCTTAATGGTCAAAGACTGGAGCTGGGCGAAGTGGAACAAGCCCTTTTAAGGACACCAGGATGCCACGGTGCCGTTGCAGCGGTGATATCGAATGTCCTGGTTGCATTTGCTGCTATGGATCAAAGCTCTGATTCTAATGCACAGCTCTGGGCTCAATGTCGGTCTTGGTTGCCATCTTTCATGGTACCTACAGATATAATAACCACGGAACAACTCCCACAGTTGCCTTCCGGCAAGATCGACAGAAAGCGACTAATTCATGACTACAGCGTGCGAACAAAAAATGTCAGGGGGAATGAAGTACCCATCGATGACTTCGAACGCCTTCTCTGTGAGGTAGCTGCCGCTGTCCTTAGTGAGCAAATTGGTCCACTGACAGACTTTTCTGCGGCGAATATGGATTCTCTAGCTGCTATCGAATATGCCTCAGCTTTGAGAGAAAATGGTGTTTGTATCACACCGGTTGATATTCTGAGTGCTAAATCGCCGCGAGAGCTCAGACTACGAGTGGGAGACATGGGAAGGCCAACCATTTCCCTAGTATCAGAATCCGACTTGAAAACGCACCAATTGTCTGATCCTTTTCGGGAAAAAGTCAGATTAAGACCTGTTTTGGGTGATCAAATCGAAGAGATTGATCGTTTAGAAAGGCCTACACCCTTACAACAATCAATGGTTGCTGAGACTTTGAAGGATGGCCATTTGTACATCAATCAAATCGAACTTGAGGTGATCTCGGACGCCACGTTAGATGTACTACAGTCGAGCCTTAGAAAGTTGGCAGAATGCAATGAAATTCTCCGAACTGGTTTCACCTTTGTAGAAAACCAATTATGCCAGGTGATTTGGAAGCGGCTAGATGAATCCCAGGTTTATTACGTTGAGGATGGAGGCAATTCAACAGCTCAAATTGAAGATGCGGAGTTTTTCCTTCTTCGTCCCTTAAGGATAGAGGTCCGACCTCCCAGTCCCGAAAGAAGCGCCTTGACGTTATTCTTAACCTTACATCATGCGATATATGATGGATGGACGGTTGACCTCATAATCGAGGACCTGTCACTTCTCCTGAGCAATGAGCAACTAATCCGCAGACCCCAATTCTCTCAGGTTATGGGACCGTTACATCATGTCTCGCAAGTCAATAGCGTGGACTCAATGGAGTTCTGGACGGAACATCTTCGCGGGGTTGGTGCTGCGCCCGTGCCGAACTTCAGGACTATAACTACACCCCAGCAGCAGCGGATCGTCAATGTGACGCAGATATCCGTTCATCCTAAAGATCTAAAGAATCTTATGCTTAAAATCTCGGTAGGGCCTCAGGTGCTCTTCCAAGCATGTCTCTTGTGGTTATGGGCTACAGTCCACGGCACTGAAGACATCACAATCGGGTGTGTCTCATCTGGTCGAAGTCTTCCTGTTGCTGGGATTGACAAACTTATGGGACCGTGCATGACGACACTACCCCTCCGAATCAACATCTCGAAGTACAGGACCATAATCGAGCTACTCCAGAGCATTCATTCATTCAATCGGGAAGTTTTACGTTATGGCAATGTTCCATTATCTCAGATTAACACAGCTGCCGGTCTCTCTAGGAGCTCAAAATTGTTCGATGTTATCTTCGCGTATCAGGAATCTCTCGCTAGCCGCAAACACACTTCAAATGTTGTGCGAGAGATGTGGCACCGCGATGCGACAGAAGCGAACCTCGTGGTTGAGATTCAACCTAGAGGAGATCACTTCATATGTCAAACAACGTCCCAGGCAGGCGTGCTTCCACAGGTCCTAGTTGAAACTTTCACACATCATTTCGGCAGCCTCGTTAGTCACTTCATCAGTCATGTCGACGCTCCAGTTGCATCCATCTTCGAGTGTTTCTCTCTTGATAGCTTGTCTCATTTTAACAGCAACCCGAAGGCCATAGAAACATATTCCAGTTTGTCAGAAATGGTAGAGACCTCCGCCTTGAGATATCCCTCGAAAACTGCGTTGTATTTCGCAGAATCACTACGGCCACCGGCTGTGAGCTCGGTATCATTTACATACCAGGAGCTTAACTCCAAGGCCAACCAAATTGCTCGCCACCTCCAACAGTGCGGACTGGTCTCTGGCGGCGTCATAGCTATCATCATGGAAAAGTCGCCCTTATTATATTGCAGTATACTGGGTATATTGAAGACCGGATGCGCATATCTTCCTATCCTTCCTACCACACCATCTGGAAGAGTGAAGGTTATTCTTGATCAAGCCGAACCGTATATGTGTATTGTAGATGCGGTATCATCGCCACTTGTGTTTGGTCGAGACTCTCCCAAGGTGATCAATATTGAAACCGTGACGCTCTCATCATATTCAGATGCCAATGTCGCTAGGCGCGGCGGACCATTAGACCTGGCATATGTTATATATACTAGGTACGTGTGTTCTCTCTACTATCCTTGGCGCTTATTTGCTGATGACTTCCAGTGGCACTACTGGTACGCCAAAAGGTGTCGCAGTTACTAATAGGAACATTTTGAGTAACATCAATGTTCTTTCCAGTCTCTACCCGCACGATCCGTCTGATAGGATGTTACAAGCTTGCTCTCAAGCATTTGATGTTTCTGTATTCGAAATATTCTTCGCCTGGGCTAACGGCATGTGCTTATGTGCTGCTACGAATGACACGCTGTTCGAAGACTTCGAGCACGCCGTACGAGAATTCAAAATTACCCATCTCAGTTTGACTGTGACAGTGGCATCATTATTGGACCCCGAAAATGTCCCTTCTGTCAACTTCCTGGTCACTTCGGGTGAACCAATGACCGATGAAGTGCTCAATAGGTGGGCACAGTATCTTTATCAAGGTAAAACCTAATGTTCCTAATGTCTCCTACGCCGTTATGGTAGCTGATTTGGAAAGGATATGGCCCTTCTGAGACGACCAATATCTGCACAGTCCGTAAGGTTTCTCGCGGGGACTCGTCACAATTTCTTGGATGGTCCTTCGAGAATACCTCGACATTCGTTCTATATCCGGGTTCTACGAACCTTGCCCCATTGGGTTGTAAAGGTGAGCTATGTTTTGGAGGCGACCAAGTAGCATCGGGTTACTTGAGACTCCTCGAAGAAACTGCTACAAGATTTATTAATCATCCTAGTTACGGCCGGTTGTACCGATCTGGAGATTTAGGTCGTATGCTCCCTGACGGCTCTCTTATCATCCATGGGAGAATGGATACACAAGTAAAACTTCGCGGCCTGAGAATAGAACTTCAGGAGATCCAAACGATCGCTTTGAATACGGGCCTTACGAAAGTCTGCAGGAGTATCCTTATTACACATAAGGAAAAAGAGTCACACCAGTTGGCACTATTTTATGTACCATCCGGCACTGAAATAAACAGTTTCAAGTTGTTATCTGTAACGACTGATACATCTAAAGACCGAATCAGGGCTCTGCGGCATGCACTTCAATCCACGCTACCCGATTATATGATACCTTCGTTCATATTTCCTATATCTACACTGCCTTTGACCTCTTCAGGTAAAGTGGACGAAAGGGCATTGCATACGGCTGTCTCGGAGCTTTCAAATAGCGCCCTCGAATCATATAGCCCTGACGATGATGAAGCCGACATACACCCAGACTGGTCTACAACGGAACTGCTGATCGCAGATGTGATCACGGATTTCTTGCCTCAGGATAGGAAAAAGCTTGGGCGCTGGACCACATTCTCTATGCTGGGTCTTGACTCAATATCCGCCATGCCCATTGCTCGTAAGCTTCAATCTACATTACAAAAGCGAATTCCTTTGTCACTACTCCTACAAAATCCGAACATCAGTCGGCTCGCATCCGCCATAGACGGCCTTGCAACTTCCAGAGAATCATCACCTTCTCAGGACCCTTTACTCCCAGACGATCTTATAGAAACATTACGAAAGCGATTTTCAACCACAGGAAATTCAGTCGCAAAGATACTTCCCTGCACACCGCTACAAGAAGCCATGATCATGTCATCATTAAAACCTTCATCTGCAACAAGTAGTAACGGGGTGGCTTACTATAATCAGATGCTGTTCCATCTCCGCATACCATATGAAGTTATGATCGGGCTTTGGAATGATATTGTCCAGCGCCACGAAATATTGCGGACTTTATTTGTTACCACTGAAGATATAAAGTACCCGGCTGTCCAAGTAGTCCTAGACAGCTATGTCTCCGAATGGAAAGTCTTGAATACCAAAGATGTTTCGCTACAGGAGCATGCTTCCCAGCATGTTACCTCTTCTTCAATTACTGCAGATACCAATGCGCCCCCTATGGCATTAGCAATAATTCGTACTGATGATACCGGAGACTACTTGTCATTTGTCTGTCATCATGCAATGTACGACGGCATTTCCATGAGACTCATACTGTCAGAAATAGAGACATTATACTATGGCAAGCATCTTCCCGATCCACCATCTATCGAGCCTTTCCTTCGTCAAATAATTTCGTCACGCCCAAGCCAGGATACTTTTTGGAGACAGCTGTTTCTAGATTTTCAGCCCATTTCACTTACATGCCCAAGACTTACGAAAGACACGATGCCTAGGACTCTATCTGCAACTGCCTCTCAGACATCTTTGCAGTCTATCGAGTCTCAACTTCAAAGTGACGGGGTTTCGATGCTTGCATTTGTTCATACTATTTGGGCAATCACATTATCCATACTAAGTCAAAAGAAAGATATTTCATTCGGTAGTGTCACCGCCGGCCGTTCTATCGCTTTAGACGAGGTAGATAAGCTCGTAGCCCCGTGCTTTAATACTCTGCCAATTCGCATGGATTTATCTACTTCGAAGTTCCTGATAGAAGTCATGAAGAAGTTCCAAAGTCTCAACGCCAAGATGATGCTATATCAATTCACGAAATTACGACATATCCAGAAAGAAGTTGGCGCACAAACGCGTTTGTTTGACACTCTAGTCATCCTTCAGCCATCAACAGACCCTCTCGATGACAAGATATGGTCGTTAGAATACGAAGATGGTTTTATGGATGTAAGTCTCCGAAGTTATGTCAAAAAGTTGGGTCGGCTACTCATATACTCGCCAGGTTCCCATCGTTTGTGAAGTTATTCCCGACAAGCTGCAAAACACATTCACTATTCAACTTCACCGAGATAAGTAGGCAGTTATTTACCCTTAACGAATTTTGATATGCGCCGCTCACTAAATCAATCACAGATCTAAATTCTCATATGAAGCTTTGCAGCTCATTGTCAACATTTTCAGCCATGTACTTGACACTTGCATAAGATATCCCTCATCGCACATCTTCATGAGAGAAGCATTGCCGGGGGATTACCGGGAAGCGATTCCGAAGTTGTTCCACTGCCCAGAGCACTCCCACACACCCGATAGCAGTCTTCCTAGTCCAGCGCCTAATTACGAGCAAGATTGGTCAGAGTTGGAGTTGAGGGTGCGCCAAACGCTCGCCAAGCTGGCACAAGTACCGGAGCATCTTGTCCAACGCCTCGCCCCTATCTATCAATACGGCCTTGATAGTATAGCTGCGATTCAACTAGCAAACCTGCTCCGCCAGCAGAGTCTTTCTATATCAGCAATCGACGTAATTGAGAAGCCTACTTGCGCCGGAATAGCAGCCGCTATCGAGAACTCTGTGAAGGAGGACATCGATGACATTCGCGATTTTAGTACCTTCCACAAGGAGACCGAACGAGATATATTGGAATTTGGGATTGATCCTGAAACTATCGAAGTCGCTTTGCCCTGCACAGCGACACAGCAAGGCCTGTTATCGCAATTTCTCGATTCGAAGGGCCGATACTACTTTAATTATTCTTCCTGGGTGCTAAACATGGCCATAGATTCAGAGACCATCGTCCAGGCATGGTCACAACTCTCCAACTGTCATCAGATCCTTCGAACTGGTTTTATTCCGGTCAACCATTCAGACAGCACCTTCGCAATGATCGTGTACACAGTCGATCACTTCAAAGTCCCAGTGAAAATTTGTGAGTCCGGCACATTTCAACGTGAGCAATGGCTTTCGGATACTATAAACAATTCTCTGAACACAATGGCACTCCCACCTTGGCAACTCATCCTCGAGATGCCCGGGACCACCAGTAGTGAAGAAGCACCAACGATCCATCTTGCAATGCACCATGCCCTTTACGATGCCTTCACACTGAGGACTCTTCTGCAGGATCTAAGTGAGCTCATCTCTCATGATATCAAACCGACAGTGACGGATATAGGCCAAGCCCTATCCCATCATCTTAGCCTCGTGGGGTTGAGTCAAGCGACAGGGGAGGTATTCTGGAAAGAGAAGGTAGACAGTTTTGCCTCTCATAAATTTCCTACCATGACACCGCTTCATGAAAGTCGTCCTGATACCTTGACAACTTCTTCTCTGTGTGAGGTGTCTTCTTCGGATTTCCGCCGGGCTGCTTCTGAAGTAGGCATTACGCTACAAGCCGCGCTGCAAGCTGCCTGGACGCGTCTCCTTAGCGCATATACTGGAGAATCTCGAGTCGCATTCGGGATTGTTCTGGACGGCCGCACTACAGATCTTGCTCGAAAGACCACTCTTCCTATGATCACAACTGTGCCCGTAATAGCTGACAACATAGCTTCGAATGACGATCTAATCAAACAAATGATGCAGTACAACAGCGAGTTGCGTCGTTTTCAGTTTATGCCCATGGCTCAGATCCAACGCTGCCTGGGAACGGCTGATGCAATTTTTGACACCATTCTGATCTACCAGGCCATAGATAGGAGCTCGAAGCCATTACCAGTGCATGTTGTTGACGAAATTGCGTCGGTCGAATATCCAATCTCTCTAGAAGTTGAAGAATTACCATCAAACACAACTCGGTTAACCTTGAGTTATAGAGCCAGCTTGCTGCCAAGGAAACAAGCCACGCTCCTCCTTAGCCAGTTTGAGTCGATTCTCACAGAACTGCTTTTCCCTACCAAAAACGATGCATCGCTCACGATCAACCGACCTGATTTATTTTCCATACTTCCTCCGATTTCTGAGATGCTCCCCATTCACACCTACCTCCTCCATGAACTGTTAGAGAACTCTGCCCAGCTGATTCCCTCTGCCGTTGCTCTTGAATTCGTAGATGATATTGGCCGTTTGAACAATCCTCGAAGGTGGACGTACCAAGAAATGGATATCTTGGGCAATCAAATTGCCCACTTCATCGTTAACCGTGGTATTCGTCCTGGAAGCATCATTGCCACATGCTTCAATAAGTGCCCCATCGCTTATTTTACGCTCCTTGGTATACTCAAAGCGGGCTGCGCATTCCTCTGCTTAGATCCATCGGCGCCTGCGACCCGTCAAGCTTTCATTCTTGGCGACTCGAATGCGGTTATGTTAATGCTGGCAGAGAGCTTTGATTGGACGGCTGAGGTTTCCTTGCCAGTTCATATGGTGAGTGAGAATCTGGTAGCGTCACTCCCGAGTTCAGGTCCTCCGTTGCAACGCCAGATACTACCATCTGATCCTTGCTACTGCCTTTATACAAGTGGTACAACAGGGACCCCGAAGGGGTGTTTGATAAGTCATGAGAATGCTACTCAGGCAATGGCGGCTTTCAAGTATCTCTTCGATGGGCGTTGGAATAGTGATTCGAGATGGCTACAGTTTGCCGCATTCCATTTTGACGTCTCGGTTTTGGAACAGTATTGGTCTTGGTACGTTGGAATCACGGTCGTAGCAGCGCCTAAGGATGTGATTCTGAGTGACCTGGCCATGACTATTTCCAAGCTTGGAATAACGCACATCGATTTGACGCCAAGTTTGGCGAGACTCATCACCCCCGATGAGTGTCCAACCCTATGTAAAGGTGTCTTTATCACGGGAGGGGAAAAGCTTCGCTCAGATATCTTAGAAGTATGGGGATCTGAGCGGGTGATTCATAATGCCTATGGACCAACAGAAGCTACAATTGGTGTAACCATGTATCGAGGCGTGCCTCAGAATGGGCGACCCTCCAACATCGGAAACCTCTTCCCCAATGTTGGAGCATATGTTCTAGAACGAGGCTCTGAGATGCCGGTACTTCGGGGCGGTGTTGGGGAGCTCTGTGTCTCCGGCAAGCTCGTTGGTATTGGATACCTAAATAGGGAAGCGCTTACTCAAGAACGTTTCCCCGTGCTTCAAGCTTCAGGCGAGCGTGTCTACCGTACAGGGGATCTCGTCAGAGTACTTCACGATGATTCCCTTGATTTTATTGGACGAGCGGATGACCAAGTGAAGCTTCGCGGCCAAAGACTAGAGATTGGCGAAATTAATCATGCCATTCGTGAAGGATTAGCTGACAAAGCAGGCGATGTTGCCACTATTGTGACCAAGCGAAGAGCTCAAGATGTAGATCTTCTTGTGTCATTCGTTGCCGAATCTTCTAACTCCAATACTACTCAAGAAGTGGACGTTTATTACGATGCGACTCACATCAAGTTTGCAGAGCGAGCTCACGAAGCCTGCAGATCCTGCCTCGCGATGTACATGGTTCCATCCTTCATCATCTGTGTGTCACGGATTCCCCTATCTAGCAACAATAAAGTCGACGTCAATCAGTTGAAGAAAATCTTCTCAGAACTATCCCATGAGCAGCTTCAAACTCTCTCAGTATCTTCGGTTTCTAGTCATCGGGCATTCAACAATGTTGAGAGAGAGGTATTGAAAGCAATTGAGGAAGTGGTCCGTGTCAAGGAGAGCAATCTAACCCCAACCACCACGGTCTTTCAACTCGGTATAGACTCCATCACGGCTTCAAGACTAGCCAAGCGGCTAAGAGCCGTAGGTTTCGCGTCCGCAACGCCATCCATGATACTACGGCACCCGCAAATCGGCCAACTCTCTCAAGCCCTGGACCGGGCTAGAAGTAGTGTTCCAAGTAACAACTCTTTGCAATTTAATCAGTCAATCAAAGCTCTTCGCCACCGATATCTCGGTTTAGCATGTGAGTCTTTAGAAGCGAAAAAGTCTGAAGTGGAATATATAGCACCATGCACGCCGCTGCAGCAAGGCATCATAGCCAGATCCAGGGTCCGAGAAACGCAGTCCGCGTATTTCAACCAATTCCATCTGCACCTTGACCCAAGTGTGTCTATTGGTCGCTTGAAGGCCGCTTTCAGTCGCATCATAACTTCTTGTTCCATTTTGCGAACTGGATTTATCGATACGTCTGAAGGCGTCCTGCAAGTAGCTATCAAGAATCGGCCGCTTCGATGGTTTGAAGTTGAGACAGCTATAGAAACATTTAACGATACAGTTTCAACACGGCAACGACTTTGGGTAGAATCCAATCGTGAAGTTCTGAAATGGCCTGTGGAAGTTGATCACATACGAACTAATGGGCAAAACCACCTACTTCTGAGGCTCTTTCACGGCGTATACGATGCCCGCAGTCTGAACGTTATCCTTGAGAGCTTGAAGGCTGAATATGAAGGGACGTCAAGACTACCAGGCCCAGCTTTTATATCTGTATTGCCTGATGGACCGCTACGCAGCCACCAAGGGTCTCATCAGTTTTGGAAGTCCCTCTTAAAACACCATCGCTTCCAGCCTATGCCGAGACTTATAAATACACCTGCTGCGATCAGTAGCGTCGTCAATAAGTGCATACAATTTGATGGCCTGGAAAACACACGGAAGAAACTGCAGGTCACCCACCAAACATTGCTGCAAGCAGCATGGTTATACACCTTACGCCCATACTTTGTTGATCCTCCTACCATAGGAGTTATTCTCTCAGGGAGATCCCTCGCCATCAATGACCTTGATCTTGTCGTCGGGCCACTATTCAACACGCTCCCACTTCGCGTCGACTTCGCCACCGAGTCGTCCTGGGCGTCAGTAGCACGTAAGATCCAGGAGCTCAACAACAGTATCCTTGCTTTCGTACACACGCCTCTCCGCGACATACAGAAGCTTTGCGCAAATGGGCAGCCTCTTTTTGATACTCTTTTCACTTTTGACATCGATTACAAGGCTTTTTCAGAAGATAAGCGAGCGCTTTGGTCGATGGCTGATTCCCCTGGTCACCCAGATTACCCTCTGGCTATCGAGCTCATTATGGTCGCAGACGACATGCTCCGTGTTACCCTTGCAGCTCAAGGCAGCATTGCCGATGAACAAAGCTTAAGCGCCCTGTTGGACCGGTTCACCGACTCACTGAGGTCGATCATCACAGCAGATAGCAATGTTATTCTCTCTTACGGCACCCAGGAAACTCTACCCGATTTCACTAAGGGTGATTCAGAGCCCGCCTCAGAACCAGAGAAGCCAACAGATAGTCACATGGTTCCGCCACAAAACCCGTTTGAGTGGAACCAGGAAGCTCATAATATACTCCACGAACTAGCATTACTTGCCGAGGTTGATGAAAAAGAAATCTCGGAAAAGACTAACTTATTCGCACTCGGTCTTGATAGTATCGACGTAATCAAGCTGGCCGGACGGCTGTCAAAACTGGGATATCAAGTGTCTGTAGCCGCGCTGATGAAGCAACCGACGCTAGAGAGAATTATAAATAGTCTCGTGAAACCACAGTTTGCCACAACTAGCCCATCCAGTATCTCGGAGATGAATAATATTGTTTCAGTTCTAGAAGAGTGCTATCAACGAACGAACCGCGAACTCTCAGATATCGAGGCTGTTCTGCCGCCAACGCCGCTTCAAGACTCTATGGTAGCAGCGATGTTACACTCAGGTTTTCATACCTACTTCAACCATGATATCATTGAACTTCCGGAAGACATTGATATTGAGCGATTGAAAACAGCCGTATCGACAGTATATGCGAATTCTCCTATCCTGCGAACTGTGTTCATTGAAGTAGACGATTCTCGGATTGATTCTGCTTATTACCAGGTTATTAGGAAGCACGAGCTTGAGTTCAGTCCAGTTACGCAGGTCTCTAATTTGGGTGACACCTGTAAACTTACAGATATGGCAAGAATATATGCCGCGGCGAATAACGGCGCATCGGGACTATTCCAAGTGCGTTTTGCTGAATTGGGAACGAGAAAATTGATGATCTTGTCTATTGCCCACGCATTGTATGATGGTTCGTCGCTCGGTATGCTTCATGAAGACATCCGAGCCGCATATGAGGGACATTATACGCCCCGGCAGCCATACAGGCATTACCTCTTGGATATGGTTTCTCGGCCCAAGTCTTCATCTGAGGAATTTTGGACTGATCTCCTACATGGGGTTCATGCCACCCTGGTGCCTAAAGCCAACACGAAATCGGGGGGTGACACCGTGTATCGAATCGAAAAGCAATCAAAGATGAGTGCTGCAGATATCAGGGCACTATGTAAAGCTCTCCACGCTACACCACAAGTAATTGGCCAAGCATGCTGGGCTGCTGTGGTTGCTTCGTTGACCAAGTCTTTGGATGTTGTATTTGGCGTAGTCTTATCAGGGAGGGATACCGAGGACGCTCAAGGACTGATGTTTCCTACCATGAATACCGTCCCTTTGAGGTTGGCGCTCCACGGAACTGTTATCGAATTTATTGAATACTGCCAAGATATTATATCTGGCGTGATCGAATTCCAACAAACTCCGCTTCGAGATATTCAAAAGCTTTCTCCAAGCCATGACGGCCAGCTTTTCAACACAATTTTCCTATTGCAAAACTCCAGCGATAGAGATACGAGCAGAAAACCCTTCTTTAGATCTGCCCACTCCGTGTCTGCAGTCGAATACCCGTTATGCGCCGAACTGGAACTTACCGGAGAGAGTGTTGTATGGAGAATCGCGTGCGATGAGAATTACATGAACTCGCAAGGCGTAGAAAACCTCGGCGTGAGCTTAGAAAAGGCTCTAGAGTACTTCGCTCGAGATTTTAGCAAACAAGTCCTTGAAATAAGCACTCGTGATACTCAAACAGTGTCCATTTGCGGTCTTGCACCAGTTACACTTCAGACTGACGTGGAGGGACAACAAAGTAATTCGATCAAAGAGAGACTTTCTTCGCAAGAAACGGATTCACAACTTCACAGCTACGATACGATACTGGAAGTTTTATCTGACCTATGTAAAGTTGATCGGCAAGCGATTGATCTCAGTCTCTCAATATTTCATATTGGGCTTGACTCTATTAGTGCGATAAAAGCAAGTTCAATACTTCGAAAACGTGGGTTAAACATATCCACTAGAGACCTAGTCACTATCCCCTCGATTCGTGGTATTTTGGAGCAAGCAAATCAGGTGGCTGATGGAAACTCGGAAGTTTCTGTAAAAGAATCATTGAGACTCAACTCAATCATCTCAATTGAGGAGATTCGTACACTGCTACAGCAGTATGGGATTGAAGAGAACTCGACCGAGACCATTCTCCCAGCTTTACCAATGCAAGTTCACATGCTGAGTGTGTGGCAAAACAGTCATGGCGCTACCTTCTTCCCTAAATTTACCTTCAGAATAACCGGTCCTATCGATGTCCTGGCTCTGCATAGGGCTTGGGTCCATCTCGTGAGCGAAACTGCCATGCTACGGACTCATCTGATCAGAACGGGTTCGTCAAGTCTACCATTTCTTCAGGTCGTCATGAAATCGACTTTCACCGACAAGCATGCCACGAATATCATGACCACCTCAGGTGATATGGGGTTTGTGTATGCGGCTACACCATTTGCCGTTGCGCAGGTCCTTGTGGCAGGGTCAGACAAAGCGGTTCTCAACCTCTATCTACACCATGGATTGTATGATGGAGTTAGCTTACCCATCATACTGGACCGCTTTGCTAGATTCTGCAGTGATGTGAGCGCAGCTGGCCCTCCGGTTCCCAAAACGCCTTGGTATAAATTCGTCCTTGAACACTATGCCTCGACCATCCAAGATCAAAGGAGGTCATTTTGGACAATGTATCTTCACGGAAGCACAGCTGTGCAGATGTATATGACACAGGGGGATTTAACGAACACCAAAAGCCTGAGAGTCAGTGAGTTTCGGCGTACTACGATCAACAGTTCTGGACTCGGGCTTCAAAGTTCAACATATGGGGTATCCACTCAGGCGTTCTTATTCGCTGCATACGCAAAGGCCTTTGCGCAGCGACGTCGTCAATATCAGCATATAAACGATGATGTCGATTGTGTTTTCGGGATTTATCTAGCCAACCGTTCCAGCTACCCTGGTCTCGAGGATGCCCCATTTCCCACGCTCAATATTCTTCCACTCAGAGTCAAGACTCCTTTAAGTAGAACGATCGTTGCTATAGCTACTGATATTCAGAAGGACATCGCCGAGATCAGTAGATTCGAGAACTCCACAGCTAGCTTATGGGAGATACACGACTGGACCGGCATGCGCATCGACACGTTTGTGAATATCCTCTCTCGTCCTGATGTTACATCGCAAACTGGCAATCCTGTTACTATCCAAGAAATCACGAACGAGGAGTCGTCACCTGCTGGAGGCGTCGACATGTCGATGCATTGTGTTACTCCAGATCACGAGAGTATCGCCAGTAATGTAGTCAGACATGCATACCCGGTAAGCAACAGGCGAAGCTGTTCTTCCTTGCTTAAATCTAACGATCTATAGGAGGCAGTAGATATTGAAATTGCGACATGTGGAAACGAGTTAGACCTCGGCATCTTTGGTCCCTCTAGCATCTTGTCGGAGTCGCAAGCAAAGGATATGGTTGCGGCTATATTAGCGGAGATTGAGGCTTTGTGATGTGCATTCCGTGAGACTAGATTTTTCGAGATTGATGGGTTGATATTACATGGTTGGGCGGGCAGCTTAGAGAAGATAGTAGATATTCTTTCCTTCTCATGCATCTGTTTTTCTCCTTCTCCTTTTATTTAGTTATGGGCTTCATATCGTCATATAAGAGACTCCACTCCTGCCTTTCACGCCTCGGTTAAACGATCGAATATCTGTCAATCAAAATGCAATGATGAGAAAGTCATTAAAAGGGGTGTTTTGTTTGCCCTTTAGACGGTACGCGCATATGAGTGCCTGTCCTGGAGCAGGGTAGAGGCTCCTCTTGGGGGTGGGGGTTATTGAAGACGCACGAGATGCAGCCCAGAAGGGAGAGGAGGCTCCAAAATGAAAAGCACAGACCCAGCCTGGACCGGCAATCCCCGTCATTCAGGAGACGTTACGAGCTGGGTATTCGTGAAGAGACGCTACCCATCCCGCCAGTCACCTTCCTTTGACACTCTACAGACTCTATTAGGTAACGTCCAAGGTGCCCGGTTTTGTCCTGACGTTCGTTGGCCCGCGTTAAGTTCCGATCAAGATGAGACTTGCCCACAGACTGCCTAACCTAGGCACTTACTCTGTACTATATGTACTAATGTAGTCGTCTGTTATTTAGCTCTGCAGATCGGACACGCTAATACTGCCGGCTTGACTAGCCGTAAACAAAGGACAGAAAAGGACAAAAGGAAATGAGGTAGAGTGAGGCTTCAATGCACATAAAAGTGTCTTGAGTGTATTGTAGATGGTGAGGTTTGGAGGGTGAGGATTGGAGACTGATCGGCAGAGCTTGCGGCGTCTATCATCCCTTTCACACTAGGTACCTAAATTTACCTGGTAGACTTACCTACAGTATTAGATAGGTATTTTCCGTTTTCATATTGACCGGGTGTCCACGCTCGCTTACGATGCTTTGAGGTGTAATTCCGTAGAGCATATGCTACAGATCGTAGTTTGCCAAGCCGACAATAAGACTTCATCGCCTATTGTAAATCATTGATAAGCTCAAGGGTCAGGCCCGTGAACTGTTTCATTGGCTCGTTGCCGATGCCGTGGTCTCATGATTACTTACGAGCTGCGTGCAAACCTGGCTAGATTCTCGAAGTGCCTTTTCTAAGTGAGAACGTTTCAGTAGGCAACGAGAAGCAAGGCAGGCGGTGACGGATGATACAGGAGATTTTGTGACACATCGCGTTCCCGGCTATCAATTCAGCGGTTGAACGCGATGCGACGAGAGTTGGCCGCACTACTACATGTACTGAGCGGGATACGGATTTCGTCATCTGGGGAGGCGTCGACAGGACCCTCTGAGGACCCCCTGTAAGAGTCTGGGTCGCAATCCTTCGGCAAACGGCAGTCGGGGCTTTTAGAGGATTTAGTGTTGGCGCTTAGTAGAACCAAGCAGGAGCCTGGGGATTTCACCATCACGGAGTGGGGATTCTGGTTACGGTAGGTAAGGTAATTAGATTGATCAATACGAATTAGTGAGGCCTGCGTCCTTCTTTTCTAGGAAGGTCTGTTTGTCCTCACGACAGACAACTAAAGCTGACAAAGTGCTCGAGCCGTGTTAACAGTCGCAGTATATCTTGCCAAGGTTACATCCAGTGCTTCGTTGCCGACTGGGTGGAACAGGCCGACATGCGATGTAGAAGCTGTCGCTCCCAAGCTTTTGAGGTTGTATTATACGGTATATACGGTATACGGCAGCTGCGCGTGGCTGAACCAATGCCGGCTCTAGCACTTAGTGAGCCCACGATGCCGTCTCGTTCTTATTCCCAGAATCGGCACCGCTCGCACAGCAGCCCCTCCCGCCATTATCGGTCCTCTCTCTTCTGAGTCAGGGTTCCAGATAGCGGGTGAGAAACCCTTGGCACGATGGGTGCTCAGGTAGCTTATCCCGAGCTAGGCCCTGAGTAGAATGTGCCATGAAGACTCCGCTCTCCGACCTGCAAAGTTACCGTCGTTGTCGTACGAACCACGGGAATGAGAGACTGCAAGTATCTTGAGGTAGGTTATACTTCGAAGCTGTCGCCGTAACCCAACTCCTCAAGACCACGTCGCTGTGAATGTTAATACAGACTTGTTCCTGTTGCGAGGGTTAAAGCTGGAAATATGCCTCGTCATGGAATCGTTGAAGATGTCTTTCATCTCTACCATCATAGGTCAGCTCGCCCGGCGTGGGACCGGAGATATGAGTTGAGGTTGGGTGCTATACCTAGTCAGCGTGTGATTGGCTCTCTTCGCTACTTGGGCACGTTCAAGGTTGTCGCGTGCCGGGTCCTTCGGTCAGGCTGGGAGCTACTGGCCAACCAGCATGCAAGTATAATCGTCCAGGTTCGTGTAGCGCAACATCGTTATCACGAACATAGTCACTTTCCTTTTGGGGCTGGTATCGCGCGAAGCAGACTTGCCCAACCAGTCGCCTTGCTACCGAAGTTATTCTTTATGTTATGTGCCTAGTGCGTTCTACGAGAATGGCGTCGTGTATCTCCACAGTCGGAACCATTCAATGGGGGGCCAATAACAAACAGGTCAGATATGATATAGATGTCGGTCAATTAATATCGCACCTTCGTTCGAAACAGGAAGCTAGACGTTGTATGTCGTGAGCATAGTTCTTGGCTTCATAAAGGATGGAATCTCATATAAAAAGATAAGTCTCTCACCATGGCCTCCAGTCTAATCTCGAGGCCTCAGGGAACGCGCGTTAGTTTCCACACAAGTCTGCCCTGAATTCAGAACGCCAATTGCCTGAGAAAATTCATTATGCGGTCACTCGTTCTGCTCGGTCTCCTTGGGGCCGCCTCTGCCCACCCAGCTCCTGCTGCTAAGCCAGGTGTCCGCCGACGTGCTGTCGACTTGAACGCCTATAGAATCACACAGTCTGCCCAGTACCACAATGAAGCCGCTACCAAGGCAGACCCTAAGATACTCACGGTCAAGCGCGATACTTACGTAGAGACCGCCACCGCACTTGTCAAAAGCGTAGCCCCCAACGCTGAATTCCGACTTGTCAAGGACCACTACGTTGGAAATAACGGCATTGCTCATGTCAACTTCAAGCAGACGGTCCACGGCCTAGATATCGATAATGCCGACTTCAATGTCAACGTAAGATCTCCATATGCCGTAGCAGATCGGCTCATGCCTCTATTGTGATTCGAGCAGGGCTGACACATAACTTAGATTGCGGCTGACGGCACCGTCTTCTCATACGGAAACTCTTTCTTCGAGGGCAAGGTCCCTGAGGAGAGCCCTCTAAGCAAGCGTGATTTCTCAGACTCTACGCAAGCTTTTGAGAAAGCCAAGACCATGCTAGATCTCCCAGTCACGGGGAAGGCTACTGCCGAGGCCACTAGTGAAGCAGAGACCTACACCCTCAAAGGCACCTCCGGTGCCCAGAAGGATCCTGAGGCGAAGTTGATGTACTTCGTCAAGCCGGATGGCGAGCTTGCCCTGACATGGCGAGTAGAGACCGACATACTTGACAACTGGCTGCTCTCGTACGTTGATGCCAAGACCAATGAGAAAATTCACGGTGTCGTAGACTGGGTTCAGGACGCCCAGATGAGAGTCTAGTAGGTTTCACTATCTAAACTGTGTTTACGCACGGAATAGCTAACCGGGATAGTCCTTGGGGTATCAACGACCCTGACGTCGGCTCTCGTACGGTCTTGGAGGATCCCTGGGACCCCGAGAACTCGGAGTTCACTTGGTTTGGCGACGGAACCACATCGTATACGTCTACTCGCGGCAGTAAGTAGACAAGCACTTGACCTATCCTAGCAGCTAGTGTTGCGGCGCCAGTGTGAATAAGAATTAACTTCTATCTTCAGACAACGCCGCAGCTCAGACAAACCCCAATGGTGGTAGCTCGTGGCAAAACAACTACCGACCATCTGAGGCCGACCTTGACTTTGACTATGACTGGAGTCCTAGCTGGTCTCCCCCTTCATCATACGCCAACGCGTCCGTCACACAGCTCTTCTACACGGCTAACGTGTACCACGATGTTCTGTACGACCTTGGCTTCACCGAGGCCGCCGGAAACTTCGAGGCCAACAACAACGGCAAGGGTGGTCTAGGCAATGACTTCGTCATTCTCAACTCTCAGGATGGCTCAGGAACCAACAAGTACGTATCCCAGAGACATCTATCTACTGGACCTATCTCCTTTCCGCAGACCGCAACTCCTGAACACAGGGCGTTATTTTTACACGTGATAATGTGCTAACTCTTGGTTTTAGCGCCAACTTCGCGACACCTCCAGATGGACAGAATGGCCGCATGCGTATGTACCGATGGACATACTCAAACCCCCAGAGGGATTGTGCCTTCGAGGCAGGTGTCATTCTACACGAATACACCCACGGATGTAAGTACCTCGCCTGCACATCCAGGCCCAGTGTAAGGGAGAGCTTGCTAATTCCGTGTACATAGTGTCGAACCGCCTTACTGGTGGACCTTCCAACACCAACTGTCTCCAGACTACTGAAGCTGGTGGTATGGGGTGAGTTACTTTCGGTTCTGTTTTCTCGAAGATCCCGAGCAAGAAATCTTTTTACTGACGCCGGAACAGTGAAGGTTGGGGTGACTTCATGGCAACTGCCATCCGTCTAAAGGAGACCGATACCCGCAACACCGACTACAGTCTCGGTGCATGGGTGGTATGTAGCCTTCCGGACCACGGTCAAAATAAGATGCTGACACCGATTGTAGTACAACAACCCCGAGGGTATCCGTAACTACCTGTACTCGACTAGTCTCACCGTGAACCCTTACATGTACACGACTGCCAATACCGTGCGTATTTCCTCTTATAGACTAAGCACCAGGTTGTAATTTATTAACATTGAGCGCTGTAGTACAACGAGGTCCACGATATCGGCGAGATCTGGGCCACGATGCTTTACGAGGTCATGTGGAACCTGATCGACAAGCACGGCCTCAGCACGGCGCAGAAGCCTACTTTCGATACCGACGGTGTTCCTACCGACGGAAAGTTCCTCACCATGAAGCTCGTCACCGACGGCATGGCTCTGTAAGTAATTTCTCTCTGCTTGTCGCGAGGTAATTCCAGAAAAAAGTGGCCGTGCTAATCAGCGAAACAGCCAACCCTGCAACCCCAACTTCATCCAGGCCCGTGACGCCATCTTGGATGCCGACAAGAACCTCACCGGTGGTGACAACCAGTGCGAGATCTGGACGGCCTTTGCTAAGCGTGGCCTCGGCCAGGGCGCTGCTTACGGATCCGGATCTACCCGCAAGGGAAGCAACACAATCCCAAGTGGTGTCTGCTAGACGATGCGGAGCATAGGGCGGAGGAAATGGAGATTCGGGTAGGAATTTAGGAGCATGGGTCATTCGGATAGTAATTTACGATATAGTATGTAATGCGACGACATGAGCGTCTACGATGTCCATCGATGAATAAAGCAATTCATTTATCTTTGATTGATACAGTCTGGAATTGTCTAAAAGAGTTGTGTGTTCTGATATGGACTGCCATTTGCAGGAGAGGCGCTCTCACAGTGCATGCCTTATCTCCGGTGCACGGTCCGGCCGTTATCCCCTTAATTGCCCTTTTCAGTCCACCAGCACCTGCCGTCCTGCCGTGGCGTCATGACCCGTCACTGGATGCGCCTGCTCTTATCTCCAACCAACCCGGCGGCCCCTACCCAAACCTTGCTGTGTCTTCTGTAATGTGGCATGGCAGTGCCTTCCCGCTGGCGTGGCTCAGACAGAGCCATCAGCGGTTGTGTCTGTGTCGCCTTTCTCGCCTCTCTCCGCAGCGGACAATACGTCTCAGCTATGCCCATCAAACGAGCACAAGACAAGTGAGCACAAGGGCAATGGCGACTGCGTCTGATGAGCAGAAAGCCCCCCTGGAGGAGAGGACGGTAGCTGGCTCTTTTCTGTTCAAGATCCCGAATGGGGATGACAAGCAGGCAAAAGTGGCACTGTTCAGACGAAGCAGCAAAGTGCGCACATACCAGTAGGTAGACGGACGTATAACCAGCCACGCCGGCTTTTCGCGCAGTCGAGGCTGATGGAGGCATCCAGGCACAAACTAGCCCCTTGTTCCGGAAGTGTGGAAGAGTCCGACGCGAGCCCGCTTGACGCTGCGCTGCGCGAGATCCGGGAAGAGACCACTCTTCCGGCTTCGTCGCTGGACTTGTTGCGCGTCGGCAAGCCTTACTCCTTTGTAGACGAGTCGATTGGCCGTAAATGGAATATCAATCCCTTCGCGTTCCGTCTTAAAGACGTAGCAGAAGGCGGGAAGGGTGAGGAGGGCATCACTCTTGATTGGGAGCACGAAGGCATCGAGTGGTTTGACCCGTTGCAAGTCAGCGGGTCGGAGGAGTTTGGGGGCGTACCGAGATTAATCGATAGTTTAAGACGAGTATGGCCTGAGTATGATCTGGGTTCGGACGCGGGCCGAATTTTGACGGAGGGTCTGCAGAGACTACGTGATGATCGGTATGTGCCCAAGACTCTTTTCTTCTCGCGTATCACCTGAAGCTTAGTGATCGTGGTACTGTGTATGGTCATTACTGACTCAACACGTCTCATAGCGAGCATGGTGCCAGAGAACTTGCAGGGGTGGCTGTCTTGACTCTCCGAGATGTAGTTCGACAGATGTTGCTTTCCCACGCCGTAGATGAGAGCAGCTGGGCAAAAGTGCGCATGGCTGCGTGGCATCTCTGTCAAGCTCGCCCTGCCATGGGTGCTGCCATTACGACCGCAATATTGAAAGCCTTAGATGCTATTAAAGCTGCTTACGTTTCCGATATGGTCCCAGCAAACAAGGCCGAACAAGTTATCCAGGCACTAGAGCAGCAGCTTGCCCATAGAAATGCCACAACCGACCGAATTTGCCAGACTTTCTCCAAATTCATACGCGACTTGCTACCACGGGGTGAGAATCCTGAGTATACACTCTCTATCCTCACGCTGTCCTCGAGCTCCACGATGTCCAGCTGTCTGTCGCACGCTATATCGACTGTGAATATTAAATTTGACCTCCGTATCTTGGAATCGCGTCCGCTCTTTGAGGGGGTGACGTTCGCTTCCAGAATATTGAAGGATTCATCACAGCACTCAAATTTCAAAGTCACGCTCTACTCAGATGCCTCAGCTGCCCTTGCCGCTGAAAACACCGCTCTTATTCTTCTCGGAGCCGATCGCATTAGCTCGGCTGGTGATGTGAATAATGTACGTGTCTACCAGCCCCTAACCATATCCTACCAAAAGTCGTGCCTCAGCCTCTCTCCCTATAAACCTCGCTGCAGTCTTCCCCGGACGTTTTACTGATGATTGCAGAAAATCGGCTCATTCTCAATGGTGCTGAGCGCTAATTGTGCCGCTCCAGACGCATTTGTCGCCGTGCTGAGTGACACGGAAAAGATAGCAGGTTAGTTCTGTAGAGTTATATTTTTACCCTTCAGGCAGCTTTCGGACCTCATTACTCCTGTATACTCCCGATATATGAGCTAAACCCCTTCTCTATCCGGCAATTACTGACTCCAGCGTGTGTAATAGGTCCAGGTGCCATGGAGGAACACAGTGCAGAGGAAAACTCACATGTAGAACTAAGCAGTACCTGGAAAGGGGCTGTCGAAGGCGCTCAGGTTATCGAAGACGCATTGTCTCGGGATGACCCGAGGATTGCTGTCAAGAACGCCTACTTCGAATGGGTTCCTGCCGAGTTCGTCGACTTTTATCTCACTGAGGAAGGTGATTGGCTCGAGCAGCAGGTTCAGCAGCGGTCGCAGTGGATTGGGTATGAGTTCGATCAGTATTTTAATGGATTATGAGAATGGCACGCTCGCTTCAGTGATCTTGAGAATTAGCTTATGTGTGTCCAAGTATGTATACTTAGTGCCAGTTTCTGAAATCGGCTTGTTTGTGTTCATGTATTTTTTTCGCGTTGGCTGCAAATATCTAGGTAGAATGAGCGATGCTTGGCTGGAGTAGTCATGTCTTGAGAGAGACTAGAGGTATGCCTCATGTGCTCTATAAGGCACCAGTTTACTACTACAACGTGTTGATAATTGTCACTTTCCATATTCTTGCTTCATATTATGTTAACTACCTAGTCTTCCATATCTCTAATATCGTGCACTTGTATAGTCAAAGATTGAGTAAGGTCAATCCATTGCAATATGCGGCTGCTTCGTTGGCAGGCTTTTCCGGAGGTTACGAAAACCCTACAACTATGAGCTGATCCAAAAACAATGTTTGCCTTGATGTGATCAAACTGTATACCATTTTCATACGTTGTATTCGCCGTCGCCCTTGCGTATTCTTGATATAATGACAGATGAATCCTGGCTACAAGTTGGAAATAGAGGAAGCATACCTACGGTACCTATATAAACCCCACCTTGGCAACTTACAGATTGAGATGCTAATTCCAGAGTCGAGAAAGGGTGCATCTAATGAGAAATGCGCCTGAACTTAGTAGTACATGTTTGCCTGCTTCATCTGTAAATTCAAGCATCTCATACGCATATTTGTAGCCGCCCGACCAAGCCGTGTACTACACATGAATATTTGCTGATACCAAGCACCTCCACGTCATTGGCTACGCAAGCACGATATCCCAACGCTTAGCAGGCGGCTTCGCAATCCTTCCGCCTCAACATACGGCTGCAATGTCATGATGACCATGCCTATGTATTAGGAACCCGAATACATGTTTCGGACGCACACAAGGTTCCATCCGTACTCCTCCTACATAGTACAAGGAAGTTCGAGTCTATTTTGCGTCCGCTACCTGATCGAGACGGAGAAAAGAGGGGCTTTGGGTTCTTGGGAGGAGTTGCAGGGTACCGGGATCGAGGGGCTTATCTTATCATAGAACTAGCCAGGCGCTGTAGGATCTGATTTGTCCTTTATGCAAAGCTTACAGCGATTAGGTTAGGCAGTAAAACAGGACCCTGAGCTTCTCAAGGAACCCCACCATGAAATTACAATAAATATTTTTTTTCTCTCTAGCTCTCTTCTCCTCCTCCTCCCCCTTCCCCCTGGAGGTGATGTGACCCGTGCACATTTGCTCGGGCAGCCAGAGTTTTTCTTCTCTCCTTTTCCTTTTCTTATCCTCTTCTCTATTTTCTATTCTCCCAGGCGCTTGTGTGTCTCGCTCGAGGGACGCGGTACAGTTCGTCCATCATGGATCAACAAAAGCTTGTCGCGCTGCTTCAGGCGTGCCAGATCCGTGAGTGCCATCACCCTACTCACTATTTCAGTTCCTCGCTTTCGCCGTCCTTTTTATCTCCATTACATTGCCCAAACTGACTTTGACCTCTTTTCTTCACAGCTGATACCCAGATGGTTAAGGCTGCCACCGCCGAACTGCGCAAAAACTTCTACCCTCACCCAGACTCATTGTTGGGCCTGCTCCATGTGATTGTCTCCCACCCCGAGCCCACAGTGCGTATGCTCGCTGCTGTCCAGGCCCTGCGACTCGTGCCCAAGCACTGGAAGAAAATAAACGCTTCTCAGAAGCCCGAGGTCCGCAACCAGCTGCTCCAAACCATTATCAACGAGCAAGATGGGAAGTGCCGCCATGGCCAATCCCGTGTTATCGCTGCCATTGCTACCCTCGACTTCGACAACAACGAGTGGGCCGACCTGATCCCCAACGTCACCCAGTTGGCTACCTCGGACAGCGTCGCCCATCGTGAGGTCGGCTCCTACATCATCTTCAGTCTCCTCGAGGCTAACCCCACCTACTTCGAGAGTCATCTGGCCAAGCTCTTCGAACTGTTCACCAAGACAATTCGAGACCCCCAGAGCCGAGATGTCCGTGTCAACACTATGTTGTCTATCAGTGCTGCCCTCATGCTAATCGATGTTGATGAAGATGAGCAAGCATTAAACGCCGTTCAGGAGTTCATTCCTGCCATGGTTGACGTGCTTAAGGACGCTGTGCAGAACCAAGACGATGAGCGCATCCAGCAATCATTCGAGGTCTTCCAGTCCTTCCTCGCTTATGAGTCTGCTTTGATTTCCCGCTACTTCAAGGATCTCGTCCAGTTCATGCTTGAGCTAGCCTCAAATTCTGCTGCTGAAGAGGATGTACGCTGCCAGGCTCTAGCCTTCTTGGCTCAATGCGTCAGGTACCGCCGTATGAAGATCCAAGGTGTCCCTGAAATGGGTGCCCAGCTGATGAGGAAGAGTTTGATGATCCTCTCCGAACTAGAGGATGATGATGAGGAAGACGACACTTCGCCTGCAAGGGCGGCCTTAGCCTTGATTGAGCAGCTCTCGAGCGACCTACCTCCTCGTCAAGTTATTGTACCCCTACTAGATGATTTCCCCAAATATGCCACCTCAGAGAACTCTGGCCATCGCAGAGCTTGTATCTTGGCGCTTGGTACTTGCGCTGAAGGTGCGCCTGAATTTGTTTCGACACAGATTGGCTCACTGATGCCTGCCGTTCTTCAACTCCTACAGGATCAGGCACGAGCTGTACGATACTCGGCACTCGTAGGTCTCATTCGCATTGGCGAAGACCTTGCCGATAGCATGGCCGCTCATCACGATGCCATCATACAGGCCCTGCTCCTCAATCTAGACGCCGCTGGCAATGACCAGAACAGCAAGCAAAATGTAGAGATTATCCGTTCAGTGTGTGGTGTGATCGATTCGCTAGCCGAGGGCCTCGGCTCTGATGTGATGGCCAAGTATGGCGAGACAATGATCCACCGCGTTGGGTCTTTCCTATCTCATTCCGACTTTACCGTCAAGGCCGCCGCAGCTGGCGCTCTCGGCGCTATTGCTTCAGCTGTCAAGAGCTCGTTCAATCCATTCTTGAAGGAGACAATGGAGGCGATGTCCACTTACATCATGGCCGAGAGCGGTGAGGAAGAGCTAGCACTCCGAAGCGCCGTCTGTGATGCCATGGGCCGAATTGCGGTAGGTGTTGGCGCCCAGGAGTTTCACCCTTATGTCATGCCGCTATTAGTGGCTAGTGAAAAGGCTCTGCATCTGGGTAACGCCCGTCTGCGTGAGACCACTTTCATTCTCTGGAGTCAGCTCGCCACCGTCTACGAGGGCGATCTAGGCGATTCTTTGACAGGCATATTCAACGGTCTCTTCGAAAGTCTTGAGCTGGAAGAAGAAGAAGTTGACTTTGATCTTTCAGAAGAGGGCCTCGTTGCTGATAAGAAGGATAAGAAAGACGCAGTTGAACTGGATGACGATGAAGAAGATATGGACGACGATGACGATGATGACGACTGGGATGATCTAGTCGGCGTCTCTGCACAGGCATTGGAAAAAGAAATTGCCCTTGAAGTTCTCGGTGATGTCATCTATGCTTCCAAGGAGAAGAGCGCTGCGTATATCGAGAAGGCTGTAGAGCTTGTCGCTCCCTTCGCGGAACACTCGTATGAAGGTTGCCGCAAGACAGCTATCGGGACATTGTGGCGTACATACGCGTGCGTTTGGGAAGTAATGGAGAAGCAGACTGGCCAAAAGTGGGCACCTGGTCTGCCCCTGAACTTCGAGCCAATTCCCAATATCGTTAAGCTTGGTGAAATTGTGACAACCGCCACAATGCACATCTGGCAAGACGAAGCTGACCGGTGAGTTTTGATATTTCTAAGTCGCTTTTTGTTTCACACCTTTTCATTACCCTCGAGCTACAATGATGATTACTTTACGTTATACCCAGCTCACTCAGACGCTATATGCGGTTGCTGAGAACACGTACATGAACAAAATCTGATACAGCTCTTCAATATCTTTTGCCCCTGAACGAGTCTATTGCATCGAACTCGGATGCTAACATTTGTTAGGGATGTCGTAACGGAAATCAACCGCAGCGTGGCCTCCACCCTAAAAGCTACTGGCCCATCTGTCTTGGGTCAGAAGGCTATGATGGAACAAATCATCACAGTCCTGGGTACCATTACGACCAGATGCCACCCTTGCCAACAGGATCTTGGGGACGAAGATGAGAACCAAGATGATGTCCAGGGCAGCTCTGAGTGGGACTGGCTTATCATTGATACCGCACTAGATGTCTTGATCGGATTGGCTGCCGCCTTAGGATCCCAGTTCGCCGAAATCTGGAAGGTCTTCCAGAAGCCAATACTCAAATTCATCAGCTCAAACGAACACATTGAGCGGTCGACCGCTGTTGGCGTCGTGGCAGAGTGTGTCGCGTACATGGGTTCTGCTGTGACTCCTTATACGTCTACTCTATTACCTCCGCTACTTCACCGCTTATCGGACGAAGACCAGGAGACCAAGTCGAACACAGCCTACGCCATCGGACAACTTGTGTACCACTCCGAGGATCAAGCAACCTACTTGCCTAGCTTTCCGCAAATCCTGCGTAGCCTGGAGCCATTGCTACAAATCCAGGCCCAACGTCTGCAGGATAATGCAGCAGGTTGCCTTTGCCGCATGATTCTATCTAACCCAGACCAAGTCCCTATCTCAGATGTCTTACCAGCGCTTGTTGACTTACTGCCCCTTAAGGAGGATTACGAGGAAAACAAGCCCGTCTACCAATGCTTGCACAAGCTTTGTAAGTTGTCTCCGATACCCATATCCTATCTAATACGCGAGCTAATAATCAAATTCTTAGACGTCGCGGGCAATCCTACCGTACAGGAATTAACACCTCGCTTGATACCCGTTTTCCAACAAGTCTTGGGCCCTCCGGAGGACCAGCTTGAGGATGAGACTAGACAGCTCGTGGCAGAGCTAGTGCAAAATCTCCAGAAGTAAGGCGACGGTAGGAGTCGGCAAACCTACCATCCGTATGTGGACAGGCGGCGCAGGGTTTATGGTGGAATCGGATTGGGATTGGAACTGGAAAATCAAATGAGCGCATGAATTGTATGAATGAACGAGCGGGTAGGCTTTGAAAGGGGAGGTTAAAATTTGACTTTGATGCATAGATGATTCCCATGTCGATAGAGTCGATATAAACGCACGAGACATACACTTAGCGTCCATTGATGCTAGGACAACGAATATATTGTTGTTCCAACTTTTGATCAGCGTTCTTCCTTTTACTTTGCTTTTATGGGAGCTATGATAATAGTGAAAGCCGCAGGTCGTTTAATATTTAAGTAGTTGACTGGTGACTCTCACGGAATAGGGTGCCTGAGGTATGTAGCTAGCCAATCACGAACATAAATACATGGTCATATGTATGTTTCGTAGGATCTATGGATTCTGTATGCATGTGGCAAGATGAACGATGGGAATGAGATGCGCCTTTCCGGGTTTCAACTGATGTAAGTAAGTCTTGCTGTGGGTATTGTGGCTTTTCTCTTAAAGCCGTCTCTCTGGTTGGTCATTACCATGGCGATTGGTCATGGGGATTGGGATCGTATATGCAGTTCCAATGTTGGTTTTGGAGCTGGCTTTGGAAAAGGTGTGTTCCTTACGTGCCTGATGTAGTATCTACTCAGTACCTTTATCTGCGTCCTACCAGCGTACTTGCCGGTCTGCCTATTCACCTGCTTAGATAGATGAACACATCATGTCTTTAAACTCGATACAGTCTTTTTTAAAGTTCGTTGTCCTGCTTGGCTGTTGCTCCCATCGATGATATGGTTTGTATGCGAATTCCGTTGCCTGTTTGCTTCAACGCCCTGGGTACGTAGGTACTACATTATTGTATTCTGTATGATAATCATGATTATTGGTGGTGGTGGTGATGATGATGATGTACATTGCGCCGGGACCCGGCCAATAGGCTGAATGGGTTTGGAGGAAACAATATGCAGCTCCGCGGATTGGATGGGTGGGTTGGAATGCAGGTGTCGGGCCCAGCGTTTCGAGTTTGCTGTGTGCGTTGGTTTGTTGGCTGGGGCGAGGAAAACTTTCTCTGCGCCGTTGAGATGGGAAACGAGCATGCTGTTGCTGACGATATCTGGTGCTATTTTTGTTGTTTCTACTTACTTACTGCTACTTATGGAACACGCGGGACCTCGGAGCGGAACCCGGCGGGAATGCGATTTGGAACATTGATTGCTTGACACACTCCTCCCAAGCTCACGGGGTAGGTATCATGGACTGAGATGGGATTGCTGCCGACATGACAGGCGTCAACTGCTGTCGCAATATCGTTCTGTGGTGCATCGTGATGTATGCCTCGATGGGGTATATTGTATACTTGGGGCGATGTAACGGTAGCCATGAGCCAACATATAGACGTGATGGGGATCGCATAAACGCTGCCTTCGTATTCACGTCACATACCTACTCTACGACGGCTACTACTTACAATCATGTAATATACATACATGTACGTACACTTACATACGCACCAACGTATGATACTGAGGGGATCAGCAGAACCGGGGGGAGGAGGGATATCTCCGATCTAGACACCAGTGGCTCGATTGTCGCCTACCCATGGAAGAGAGGCTACAAGGATGGACAACCTGTTTGTCTGAACGAGAAACAGGCGGGTCGACATTGCAGATTCTAGGTTAGTGTACTAACTGTGCCTCTGATAAACAAGACACACCCGTAAGTGTTGATGGGCAACCACCATCGATCGGCGAAGGTATCACAGCTAGAGTATGTCTAGGTATCCAGCTATCGTATATGCCCTGCTGGAGATGAATGCGCGCTGGATAGCGGTCACGTAACTGACCGGCACGAGGGCAGTCTTCTGATTCCTGTGGGCGCGGATTGACCGCGAGCGAGCGAGCAAGCAAGGGATGGCCATGATCCTGTTGCTTGTGCCTACTTGTAGATAGTACAGTAGAGATATCTACTTAGTATAAAAGAACCGGCCGAAGCGATATTACAGGGACATCGCAATGACCTGACTAAGTATAAAAACGCACGCATAGATAGCATGTAGTGAAGATGAAATAATAGCCGTTACATGTGTTACGCCTGCACCGGTGTCACCAGCCTCTCTCGTCCTCTCTCGTTCTACAATGTACTTACTTACACCTTGCACTGCCTGCCTACATCCTGTACGTGTGTGTGACAACACACGCGATGCAGCTGTCGGGCGAGGATTCTCACAGGACGAGCGCCATCGGTAGCACCTATCCAGATGCTGTCTTACCCTCAAACGTGCGTGCACAAGTACGGCGTCTACCTATGTGGTCGAGTCAGGCGTTTTCTTTCTGGTCAGAAATGCACAATGCGCTGCTGTTGGTAAGACTCTGCGTGAAATATTATGTATCCTCGCATGCGTCGAGTCCGCCTGCAGCATACCTATACTCTAAGTAAGTACTACCTATCGTATGTATGTATATACATACTAGGTTAGTAGGAACGAGATGCCGACCTAAATAACCAACATCCCAGGTCACCTTTATCCTCTGCCCTGGTCAGCAGTGACGTATTTGCTATGGTACAGATAGTACTGTAGGACTGGGCGGGATTGAGGGGGAGAGGTTCATATCCCTGTCGAGAAAAGGGAGGGGTTGGAGAGATCTCTCTCTCTCTGTCTGTCTCTCCTTTTCTCTCTTTCACTTACTGAGTAAGGTATGTACCTAGATAAAGGCACAGCTAGGTAACTGAGCTCCAATACAAGATACAGCTAGGTACAGTATCAGTACCCCAATGCTTAGTACAAGATGTAGCAGAATGCAGTAGACACGCAGACCTGCGAGGGGTAACATAACATGTCCAGATCATGTCTATGGATATGCCAAATCAACGCCGGCAGCCGAGCGGGATGTGGGCTGCTCCACAATCGTACATACATTAAGGACGGCTAGATGGACGTGGATAGCTGAGATAGCTGGGAATCCCGTCCCTCGTCCAGACTCGTCCATCCATGACCTGTTAGTTGTCGATGTGCTCTGCCTTAGTCTGCCCTTTAGTCTGCCATTGTAAGTATGCACATCTCCACCGGCGCTGCCAGGCACAGGCGGCGCCGTTGTCTGAAACAAGCAGACAAGTTCCCTGTAAGTGCCCGCTAGTCTCTGCCTTCTTTCCAAGTAAAAAAGGAACAGGGATGGTTTATCATTGGGAAGTAAGTAAATCATGTTCCTCTCGGCCGATCGTCTCCCCTCCAACCATAGTCGACCTCCTATCAAACACAGCTAAGGTAACACTTAGATGGCTGGGGAGGAAGTTATCCTGTTCTGCCGCTTCGGCCGCTCGTCAGAACACTATACACACTACAATCCGTTTCCTAGCTGCCTTGTCATCGATACATCACCGCCAAACGATCCCAGCCAACCACCCCCATCCTTCAGCGGCGTAGCAGCGTCATCGTATGCCATGGTGTCGTCGTGTCTTACTAGCCATGGCCCAGGCTGCCGGGCAACAACGGGTAGGAGTCGGCCTCGGCCGACTGTTTTATGAGTGGTGCCAGCTTGTACAGGTGCCGAACGCTAAGCTCTTGTCCGCCTCCTGCAAAAAAAGCTTAGTTGGGTAAGTAGGTAAGTAGCAGGTAGTTGGCTGTTTGAGACCGATATGTCTCACTTTGTACTACTAGTAGGATGTTATGTCCTGGGCTTGCTTAGCACCGAGTGAAATCAAGTGACGAGGTGGCTAACCAGTTAGCTGCATTGTGAGTGAGGCCACCACTCTAGTGTGTTGGGCTTTTCCTTCGCCTCTCCCTTGTCTATCAAGTTACCTAGCAGTACACTAGGTGCAACGTCACCAGTTCCATAATAGCAGGCCATGGCCTATCTCCCCATATGGCAAGTAGCTGCACACTTCCCGGCCAACCATGTTCTGAGAAGAGTGGGCTGGGATGTGCGCTTGTACTCTGCCGCCTGGTTGTCTTGATGTGGTGGTGGACGGCAGCGATCCGCTAGGAATACAGGCATGGCCGTCGAATGAGGAAGAAGGACAACACACAGGCAAGGAATCCCGGTTGGGTGGAATAACACGGATACATATCAGAAAAAAACGTATATCTACTGCCCATCGTTGGCACCAAAGTCTTTCGGGCTCTCCCCCTCCCCTTTCTTTCCACATCGCTCGCTACTGGTCTATCTTGGATAGTGCATATCTGCCTGAAGAGAGAGGGAATAGATCAGTTGGGGTGAAGTGTCATTCGCTTGATCGCTCACTATATACTGAGACTGCCGTTCACCACACTGTTTACTGCACGCTCGGTTAATAAAGCCAACCCCTCGCTTTGACAATAACAGTATCGAAGATGCAGCTCACACTCGCACTCGCCTCGGCGCTCTTGGGCCTTGCCGTGGCCGCACCTCAGGGAGTGACTGAGAAGTTGACACCCACCGGCGCCGCTCCCGCCGGCTGCACAGCAAGCGTCGATGGCAAATTCGAAATTACAGTCGCTAGAGTAACGGAAGAAAAACGAAGCCTTCCTGAGGTAGGACTCCAGTTGGGCGAGATTCTCAAACCATATAAACTGGCTAACGATGTAACGCAGAAAAGGGCAGAATGCGGCGCCGAGGGCGTCCTTGTTCTCAAACTGAAGGATGGCTCGACTTATGATGCTCAGGGCCGCACTGGATACATCGCGTCCAACTACCAGTTCCAGTTTGACGCCCCGGCTCAAGCTGGCGCTCTCTTCACCAGCGGCTTCTCGCTCTGCGACAACAACATTATGGCGCTGGGCTCTTCGAAGACTTTCTACCAATGCCTGTCTGGAGACTTTTACAACCTCTACGATCGCACATGGGCCGAGCAATGCGAGCCCGTCTCCCTCATCGCTATCCCTTGTGGTTCTAAAGGTTCTGCCGACCAGTCTCCTGACGGCCAGATTGTCGGAACAACGGTTGTACAGACAACGATAATCACGGCGCTGTCTGATGGGCAGCCCCAGGTGGTCACGACGTCGGTGCCCGTTCCTGTCTATAGCACCTACGTGCCTGTGAGCGAGTACACCGACGGTCAGATCCAAGTGACACCTACTGGTACTGTGAGTGTGCCAGTATCGACTCCGACACCAACGGAGACGGAAACGGCTCCCCCTCCGCCGCCACCTGAGACGACGCCCATCGTCACTCCTCCTGAGACCTCGGTTTCTGTTCCTGTGACCAGCGCCGAGTCATCGTCGAGTGCCGCCAGCTCTTCGGTAGAGACCCCATCAGTTACCACCCCCGCAGAGACCTCCAGTGCTCCGGCCTCATCTTCTTCGGCACCCCCTGCCACGACCTCGGCCCCGTCAACTGGTGGCTCGTCGCACGTTGCGGAAGGCTCGATGGGTGCTCTAGTCTTTGGCGTCGTGGTCGCTTTCCTCTGCTTGTAAGCACATTTGAAGGTTGGATGTCAGCAAAACAATGGGAGACAGAGGGTCCGTCTCCTCTGCATTGGCTCAGAACGATACGTAATGAAAGAAATATTTATGAGAGTTGGCTTCTGAGGCTAATGGCAATGCGAGGAATAACACATGCAACGGACCGGGATTTAATAAGGCAAAAGAAGGATGTAATCTCGAATTCCCGTGGCAAGTTCGAAAGTTTTAAGGGCTGGAACTAGGCTTGGAAAGATAGGGTACAGGATCTGTATCGCGGTCGTTTGGCCGAGGGTATCGTGTAATACTTGCTTCATGCACAAGTGACACTCAGTTGTCCCGATATTGATATACTCACATTATATTATCATCAAAGATTACCTCGTACTCGAAAGGCGCGGTAACGTGTCACGGCAGGTTATGTGTAGGCTGAGTGCACAAAGTCGTCGTATCGATACCATGTACTCTAATGATGGAATAAGATATTCAAACTCTGTAACGACAGAGGAATCATTAGGATCCAGAGAACATTTATCAAATCATGCTCGTAAGCACCTAGATAGCCTAGTCGATGAGATGAGAATGAAGATGCAAGCAAATCTTAGGTGCTTGTTCTAGACTCTACTATGTAGGTAGTGACACCCACTACCCCAGCGCCTTCTAGGTACAGAATAGGTCGCCAAGACAGCCTGTCAGCCCCATTACAATCCACTGCGCCGGAACCCATCCGCACCTATCCGCATCTACCGTACAGGCAGGTGTGTGTGTACCTTACCTAAACCTTGATTTTTTTCTACATCTCTACCTATTGTAACTGTCTTGCGCATCGTCTGCTACTATAAAAACGCGCCTCTTCTCACCTCTTATTGCTTGTCCACCGCATGCCAGATACAATCCCTAGCCATAGAAGTGGTGACCATGTCAGAATATTGGAAGTCGACACCAAAATACTGGTGCAAACACTGCAGCACCTATGTCCGTGACACCAAGCTCGAGCGCACCAACCATGAAGCTACCGCAAAGCACCAATCCGCACTCAAGCGCTTTCTGCGCGATCTTCACCGTAGCCACGAGAACGAGGAGCGTGAAAAAGACAGGGCCAAACGTGAGATAGATCGTCTAAATGGCATCACTACCAGCAAGCCCTCCACCTCCACCTCCTCTTCGTCCTCCGCCAACGCTGCCGCCACACCTGCGCAGCGCCAGCAACAATGGGAACAGCTCGCCGAGATGGGGATCAATGTCCCGACAGAGCTGCGTCGGGATATGGCTCTCGCCGGGGAATGGTCCGTCACAAGTACGCGCATCATAGACGATCCCGAACCGGACGACGACGATTCGAAACCTGCGAACGTCGATGCCGTCGCGACTGGCGTGCACAAACGGCCGAAAGAAGAAAGCGAAGATGAAAAAGAGGCGGAAAACCATGTGAAGAATCTGTTTAAGAAGCCGAGGAGATGGGGTCGCGATTCGAAAAACTCTGCTGAGAATGATGCTGAGCTTGACGCGCTGCTTAGCACACCACTTATGAAACCGCTTAAGAAGGAAGAGCCGGCCGAACAGTCAGATGTCAAGGAAGAATCACGTCCTAAGATCAAGAAAGAGGAGTCCGAATCTGATGGGGTATTGACCTCAGCTGTTGCGCCGCCTGATGGGGAGCAGTCTGGAGGAGTGGCTGTAAAAGAAGAGCCTGATAAAGAATCCTCAGAGCCTGTCGTGGTCTTCAAGAAGAGGAAACCGAAGAACATTCGCCAGAAATGATGAGTTTCTTGTTGATACTACCGATTTTGATTAGGCGCGTCTGGTTGGTAGGAGAACTCTCAGTCCTACGTCAACAGAGGCATCATGATGTCCCGTGAACCCCCTTGGCCATTCCATATGGGATCTTTTCCGGCATGAACATCAGCGTTGCCCTGCGATCTATTTTGACAAAACAGGTGTCAAGACCACTAAATCATGTCCGAATCGGTCAATTTCGATGGACATATACAATGAGACATAACACTCTTGTCTTGCAGCTGCAAAAGTATCACCCTGTCTGTGCCGCCGATCATGCAATATCGGCCATTCTAATAGCTTGTTCGACGCCGCTTAGTCTTGATTAGCTCGTCATCCTGACATTAGAGATCCGTGGCACGCCTGCAGCACCAACATGTCAGCAAACCAGTACCTATATGGTCAATGAAGCGCTTTGATTCACATTCTATAAAGAACTTAGGTTTGGCTTGGTTGCCTACGGGGTGGCAACGACGAAGCATAAACAATGCAAGCATATACACTCGGAGAGTTGTCATTTCCAGCAGGGCTTGTATTTCTAAGAGATGCTAGCCTCAACATCTCAGCCCTTTATACTTTTGGACTTCAACATACATCCGCTGTCACAATGCGCACTGGCCCCCTCGTCACTTTGTGACGCGTTGCTACCCGAGCTATTCCTCCTGCTAAGATCAGGGGAAGCCTATAACACCTGGTCTATTATCAGTCTTGCGCCTACTCAGGACTACTCGCATGGGGTGGGGGTAGAGTTACGTCTCGACAGCCCTACTGGTTACATCGTAACTGTAAACCTCAGTTGTCAGAGTCATGTTGCTAGTGTTCGGGTAACATTTGGACGCTGATGTCTTAATGGGGGCTCTTACTAAACCCTGCGAGCACCCTTAATCCCTACAAAGGCGCGCTCAGAGTGTCCGTCCCTAACCTACGTTGTTCAAGCTCACTGAGATGCAATCCCATCACAACGTTAGGCACTAATTCTGCATTGGATCTTCGATGGAATGCCTATAATTGACATCTGTCCCACTCCGGGCAAGCTGGCATCTATTTATCATACCGTTAGTTTCTTGAGAATCTCAGGTAATTATTGCTTGATGCAATCTCTGCGGATGGTTTCACCAAATAGTTACCAGTCAATTAGCAATTCCAAGCCCTTTACTTAGGAGACTTCAGAACGAAGGGCGCGGTTATTGCCGACTGTTACAGCAAGACGAATATATCAACTTATTGAGCCAGGTCAAAGTTCCTAGAATCTAGGCAGAGTCTAGGCATCTTGACTAGAGTCATATACAATAATAACCTCGGCTGGTTTTGAGATTGATGCAGACATAAGACCCATGTTGATCATACTTATCCTTAAGTTAAATGTGATACTCAATTCTAACATCTACCTGGCATGCTATACAGCATTGTTAAAGCAGGTAACTAGCTGTGTTGTGGCGGAGATCAATAACCAAGAGCTATGTAGAGCTTATGTGAGACTAATATTTCTCCCTTAGACATTATACTTTGAAAACGTAATGCGTATTCTTGGTTTAGATGTTATGTTGTAAGCTAGCAAGCAAGAACGGGGGGTTTTTTTTTTGTAAACCGGTATGACTGATTACTGCATGGACTGAGCGATTCGAGATGCTTAAGTTTGGTAGATACGATTACTTTCATAGATCTGTAGTGCAATACTTCATGTACCATCGATACAACTTTTATACCATTAGGTCTGTCTGAAATACCCAATTTGCACTCCGGGAATTAGGCAGCCTAGATCATCTTCGCGCCTTAGTATCGGAGTGTTTTATATACAATGTAGAGAGAAATAATAGCATATCCTTAAGATTATGTCTTCGAGCTGAAGTACTTACAACAGCCTTTCATGAAACTGACTCATATTTACCCGTTTTATTTAATTGAGACTCGTAAGTTTGAAACAATGAGGTGGCTCAGCCGCAAGTCACGTCTAGATAAATTAGATGATTTGAATCATGGTACACCGGGCTCGGACTTTGAAATCTCAAGGTTTCATTCACCCTTTAATATTTCCCGCGCCTTATATTGATATCTTTTCATTTCTTGCCCCTGAGTCCCTGTATTCATCGTCGGAGTAAGCCGGTCAAAGCGTAATTCACCAGTGGAATAATCAAGTCAAGATAGGTACTCCCGTATTCTGTATTTACAGTTTTTAAAAAATAGACTCGTCTGTGCTTATATCCTTAGTACAGAAAAGATAAATGCAAATTCCAAATGACAAAGTTATACGCTTTTTTACCCTTGCCGTCGCTGTGAAAATGTATCCTTAAAAAGCACGAAAATAAAACCCTAATGCTTCAAAAAGCCAAGCCCCGTTATGTTTTTGACGTCTGTTATGCTTTCTTGTATTCTTCGTTATCAAATCGATACTGTTTTTAGTTCTGGAGAGGGCATCGTCCTAGACATTATCGGGACCGCTCGCGAGGCTCGGGGCTCCCGCCTTCTCAAAGTACGCGTTCGGGCGGTTCTTCAGCGCCGTGCGGATGGCGCCCTCGGACTGCGCCGCCCATGAGTAATAGCTGCTGTTGCTGTAAGGGTACAGGACCTTGTTCCTCGAGTTCTGAACCAGCTGCTGGGTGGAGATCTTGGTGCGGGAGGAGATGGTTTCCATGTCGTCGACGATTTGTTGGCAGAAGGAGTCGAGGGGTAGATCGTTGACGTCGTTGCCGAAGGGGTTCTCGATCTCGTGGCCGATGAAGAAGATGCCGAGGATGATGTAGGAGGCGAAGATGGTTGCGGGGATCGTGATCCAATCGAGCGCGGCGTAGAGCTGGAAGGGAAGTAGGACCACGTAGAGCCAGGTGATTTGAGAGATGACGATGGCGTAGGCGATGGGGAGGGGCGTGTTCAATACTCGCTCGGTGTTCACCATTACATCGTTAAGCAAGCCCAAGTTGTTGTCTGGTCAGTGTGTATTAGTTACGGAACCATATGAATGCCGGAGGCGGGGTTCAAGACATCACTTACAAACAGTAGTTTGCTGCATGCCGACAGGGAGCTGGCCGTTGGCGACAAGTTCGTCTGAGTAGGCTGTCAGGTAGCAGAGGATTTCCAGAGGAAGGTTGCCAACGGGCTTCTTAATGCGCTTGAGCTGCTTGCGAGGATTTGACGTAGCAAAAGACAAGCCCAGATTTTCGCCCACAGCCTTGAAGATCGTGTACTTCTTAGACCTGGCCTGTTGCACCTCTTCGTCCGCCGTGGCTTCCTTCGCTAGCGTATCAATATGCCCGACAAGGTCAATGAGGTCTTCGTAGTGTGTGTAGGGTTCAAATCGTAGCTTGTGTTTGAGAGCCACAGCGTAGGCGATAATGAGGTTCATAGCTGTTCTAATCATGACGGGTTAGCTTATTAACAGTCACCTCTAGGTCATCGCAAAATTATGAATGTGGTGGACATACAGCTTGCCTAGCAGATCCTCCTTCGCTGTCTCAGGGCGCTCGATGGCATGGACCCAGAACACCCGACCAAGACTTTGTGACGCCAATATGAGCTGACTCCAGCATCTCCTCCCCTCGGCGTAACGCTCATAGGCGGTAGAGCTACGGAGCGACAGACCCATACTAACAACGAAACCGGTAATGGTCAAAAGAACCGGCTCGATGGAGAGCTCAATGTGGTAGAACTCCTTGGAAAGAACGGTGATCAAGGTGGCCCAAGCGCCGATGGCAAGGAGCGGGACGATCATCTTGGGGGTTATGCTGCCGTGTAATTGTAAAAAGAGTGGCCATTTTGAATGTTTGGAAATATCTCGAGGGCCGGACTGGGGAGAAGAACGGGAGTTAGCACGATCAGCGAATCCCACACAGTTTTGGCCAAGGACAAACTCACGAAGTAGTCATCTAGATCTAAGCTCGTGTTTTTGCGACTGAATGGGTTAGGAGTCTCGGTGCCTCGACTAGGAGGAGATACGGGCCTCGTGATCTCCGTTGAATAGTTTCCACCATCGGTGTTGCTGTTGTTGCCGTGGCTCTTTTCTCCGTAACCACCAGCGGGAGCATGAGGAGCGCCCACTTCGCCGTTGCCAGCATGGGCTACACCAGCACCACCCGACGCACCTCCATGTCCACCTCCACCTGAACCGTTGCCGCCGCCGTCTTCGCCCATTGTGAATTAGGTATCGCTAGCTTTATGAAAGAGATCAATGAGAGTGAGAGAAAATAAGGGCGAAGGTTGGCTTCGGGTGAGAAGTAAAGCTATCTAGGCTAGATGGTTGTAAGTTGGCGGAAACTTCGTAGGACCAGGAACTGGAACTCACGTTCTAATTAGTAAAATAGAAAGGAACCGGCCTGCTGGTTCATCTATAGTGAAATAGTTCAAGATCAAGAGAGAGAGAGTTCTCAAGGTTAACCCAGCCTAGGGGAGGACTCGATCTCGTCTACTTTAATGAGACTGGGGGCCCAATGGTCCCATTCCCGGGGCGAAGCATCTTTTTCCTATTCTTCTCTGCCGGATCTTTGTCCCCAACAGGGTCTAGTGTGATGAGGGCCTTGCCTTGCAAACAACGTCTCATACCTACAGATGTCTAGCATAATTAGTCAACGCTAGACTGTGTCTATCCTACCTGCCCTGCCCAAAGCTCGGCGAACATCGAACCCCTTGATGACGCGCTTCCAGGGGTGCTGAGAACCAAAAGGAAGGACGTTGATACTCCAGCTCGTAAGGGGGAAGAGACATGCAGTGAGATGCTTGGCGCACATTAGCCTGCTTTTTTTTCCTTCATTTGCCCCAGGCCAAGCCAGTGAGACAGGCGTCAAAAGGCACAGGGCTACACTGTGGAAACGCCAAGTTGATTTAGCGGGTGGTCCCGGGGTAGAGCGAATGAGATGGTGCCAGCACCCAGTTCTAGACTGTTGCAGCGCTCAAAATAGCAAACGGAAACACCAGGACGAGCTGTCTTTCGGTATATCCAGTGTGTATTCCTCGTTCATCCCACACTGTACAGTAAGATGGGACGGTCGCATCTGAATTTAGGTTTGGGGGATTTGTGGCTTTTCTTATTCACATCGAGTGGCCAATAAACGGAAGCGTGGAGGCTGGAAGCGAGAAACATTGCTACCGAGGGAAGAGAAATGGCGGAATATAGCCGGCCAACTTGGGTTAAGATCAGTAGATGTGCTCAGTATACTTACACGTACGTAAGCGGTCTCTACCTAGATGTGTAAGTCAGCTTCTCAATGAGCACCCATCGCAGTGACATTTTACACTCATTCCCTCTCTATGTCTCGGCGTGCATATGTATTCGTCCTATTTTGTCATACCGATATACGCACAAGCACAACACACTCGACGCACCACGCCAGTTTTCCCGGGTAATCTCAGATGCTGACCGTCATTCAAGCCAACCAGGTTCAGCCAGTGCAGAATCATCACAGAAAACTCCAGGTAGGGGCCCATCCGTCCTCGTATCAAGCAGAACAGACGTCTAGACAGGTACACATACGCAATCACTGCAGACAAAGTAATTCGTACTGTAACCATAGACGAGACCTCGGTAGTGTGCACACACTACTCTGCAAAGGGTGCAGCGCAGGCGCAAAACAGCCCCTTGCCGCTGCAGGGGTTAAGGGGAGACTTGCTCGATACTACCTATGATTGGTGGCGTTGATGGCCAACGGGCAGGTCGCAACTTGAAACACAGGCTGTTACCTGAGGATTCGGTTCAATTTTAATATTACCTGTACTAAGTACTTTCACGTGTAGCACGTAATGACTAAGCTTGTTCACCGCCGAGGTGTGATTGGGTTATTGGGGCTGTAAGTAGGACTTTTTCGGTGAAATTTCAACGTACTACCTATTCGTAAGAGGAGGATGAAAGTGAGCTGAGCCGAAGATGCGCTCTATTAGACTATCTACCAATTACAGCCCTCCTTGGAGCATGAGGTTGATGAAAAGAGTATCACGAAAAAATAAATCCTAGGAAACCAGGCTGTCTTATCTACAGTAGTGCTCATTCACAAGAAATTTTCAGCCCTAAACTATGCCGAATAGTGCATCTGTACGTGTATAAATAGTATGAAAAAGTCCTACTCACTATTAGTATACGCTGCCTACTGCGCTATCCTAGTATAGTGCAGTGGTTAGGTAATAAATAGTGCATCTAAGTAGGTAAGCTGCATTGCATGGTTATGTCTATTTATTCTCGTTCACGATGCTACACCGTAGCATGAGAGGGGCCATTTGTGAGAATGGGGCCAGAACTCCGCCGCCATGTGCGATGGTCTGCTGCTCGTCAATGCTATTCGTCTCTTACTCGTGGGTTCATCCTTCACAGCGCGCTTCGCCAAGTTCTTAATGGGGCGTGTATCAAGTTTGGCAAGCATGAATGACCAAGGCAAAGCATCGGGAGATCATGTTGGATAGTCACATACCCAGTTGTGTATGTGTATTGTATTGTGAGTGTATGGATTTAACCTCACTATGTTACAATCGTGCGCTGAATTCAACCAAACCTATACCCGTACTCAAACCAATAGGTATGATAATGCTGATGACAGATTAGCTCTGTCATGAAAATTTATGCGATATGTTAATTGACTCTCTCTCATTACACCCGAAGCGATGAAGTACGCTTATGGTCTTCGTCTTCCTTCTTCTTTTTCTTGAATAGCGTCTTGAGCATATTGTCTTTCTTCGGTCTAAGGACAGCTTCGATAGTGTTGTCCTTGTCCCGGCTTCCATCTTCAATGGCCTTAACCTCGGTCCTACTAGAACGCTTGGTCCGTGAGGATCGTTCTGTCTTCTCACTCTTGCGGCTGTCATGGCTACGGTGACTGTGGTGACTGCGGTGGCTTCGATGGCTGCCCAACTCACTTACTTCATCGCTAACCTCCTGATTTAGACGGCTGCTCCTTCGCTCGGGTATATCGCTGTCATCGTGAGCTCGACTGCTGCGATGCGACTTGTGCGATTTGTGTGACTTGCTTGACTTGTGTGACCGGCTCGTCCGGACACTTCGTTCGGTTCGCGCATCATCACCACCGTACTGACTGCGTATAGCGCGATCCGCTTCCGGACTGATTAATTCGAGATCGGCACTCTCGTCTTCGCCGAAGGGTGTAATGCCTCGTCGCCAAGTCTCGATGGTGCTTAGCTCTTCCTCAACGACCAAAGCTTCGTCAAATTCTTGACTCGCCTCGGACGGGGGATACGGAGGTTGAACCGCCGGTTGTTGTTCGACAGGTTGACCGGGGTCCGCCTCAAAGGCCATCGGTTGCATGCGGGCCGCTGTTTCAGCTTCCTTTGCCTCTTTGATACGTTTGATAATCTTCCACCCTCCAAACATAACCACGGTCACGCCGACCGTTAGTCCGGCTGCAATTAGGAATTGCGGGCTCGAGAGTAGTGCAAATATGGCTGGACTGCCTCCCTTGATTACCCCTAGGAATGACGGTGACATTTTGCCCAATAGCGCAGATAATTCAGCAAGCGTAAGCGCCACTGCAGCTGCAGCTTCTGGTTTGCCTTGCAGATGTTCTATGATGTGTGTGGCGGTGTGGTGTAGACATTGCGCTTCTACCAGAAGGTCCTCGATCTTCTCCATCAGAGTGCGCGCCTTGTGCTCTTTCTCAACCGCTTGATACGCCGGATCTAGATCAACTCGTTCTGCGAGATCCGGCGGGATGTTTCCATATGCTAAATTCATATCGATCTCCTTTTTCTTTTTGCCTGTCTCTGGGAGCGCTGGGTCCGATACCGACCGCTGCATATATGTATTCCCCATCGGCACAGGTGCCATTACTTCAGTTGGCGTATAAGGCGCTGTAGGAGCGCGGGGAAGCGTAGGTCGACTCAAGGTCATATCTCTGGGGGCCGTTTCCGCATATGGCGAGCGGTAAGCTATTGGTGGTCGCGAAGGTGTGACGGAGGACACTTCAGAATGTGTCTTCAGATTTCCCTCTGTCAGTGCCGGTCGCGATTGTGAAGCAGACCGGTGGCGACTGGCCCGGCTATGCTTTGAGCGATGACTCCTACGCGATGAGGTCTGTGAAACGCCATCGTCGTGCGAATGTCGACGGTCATACCCGCCATACTCGTAGTCATAGTTCGGTTCTGGTTGATAACGAGGCGCGGCTGGTATGTCGTAGGTTTGGCTCCGCCGTACAGCACGTTCCGCTCTTACGGCGGCCTTCTTCTCGTCGTAGGCAGCTTTGGCCTCTTTAAATGCAGCGACTAGGTGTTTGCCCTATGATGTGGCAGGGAAAGTTAGTTTGATTGATGACAGACTGTATTGGTAAAGTCCGCATCAAGAGAATACGAAGGGCTGTCAGCACTGTAAACGCCCGACTAGAGGGAGATCTCCAAGCGGGGCAAAGTGAACAGGGAAGATGTCTTGTGCTACTGCTTAGGGAGCGACTAGGCAGTCGGATAACGAGACGGCAGATAAGTGTAAATGGACTGTTAGAGCTTACATTACTTATAATTTTACCGGACTGGTTGACAATTGTAACAATTTCAACAGGCATTTCTACCAAGCTCTCTATGACCTGTAGAGAGTCCTACGACGAATGAAGAGCAGCAATGGGGAGGGATGCGATAAAAGAGAAGGCCGTCTCGCTGACCGCCTCGACTGATTAGAGCCCTGGGATCCGCACCTTAGCGATGCCCCGCGGAATTGGTTCCAAAATTGGGGCTCCTGGTTCAGGGTTCGGGAGGTTGGTAGCAGGAGTGAATGAGGTTTCTTGGAGTCTTGTCCGGCGGTGAGCAAGGCGACGTGTACAGCACTATAAAGTATTACTGTGTGAGTCTTAATAGGCAATTGTATTAATTAGGCTAGGCACGGGGCCAGCGCGGGATGAGGTAAGGTGAGGTGAGGTGAGGTAAGGATAGGCAGCCCAAATTGAAGATTTATGGATTGGGGGCTGGAAGGTGTTTTGTAAACTAAGGTAACGGTTGTGCTTGCGCAATGCCAGCCATCTACGTACTCAGGTTCAAAAAAGTACGCACGACGTAAGTAAGTAGTAGTAGTAGCTATGCGTTACTGCGTGACTAATGCAGGATGCAGGATGTTGGACCAAGATATATGTATCCGTCCGCCGCCGAGGTGCCCAGGTATTGGATGAACAAAACAGAGGCGCTGAGCTGTTTCAATATCGGTGTTCGTGATTGGCCGCCCCGACGGTGAAGATCAGGCGCGGGTGCATGGGCGTGATTGCTCATTGCTCCAATGCGTCACCATTGTCGTCGAATTGGAGCAACGGGATGCACCCCCCGATGCAATTGTGTCGTATGGTTTGATGCATAGAACGCCGAAAATCTGGTTGCAGCGTGGATGAGGCGAAATCCAGCCGACTACAATTTGATGCCTTAAGTCTGCTCATCCTCCGCCCCCAGGCATTCTGCAGAGAGCAGAAGAGAGATCACGATTACAGTGAATTATAAATATAATGCACACTTCTGGGCAATTGCTACTATTGTTTCAGTGTTGATGCCTATCTCTCTCTAGATAGACCAGATCCTGTGGTCTTTCGGAAAGGTGGGGGACTGTGTCTATCCGCCGACCATACATCGATTTGTAAACTGACCACCGAAGCCCATACGCTGAGAGCCGAGGCGAGGGAGCCTGTGATCATCAGCTGTTATCGCCATGCTATCCGAGTAATACTATCCGCAATGAATACCAACTGTAGTACAGGCGGACGGGCCGAGCTTGTTATGAAGAGATCAGAGTATTGTAGCCAGATCGTCGGGCAACATTGGGCACGATTGACACCGACCTGGCCTGGTCGGGAAATACATCATCTACACAGAGCCCTAACCAGACCTTAACCGACATAGCATAGCACCATATATGTTTATGTAGGTAGACAAACAACCAGCTGCAGGAGGGAGGCCAACTACAGACTATTAACCCGGGTAATCGGACGGAGCGGATATGGAAGTTGGCTTGATTGCCAGTCTCTCCCCAAACCAGTGATGGGCGCAGGGTTTTGAATGGAGACATGTGGCGCCTCAGAGAACCACTCAATGCTGATGCGGTTACACGTATCTGTCAGCGGGGACAATTACTGATCGTTCCGTGAATATCGTCCAACAGCGTTACTGGGAACCGCCGAGCATGGTCTAGCGTAGCGGGTGACAGGTCGCTCACAGCAAGCGCTAAGCTCCCCGGTTGGTGGTTGGTTGTCTTTCACCTGAGCCAAACCTACTCCGTATCGTCATTGTAGGGAGAGGGAGAGGGTAGTGAATATTGAAACGCAGATAGGCATGAACGTAACAGGCAGAGACATACATATTCATATGTATGTCTAAGTAGGTATTTACGCCTGTGAGATAGGGGCCGTCACCGACCTGGGGTAGACAATCATAATGTTGCGTAATATTATATGATAGTCATTAGTCTAAGCGTGAAGATTGTGAGCTCTGAATTCCTATAAGCCGAGCTCCCTGTCGTCATCATAGTCGGAGTCGGAATACTCGTACTCGGCTCCGTACCAGCCACCATGCTCGTCGGCCATGTGGTCATAGATTTGCGTTGGATGAACCGCGATTCCACAGAAGTAGCACCAGTGGGTTTCACAGTCTGGCACCGGACAAGCAATATGACCGCATCCTCCCGTCCGCTCCGTCCTCACCCCACACACGGGACAGCTGCGGACGTGTTGCACAGTATGCACGTCGGACGCCTCGTATGCCTCGCACTTCCACTCATCCAGCTCAGGCGGCGGACCCTGTGCACACGTGCGTTCTATGAATCGCTTAGCGGTACCGTAGATCCACGTGCCTGCTCCGTCGACAACACAGCGTAGGTTCCCGAGAGATGCAAGGCCTCTTGCAACCCCGGACACCGCTCGAGAAGCTGGTTGGCGCCGGCAAAAGGGCAGCAAAGAGCAGCGACATTAATGGTTTTTCCTCGTCGATTAATCCCATACCATTCCTGCCGACACTTCTCACATGTCGGTTGCTGGCATCCAGAGCGGCCACAGGCTGAGCGTAGGTTCCGTTTGTTGAATGCCCTGAAGCAGAGACTACACGTTCAGCCTTCGGTGCGCCGGGCACAAACCTAGCCCCAAAGGGCAGATTTAATTTCTGTCGTGTTGTGGACGAGCTTACCGCCATATTTGAGCTCAGTTGTATCCGACGGTGGTATTATCTCAACTAGTGTGACAAAATCTTCTGTTCCAGATGCCATCACTGTCTTGTATAATGAGCGGTCGACGAGAGCATCTGGGATTTTGTTGTCCGTATTTCGTAGAAGCCATGCCGTGCCGTTTTCACAAGCTAATTGGCTGGTTGTTGTTTCGACGGCGATGATGGTATCACGGCCTGACAAACACGCTGGACACCGGAGCTTTGCTGTTGATAGATTTGTAGGGCGATACTCGTGCGGCCAAATCATCCGACTCAGGCAGATCGTACATTCTATCCAGGGTGCTACTTGAGCAGACGTCCCTTCTCCCGCAATGGACTCTGTACATGTAGATTCCTTGAGTTTTCCTGAAACTCGACAGCAATGGCACTTTGGACGGTTATTTAACTCTGGGTTCTAGACAACGTATTGTGCATGGCAATCTGAGATGCTACACTCGACCCAGGTAGCCTCGCTGTTTTCCGTATTATCCATGGTCACATTTGATCGGATACTCTCTTCTCCGGGCTTTGCGGAATATGCGTCTGGATCTCCGATACAGAAGCCACAAATACCCCCGGCGCCATAATTGTAACGGAACGAGGATATCGACATTCTTTGCAAACTATCAATGGCCCTATGGAGACTTTACTCTTCTTAGGCTGCTAACTGATGCGAGCTTGGTGTGTTGTGGCCATTTTGAATTTAAGTAGACTGTAGTCAACCAAGCGCTGGAAAAGCTGGCAATCGTCTTCGCTAAGGAATTATCCGGCGCCGTCTTGTAGTTCGCCTCGTGCACGGCGTCCTTCGGGGTCCCTGTCAGCATCAAGGATAAGGGATAGGCAATTGACATTCTACGTCTCTGGTATTTCAAAATTATTCCACTTCTCGCACCAAGCAAGCATTTCAGCCTCTGCCGCCGCCCTCAACGGTTTCATGCCCATTCGAATGCTAAATGCGGCAATCAATGCCGCGCCGCGAGTTTAGTTCTCGGGCAAACGAGGTGTAACAGAATTCGCCAGAGTAGAGTAAAAAGATAACCACCCGGGGTAATCTGCAGCCAAGCTCCCAACTGGCAGAATACTCGTTTGTATTCTGGTTGTGCCAGCGCCAGTGGTAACATTGGGACTCGTCTACTCGCGGCTCTGATGTGGGCAGGCAGTTCACCCTCGGAGTCGACATAGGTTGGATATGTGAGCGCCCGGCCTAGCTTCCGAAGGATACGATAATCACAAGACCTGCCAATCCGCAAAGAGAGCACTATCTCTCCCATATTCCCCGGCCGAGAGGGACTTCTGTTCACCCCTCAGGGTTGCAACCTCTTGTCCAGAGCATGTGGAGAGGCGCATCGGTGTAGAACAGGATGATTGTCTTTGCTTCTGAACGCATAACAGAGTATGCATACGCGAAGGCTGTCTTGGTTGCCTGGAGACTCTTTGCGAATTGCATCAAGGTGTCACGATCAATTGCCCCATCTTTACCATACCACCCCGACCACTCGATAGGTTTACTACTGCAGTATGCTAGGACCCCAATTCGAGAAAAGGACCTGGTGAGGGCTGATATGGCGATGATTTTTGGAAGGGATTTGGTCAGTGCGGTTAAGAACCGGTGCATTGACGCTGTCGCGTCGATTATGATCAGCAGATCATATTCTGCAGACACCTCAACTGCCATCTTGCCAGGGTTGCTGACAGCTTTAAGGAGATTAGGTCGCGAGCGTAACCTCGTCGTGAGAACGATTATTGTGTACTGCTGATGTTAGATGATGTCCGGAGTTCTAATCCTCAATCCTGGCCGCCACGATAATGCATGATTACCATCAGCTCACAAGACAGAATGGATGTTGATAGAATTCCCGTTGACATAAGGCGAGTCATTACACGATGTATTGAAGTTGTTGGAAGTAATATCGGGCTTGACTCACACGGCAAGCCAGACTCATCACCGGCGACCGTCACCGCCTTATATTCCCTCCAGTTAGGACTTGATAGCTATTCATACCAGAACATAGTCAATGCTGAACATCTGGATTGCAGTAGTAGCACCGACAGTTAGATAAGACCTCATAACGCCGACTACCTTGTGTTACTGGTTGAATGTAAGGTGCATACGAATGAACCACGGACTGTTTCCTGGCTGGCTGGGTTAGCCGCCTGAGAATCTATCCTATTCAGACCAAATCGCTGCTCTCATTGTCAATTTATCAATTATAGGTTCGCACTTTGATGCCTTCGACTCGCTAGTAGTGTAACAGAGTCCAAGGCCTGAGATGGAAATCCTCAATTGATCCTCAGATAATCTAGACATCTTGTGACTTCCATTATTCGGTATACCTAGGTACTATCTACCACATGCAGAAGCTAGGTACCTTCCGGCTGTTCATGATGTATCTGGGTAGGTAGCGATTACTATGTACGTAGGGAGTGCGTAGAAATGGCAATTACGATTCTTTCAGAGGGGCTGCGGCAGCCACGATCGCCTTGCCTGAGGTAGTAAAGCAGACAACACCAGCACAGATTTGATACATTTAATAAAGCAACTCGTGATGATAACTATCCTAAACATACAAAGCGTCATGTCAAACCCGACCCGTAGCGTAACGGCGGTATGGGAAAGCGGATGAAGACAAAGTCGAAAATCGACTATCGACATCGTTGGCCGACTCAGCAGACATTGGTCGAGTCTCGAGCGACTCTGCGGATCCCAAGGTTCAAGTGGCGATGGAAGTCCCGCACCAGATTGTTGCAGCGGCTCAAAAGAAGGTCGGCCCCGGAACCTGGGAAGAGCACGCATCCCTACGACACCGGTCTTGGGGAACCAGAGAGCAATTCGAGATCCGATTCGACAATAGTCAGACCTGCATTGACCCGAGAGGACCAGAAATGTTTGAAGTTGTTCAATCGCACACCGCAAGCCGCATCTCCACCGACGGTAGGGAACAAGAGATCAAAATAATTATAGTTAACTGCGGCGGGTGGAGGCTGATTATTTGACTTGTGAACTACTTCTAGCCCGTACCTCCAAAGATCTCTCTGATCAAGGAGGAGCCGCGGCCAGAAACCCCAAGGACCCCGGTGCAACTCCTGCGACACTTAACCAGCCCTAAGAAATCCCCTCTCCCTCGATCGCGAAATGCAACTCCCTCCGACTGCGATAAGCCGACTATACATATAAGATGCACCAATTCTAAAGTACAAGCACAGGATCTGCCATTGCCAAAGACGGCCCGGCCCGCTGCAAAGAGTCCGAGGACGCTATCGACCAAGATCAAATCTTTCGCACGGAAGATGTTCAGACGGCATAGTAACACCGGTCGGCATCGCACGACCCGTTCAAGAATTAAGATATGATTCAGAAGATTGGAGGAGTGATGCACAGCTGTTCCTGCCAAGTGGCTTGTTCATTAATTCAGGTGCCGGCCACCTCCTCGGAACATGGCGTGCGATCGCGGAACGTCTCTTGCTAGCCCGTCGTCACCTTTTACATTTTAACAGCCCTGCCTACCTATCAAAATTCAGCTTAATGAGGTAGGCTATCTTACTGCAGCAGTTTTATAATACAATGCATTATCAGTCATGCTTGGGCATCCCAAACGATTGGCCCAGATGCGCTCTTCGCAAGCTATGTTCCCCGGAGTGCAGACCTTCGACCGAGCCAGAGGCAGAAAGAGGCAGAAGGATGTAGAAAGTGACTCTTTGCCGGCTTTCTTGTCCTACCATGCCATTTTGTGAGAGCCATCAACAGGAGTCTCAAGAGTCCTATGTCCGATTATTACTGCGGGATATTGCTACGGAGTGAGGCAACACCGTTGACGCCTACTCTGAGAAGTGACAATTATGCAGGTATATCTGCAGCCACCATGCAAGATAAAGTAAGCTCATACCAACGTGTAACCTTACTACTACAAGACTGCTCAGTACACTACGAGAACAAGCTTTCTGCCTGGGGCCCTTCCCTTGAGGGGCTCGACGACCTAACCGACAATGGTAAACGAGCCTGTACTAAACTGCTAGGAAGGGAAAAAATTGCCTCCCTAAGTGCGGCATGACACAATTCATCCGTCCCATTGGGTGAGTAATCACCACGCGCGGGGTGAACTCTAAACCTATGCGGCCGATGACCAGGACGGCGTCGAAGGACCCCTCAATATCCAGGTGTAACAATTGCCGATAGGCTTCTTAGTGTAGCAGTAGCTATAGTTATAGATAGTTCTAGTATATAATCTGACCGGACCTCTCGGCCTGTTGAATTGCATCGTATCTACTGTAACATATCATCACCATCATCATCATATCACTTCAAGCAAAATGGCTTCTAACCCACCCGGAAAGTGCTGCACTGTTGGCGTCAAGCATGAGTAAGTCAAGTCAGCTCTTTTGTTCTTCAGCTAGCTTTGAATGTTTCTTTTCCTAATGCAATCTTTTCCGACAGCGGCGAGCCAACTGGCGCCGATATCAAGGTCGGCAAGCACGATGCGTACCTCGCGACCCCCGACCCGGCCAAGGCGCACAAAGACACCGCCATTCTCTACCTCCCAGACGTCATCGGGCTGTGGCAGAACAGCAAGTTGATAGCTGACCAGTTCGCCGCAAACGGCTACCTTACTCTCATCATCGATCTGTTTAACGGCGACCCCGTGTCCTTGAACCCGCCCGCCGGTTTCGAGATCTTCAAGTGGCTCGAGAACGGGTCAGACGGGAAAAACCCGCACACCAAGGAGCACGTCGACCCCATTGTTGTCGAGGCTATCAAGTGGCTTCAGACCGAGAAGGGCATCAAGAAGCTGGGTTCCGTCGGCTACTGCTTTGGCGCCAAGGCATGTAACATTCTCTGCGGTTCCAAGTCAAATGAAGTAAGATTTTATCTAACCATTGTTTCTGAGTAGTACGTTGCGCGCCACTTCGACAAAGGCATTAACGTCGGCTACATGGCCCACCCTTCTTTCGTCGACGAGGACGAGCTCCGTGGTTTCAAGGGACCGCTTTCCATTGCTGCTGCCGAGACCGACCAGATCTTCCCCGCCGAGAAGCGTCATCGCAGCGAGGAGATCCTCAAGGAAGTCGGCCAGCCTTACCAGATCAACCTGTACTCGGGTGTCGTGCACGGCTTCGCCGTGCGCAGTGATATCACTAAGAAGGACGAGAAATTCGCCAAGGAACAGGCCTTTTTACAGGCTGTCCAATGGTTCGACTACTTCCTCCTATGACTGGACGATGAGACTGCCATCCGAAAAAGATTATAAAGTGAAACACGTCTCGAGCAGCTTGCGGTTGGGCGAGGCCTGAAAGGACGGTTTATCGCGACCACGAGGGACCGTAGTGCAGACTAGTATTATAATATAGTTACTGCGCTAAATATGATCGTGACCCTGCCGCTCTCCTAAAATTGGGTGTAAAATAGTCAGGGGCTTCAGAGTGCGGCATCCTTCTGAGCTGCTATAAGTTGACTCTGCAGACCTTTCTTCCCCACCTGATTGGCTCTCTCGAGTTCCCTCTCTTCTTCCCGTAACATTGCTTTGCCGTATTCCAGCTGTCGCTTCTGCTTGCGCTTCTCCTCGGCCACGATACGCTCGCGTTCGGCCAGTGCCTTTTCCCGTTTACGACGCTCGTCTCTCGCCTTTTTCGCGGCTTCGTCTTCATCAGTCTCGTTGGCTTCTGGGGGCGGACCTAAACTTTGTATGTAGGCGTCCAACATGGGGTCGCGGGTCTTGGGATCTAAGCTGATGTAGCGCACATCTGCAAGTAATTGGCGTGGGAGGTTTTCCATGAGGGTTTTATTGTTCAGATCACGCGCGGGAATCTCTTTCAAGAGGCTGATTAGTTCCTTCTTGAGGGTTTCTTGTGGGAGCTTCAGCCTTTTTATGTACTCGCGATATAGATTTTCCCTATCGCGGTCGCCCAGTGAGGCGTCCTGCATAGCGGCCTCGCGCTTATATTTCCTTCGAAATTCTACCCAGTACAGCTTTGGTGTAGCCTTTTGTTGAAGGAAGGCCATGTAGGGTATTCTGGGATCCTTCTTCTCTTCTTTGGCACGCTGTTCCTTGAGCACTTGAATGCGCTCTCGACTCCATTCTTCCCACACCTCCTTGCGCGCTTTCATCGTGGAAAGGGCTGTATATCGGGAATCATCAAAAATGCGGCCATCCTCAATTAGTTTGTCCCATGATGAGTATGGGTTAATACCGAAGTCATTGAGGAGATCTTTGAAGAGCTCTATTGCGTCGGACTCGGAAAAGGTGATGCCTTCAGCGCCTTCAGGCCAGTTCTCTGGATCGCCATCGTCATATTCTCCAGGGTCTAACCCGTACTCCTCACCCATTGCCTGCAGTTGGAAGGCGATATCGCTCTCGTTAAATTCGACGGGCATATCATCGGCAGGCTCTTCGGTCCTTTGGCGTTTAGGCGCGCGGGAGTTTTCTTCGTCATCATTACCATCTTCTCCAGCATCTTCATCGTCCGTAACCTCCACTTCTTCATAGTCAGAACCAAAATCGGCTTGCTCCTCGAGTTCTTCTCTTTCACTACGCTCTGGCTCTTGAGAGGTCACCTCGACCGGTGCCGGATCATCTATTGTGTCAGGTTCCCCGGCCTTTCTCTTGATTCCTTTAATGTCTAGTTCAAGTACACCTGGCATGATCTTCTCGGGGATGCGCCAGTAGCTGGCGTTTTTGACGGGATTGTACGCGAAACGACGGCCATACTTGGTATATACAAGAATCCAAGGCTCGCATCCTGGTATAGCAACCTTGGACTTGGGCTTGTCAATAGGTTGAGGTCGTGGGCGGTCTCTTCCATCATTGTGCCCGCGGTTACCCCCTCTTCTACTTTGGCTGGCGGTTTGCGCGTCGCGTTGCCGCGCGGGATCGTACTGAGCTAGGAAGGCGTTGGCAGTAGCTGGATCGGAGAGCTGAGGTACCGTTGAGTACTGGAAGAAGCTCGTGTGTGGATTTTGAGTTTGCGGTGCGAGTGACGCGTCGGCGCCGGGACGTTTATAAGTCGATTCCTTCGTGGACTCATTGTAATAATATGTGTGACCTGTGGGAGCTTTGTGCGCTGTCCAACCAGGGGGTAATGGCGGTAGCGCCGAGTTGGCGGATGGTTTGTATGTAGATTTCAGCATCTTTATTGATGATGGTTTCGGGACGGGACGGGCAAGTCCATTTGGGTGAGGATTGGGAATGACGCGGTTATCTCAAAAATGATCCGACGCAGCGTATGATAGGGAAATATTAGCTATCGGCAGATTAAAGAGAGTACATGACTCGGACTTTTTTGTTGTATGGTTATGGAAAAATAAAAGTTGGTAATTATTTTATTTAAGAAATAAGACTGAGGTTTCTCGCACTGAGCGAGTGGCAGGTTACCTAAAGTAAAGAAATGACTACATTCAGCATTTCGCACCATGCGCCGGCTCATCTGTTGACAGCTGGCAGCCACTCCACGGTCGCCTTCAGCAGTGCCAAGAGTATCTATGTATGGAGTGCAGCATTCAACCAACGACCTGGCTTGGTTGCCACTGTCGCGTGCCCTCTCCATCGGCAATTCGCCTGCTTTGGTAGGTCGCACAGCCTGAACTTCAGTCTGAGCTTGGTTGCTGTCGTCATCGAGGAAGAGGAATATTCTATTGACGCGCTCTGGGAGCCTATTGACTGCCTACACCAGCCTCGCACCGGCTAACCATGCTGTGGAATCTCTTCAGGGCTGTACGCAGAAGGTGACTCGTGACAATGGCTCCGCGCAATCCCGATTCTCGCGATGCGGGCATTGCGACGCCCCTGGCTAGATTTTGGACAGTAAGGGCCTTACCTATTGATGTCTCCTGCTTAATCTGGAATACCCCTTAGCTAATTGTGATTTTTGTATGCGGCAGCATTCCTATGCGCCCGACTACTTAGGATTCGGCGCTCTTCTAGCAGCATACCTGGTCCTGGTGTTTTTCGTCGAACCCTTCCATCGCATGTTCTATATCAACAACCTCAACATTGCCTTTCCTCATGCTGAGATAGAGCGGGTGCCTGTTTGGCTTAACATCGTATATGCTGCATGCGTCCCTTTGGTTCTCGTCATTGTCTACAACAGCGTGACTCGCGCTTCGTTTCATAAACACCACAATGCCGTCCTCGGCCTTGCCATTGCCTTGATCATGACTTCATTTCTTACCGATATTGTAAAAAATGCGGTTGGACGGCCGCGCCCTGATCTTATCGCTCGTTGCAAGCCGGCGCCCAGCACTAAACCAGACATGCTTGTCAGTATTGACGTCTGTACCGAGACCAATCATCACACCCTGCACGACGGATGGCGCTCGTTCCCGTCAGGTCACTCTAGCTTTTCATTCAGTGGACTCGGGTACTTATCTTTTTTCCTGGCCGGCCAGTTGAGGATATTCCGCGATAAGAAGGGACTTGGACGGTCTTTGGTGTGCTTAGCACCGTTGGTTGGAGCGGCAATGATTGCTGTGAGTGATGCTCTTACGCGACGCTTTTGTTTTCCTGTTGTTTGTTCCTAGATAATTCGGGACTTTCCATTGGCCGTTTCTTTTCAAGTAGTAGTCATTCTGGCAGCTTTCTATGGACACTACAGGATGAGCTCAAATTAGTGGAATCTAATCCAGAACAATGCAGATAAGCCGATGCCAGGACTATCGTCACGATGTCTATGATGTGTGTGTGGGTTCATTTTTGGGCATTACTGTGGCATTGTGGAGTTATCGTCGATACTGGCCGAGGCTAAACAGCCGCGATTGCCATGAACCCTATCCTACGCCAGCGATAGAACACGAAGATGGAGAAGGCTGGCAGCGGGTGCGAGACGAGGAGGAGGGTGGTGGTCCTATCTTGGGTCGCAGTGCTGGGTACGAAATGGTCAACTTAGGAAGAGTTCATGGCTAACATAGACCCCCAGATGACTGCCGACATGAGCCTTGTTCACCCTTCCATTACTGATTCTACTGGAAATATAATGGTGCTTCAATTTGCGCACATTTTGGCTTGAAATATTTCGACCACGATAGTGATGGCACTGGGTTTTGTATATTGAACATGTGCCTTGTTGGGATATCCCATACTTGTCTCTTTCCCTGCATGCTTACCTAATCATCATGCACATTTCGCTGCACATACACATACGGTAGTGACTGTGGAGTGGTGTTTTACTAATTCGACCGTCAAAGGGTCTAGGACCCAAGGTACATACATACATACATGGAATGATGTTTTTGGAAAATACCTACCTGAATAACAACTTCAACTTTAACTTCAAGTCCTGGCCCATGGTTAACTGACAACCTACATACACCGGGTACATAACTATTATGTACCGAGGTACTGTTTAGTTCAGAGGCACACAGTGTACATATACCTAGGAATACTTAGCAGGTACGCATTGTATCGTGGCACCACTGTGACCACATGGAGGCAGTTTGCGCAGACATGCACAAGTGCACGCGATCTTCACAGAACTACACACAATTTGTATGGGATGATGTGAATTCCTGTTTAGGCGATGCCAGCCAATCATCTCACACCAAATCCACGCCCCACTCGTCAACGCCAGCCCCCCCTTGGACGATGCCACTTGCCCCGAAGCCACTCCAGGTCCCGCGCCTTCCCCTCGAGATTCAGATAGTGATCAAGCGGCAGGTACGGGCATTCAACTAACACTTGCCTGAGAATTGGTCGAGACTTTGGTACACTCACTCACTCACTCACTCACTTCCTTTCCTCCCACCTTTGCTTTCCCTACAACATCTCCATCTACATCACCTACCACCTTCAGCTCCAGCTTCCCTCCATATCTACACTCTCATCCCTCCTACTTCTTAGGTTTGATTACCCACCTCTCCCAATGTCCGTTTCAAGCTAATTAGCCCTCCTCTTATCCTTCCTCACAACTTTGTCTGTACACACAAGCATATTGTCATCTCCGCATCTTGTTCTCGACGGCGTTGCCTGTTACACCATCTAATCTTGCCTCACTCCCCTTTCCCGTTGCTTGTTTCCAGGTATATGCAGTAATTCTGTCACGATACTCACAGCCTGCATTGTTTTTAGAGGTCAGGATGACTCGGCGTGGTATCAAAAAGGAACCTTGCGATCGATCACCATCGTCAACCTCGACATCTGTACCAGCACCAGCGTCTTTGCCTTCAAACAACATGGGCCCACCTTCCAAGATGACTCGAATTGAAGACACAATTGACACGCAGTCCGTCACTGTTTCGTTCATCAGATCGCATGCGCGTGAGTGCACCCCGTCATCTTCTACAGGATGCTGCTGACACCTTTTAAGCTTCAGCAGAAACCCGTCATCGTACAAATGACGACGATGGGGAGCCTATCTACCTTGAACGCAGATTGCGTGGGGGTAATGATCTGGGCGGAAGCCCTCTGGCATCTCAAGCTGCGGACACGAGCTTTGCCCACACAAGTTTCTCACACCCTACATTCACTAACATTGGTGTAAAACTGAGGGAGTTCAACAATACAGTGGGGAGTCTCCAGCAACTCGGCGTATCTCACGTAGCAGAACTACCAGAACTCGTGCTCGTGGGTGACCAATCAGCTGGCAAGTCGAGCCTTATGTCTGGACTGGCAAGAGTAGATCTACCCTGCAGTGCAGGTGTAGGCACGCGATGCCCAATCCACATTAGACTGATTGATGCCAGTAATGGCCATTGGTCTTGCACAGTGGCTTTACAAGTTGATTATGACTTCGAACCAAAAGGCAAGATCAAGAAGTCAGATGTTACAGCAAATAACCCATTTCCTCCCTGGGTTAAGAAATCACATCGAGACAATAAAATCTTCAAAACGATCTTTGATCCGTCTGAGATTGAAGATGTCTTAAGATGGGCACAGGTTGCCATTCTCAACCCGGGAACGGATCATGAATTATACATACCTGGTGAGGGAGCGATTGCCAAGACAGAAGACCTTGCGGGTAAGCCCTACCTTTTCTTATATACATATTTTTTACCTTGACTGCGACGAATGTGCCCCTGGTGAGGCAATCATCACTGGAGAGCTCCAGTTTCGAAATCCAGTTTTCATTACATCCTGAAATTTAGTGAGACTTGTAGTGGTTGACAAACTCAAATTTACAGAAGCGGCACGGAATTCAGGCGCACAGTTCTCTCCTAATATTATTTCCCTTGAAATCAAGGGACCAGAGCTGCCCGGACTATCATTCTATGATCTCCCAGGAGTGTTCCTCTCTCCGGATCAGGAGGAAGATGAATATATAGTCAGAGTCGTCCGCAACTTGACCAGTCATTATATCAAGCGGGAAGGTGCAATAATAATGTGGGCTTTGCCCATGAACCACGATCCTGAAAACTCCATTTCCTTGGGCATTATCAGAGAGGCCAAAGCGGCCCAAAGAACTATTGGAATAATGACCAAGGCTGACAAACTGGCACCGGAGAATAAGACACAATGGCTTCAAATGTTTTATGGCGAGAAGCAGTCTGTCGGGCACGGCTTTTTTGCAACGTCTCGACCACCAGGCGAAACACTTGAATCCGCAAGTACGTGGGAGCGGCTATTCTTCGCTCGTGAAGGGGCGACGGGAGACACATGGCCGATTGAGTTTGATAAGTTCAAAGATCGGTGTGGTGTAAATCTGCTATCTGAGTATATTTCAGTTCAGCTCGGCAATGCATTTGCTAAAAGTCTCCCCACAATCAAAGGCAAATTATATACGCGATTGAGAGAAATTGAACAGCAACTCGAAGGCCTTCCGGAAATCCCTTATAACGTTGAACGTAAGTAGTAGTACCTGCCCTCAATTTTCCATAAGGATTCTGTATCTATGCATACTAATTCCGATCTAGACGAAGTAAAAAGCTCCCTATATCACTTCCTTGGTCGGATGAAAACCGCCATCAAAGACTCAGAATTCTCGTCTCAATGGAACACATTGAACAATCAGTTTAGAGACATCATTTTTCAGATCAAGCCGACGTGTCGTGTCAAAGAGCCCACAACACAGACCATTGATCTGTCTGATGCTGACACAGAAGTTTCTGCGGTAACCCCATCTCGCAGACCCCGGCCATCTGATTCGACGATGCGGGGTACGCCTAGTAAAAGACCTCGACTTGACGAGGTGCCGGCTACGCCGGTGAAGAATGAAAGCTTTACTGGTAGTGGTGTGTTTCATGCGTCACCAGTCATTAGCACTGGGCCTACGGTGGACCTTGGTCCATTTACGAGCTTCCGTAACCTTGGTAGGTTGGCGATGGACATACGCGATATTCGAAGTCAAGTGGCAAAAAAGCGTAAGTGTGAAATATCCTCCTGTAAACCCATAAGCTTCGGCTACATCTACGATCACCAAACCCCTGTTTGGATCAGTAATGATTGACTAACCCTACTATAGAACGTCCTGGAATGCCTCGGGATTTGGTTCCTGACGAAGTACGGGAAAGTCTTTGCCTTGATGCAGTAAAAAAATGGTATGGGCCACTGGAAAAGTACATAGATAAGACAGCGGAGCTGCTTGAAACCATGGCCCATGAAGCACTTGAAGACTCGCTTGGTGTCCTACGACGCCGCCTAATATTCAGAGAATGCGAGGGCAACCTCAAAGAGTTCATCGATGAACTGGTTGCCGATCAAAGAGGACGACTGTCGGAGATCTATGATTCAGAAACATACCAAATGTATGTTCTGAACGAAGATACGTTTACTCGATACCGGGCACAAGAACTTGAGCAGCTCCGACGAGCAAGGGCCATCTTTCGGCTCAAAGGTGCCGCGTTAATAGAGTGGACGTACGTCATTAAGAAGCTGGAAGAGATGACGAACGAGGAGAAGGATAGGGAAGCCAAGATATTGAGTCATCAACTTCCTAAGTTAGGGCGTGATCCATACGATACCGAAATTGAGGTCGCGGCCTTCGTCAGGGGGTATTATAGAACTGCTGCCGCCCGTTTTGTCGAAGGAGTAACAATGAATGTGAATTCGTAAGTACTCCAAGTCACATATATCTATCTTCTGGGCCGAATCTTAGGGTACAGAGGTTCCTACATGGGTTGCGGTTTTGCTGTACTAGTTGCTCGAAGAACTATCAACCACGCTCGAAATGACAAAACTAACGTTACGTGCAACAGTTTCTTGTTTCGAAAAATTGGCAGTACCGCATTAGACATGTTTATGGATCGCAAACTTGGTTTTTTTAGCCAATCTGGTAAGTTTAGCCCTAATAAAGCATCTGAAAGCTTTGTCTTATAGTGGTACTTCAACAGGACCGAGCGTGTATACACACCTCATGGAAGAGGACGATAAAACGGCGAGCTTGCGTGAAAGACTCAAGGGCGAGTTGGAGAAACTCACACAAGCTATGAACAGCATCAACGGGCTGCAAAGCCCAGCTCGTTCTATGACGGTTGTTGATTCTGATGACATGGCAGATGACGGTTTTTGAATTGCATTCCTTGAGTACTCTGGTTGTTTCTTGCTTGCGAAATCTTGGAACTTGTGTGTACCGACTACAGCCCTCGTTTAACCCCCTGGGACCTCTGACTGGCAGAGCTTGAATGATCGAGAACTTAGGAGTGAGCAAAAGAGGATTTGTGCAACTAGCTGTTATGATAGCTATATAGGATTGAGCTGGAGATCAGTCAAAAGCAAATGACAGTGTGTTTTTGTCCATAGTACCGCTAATATTCTCTCCGAACTCCTCTACGGTGATGAATTTTGTACATCCTGCTTCTAATCCCTTTCAAGATTCTAAAACTGGTCGTAGTTAATTTATCCCATACCCTCGAGGAGAAGCATCTGGATGGAAACCGGCATTAGTATTGATCCCATCAAAACGACAAACAGTCTCCAGGGGCTTGATGTGTTAAACAGATTTGTTGGTTGCGCGCCCCCTTCCCGAGGTAGTACAGTATCTACGAAACTACAGGGTTCAGGTATGTCGGCAGGCTCCGAAGCCATCGGAGAAATTGGTTGCGAAGGTTCAGCTGGCTTGGCAATGGCATGCTGGGTTGCTAGCTGTCGTCATATAGTATGCAGGCTTCTTACGATTACTGGCGTGTGTTTGGTCTCATCACCGAGGGCACGAATCGTTATTCCCAATCTCTAGGCTGCTGCGGCATCGGCTCGTGTCGTTTCATATTACCTCGGCGGTGGCCGCTATAAAGATACAATAACTGACCTGGTACGTCATTATTCGATGAGGGGATGTTTTGCTGTACAGACAGGATATGTCGTGGGCGTTCTTGGAATGAGACATGCATATGTTCGAGGACCTTTCTCGGATATTGGCATTGGGAGAGTTCAACTCTGGACGGTGGAGGAGGATGTTGAGTGTCACAGTAAAGTACTATATAGTGAGTGCAGAGACGTCAAGCTCTCGACTTGATAACTCGTCGTTACCTTTTGGTGGCGTAGTGGCATAGTACTGCACTCCTTATGTCGTTCCGTGACATTGAGCGTGTGATGTAGGAGGCTGATATCAGTTAGTATTCGTGATAAGAGTTTTGGGAGAGGTGCGTGGTGACTGTACGCACTTGATAGAGACCATATGCGGAGGCGGACTTTGAGACATTCGTAGCGGAGAGAGAGAAAATGGGGAGTAAAAAGTCGGGATAGAGAGGCCCGCCAACCGTCATGTCGATGATAAAATATTTGATAGTGTTCAGAGCAATGTAGTTAGAACTACATCGGCATGAAAGGTGTTTCCCTTACGAGGCCGGTAAACGCGATTATGTGAAGGTTGTAATCATGTCTAATACACATCGAGCATCTGCGCTGAGAATGCAGAGCTTCTCTGTGGGTTTCCAGGGTAGTGCCAGAGATACCGGGCGGTGATCTCTCATCATGTCCAACTTTCCTTGAGTGTCTATTAACGGGCAACTCTATAGCCTACTGTTAGATATGAAGACCATGACATTATTTGGTATATTAACTAAGTCTAGTGAGTGTAGGTATTTAAATGCAACTGCGCTATAACGCCACCCAGCTTCTTTTCCATTAAATCATGAGTTACATTACTATTCCATTCCCCTTTTCCTAAAATGCACCCGGGTATGGCCGGTCATCCGGGACGTCTTCCTCCTTCTCGGCATGCTGGATTTCCTTTTGTACTTGTTGAATGTTAATGTTAGCGACTGCGTCCCTGCCGTCAAATATGCGGGCAATTTCTTCGAGCGTGGGCCCCTTGGTCTCCACGTAGAAGAAGTACACGAAGCATAGCTCGAGGAAATCCCATGCCTGTAGACGCTAGTTAGTACGCAAGGGAATTTTCAGAGATATGTTTCGATCAGAGACTTACGGTATAGAATAACATAAAGTACCAGTGTTTTGGCAACCTATTCCAGGCGATCTTGTTCGTCTGATTGCTGAGTGCTAGTACAGCCTGCACAGTGATGTTCATGAGCATCATACCCTTGGCACGTAACTTGAACGGCAAGACTTCGAGGGCGTAGGCAATAAGCATGCCTGAGAAGCCAATATCATACGAGATACCGAAAAGCCAAATAAAGACGAGTTGGGCCCAACCCGCCGTGGCATTGTGCATCGCAGAGTTTTCATACTATAGCTCGCTGGGGTCAGTGAATGCTCTTTCAAACGGACCCTTGGTGAGCAAAGGGACGTACAATGGCACCGCAAACCGTCCAGCTTGCGAATGAGATAACCATGCCTGATATGGAAACAAGGAACAGCGGACGACGACCGAACCTGTCAACATTGAGGGCGGCTATTACCGTGACGAACAAGTCCAAGATCGTCTTGCCTCCGCTTATCTAAACTGAGATATCAGTCTCTTATTTCCATTGTAGACAACTTTCATTGGAATTTGTAACCTACCGCGAGCTTCTTGTTTTGGTCGGTGATACCGGCTCCCTCATAGACGGTGTCAATGTAGTTGGAGAACAGAGCGTTACCGCTGTACTGCGATATGACGCCAAGAGAGATGAGGATGGCGAGACGCCATCGGTTTCCCTTAGTGCGGACGAAATCGAGGTAACCCGCCGAGCGTTCTAATTGCTGTTCGATCTTAAGTGTCTCCTTGATCTCGCGATATTCAAATTGCACGAGGAGGTCGTGTCTCCGCCCACCCGCGTGATACTTTGCCAGTATGTCGAGGGCCTCACGGTGTCGGTCCTTGGACATGAGGTACCGTGGACTCTCTGGGATCCAGTAGATGAACATGATCTGAATGAGGGATGGTAAGATTTGTACGAGTGTGATAGAACGCCATGCCCAGTCATTGCTCATTCGCGCTGTGCCCCAGCCTATCCATGCTACCTATAAGAGTGTAAGTGCCATACATAAAGGGGGTTGAACTAGTGAATCTTAATTACCATGAGCGCTCCTAGATTCCACTATCGTTGATAGGTTAGTTTTTTCTCAGTTGAAGCAAGAAAGTGATATGGTCTCACCAAACAATTGTATACTGCTGTGACTGGCCCACGATGTTGGGGGTGACATATCTCCGTTAGAAGCAGAGGGGATGCCATCTGCGCAAGACTGTTCCCAGTGATCAGTATGAATTACTGCGCTTGTAGTAGCACGAGGCATGCCATTTATTGAATGCTTACCTATTCCCAAAACCGAGCAGAAATCGTCCCGCGACGTACACTAGCGATACAGTAAGTTAAAGGACGCTTCTAATGAGCCATGCAGGCAACCGGACGTACTTTCGTATTGTGTACAAAATGCAGATACGACGCCGCCTGAAATCATAATGGCGCACCCGATAGCTATGGCAGTCTTGCGGCCCCAGTGATCGGCGACATATGGACTTGATATGAACATGTTAAACTAAATCGAACCGAAAAAAAGAACATCACACAATAAGAAGAGCCAATGACTCACGTTATGAAGAAGCTGATGACACTTCCAATGTTGAATATGTTCACCAGAAGTCCCAACCAACTGTCGGCAACAGCCTGCGGGTTGTTAGGTCCGACCTGGGTCCGGGGGAAGAACTCCTTCCAACGATCGATTTGCTGCGATGTGTTGACCAACATGCCATCGTACCCTGTCGTTACGCTGCCCAATATCAAGATCACGGCCCAAGCGTAAAGCTTTCTCAAGTGCGGCTCCTTCGTCCAAGATACTCTCTCAAACTGCGGCCCTTCTACAAGAGCTACTTCTATCTCTTCCCTATCCTTACGGCCCCGCGACCTGATGGTGTTGCGGCCCACCATTGTCGGTACTGATGAGCGCTGGTTCCTCTTAGATAAAACTGTTCACCTAGGGGGAGACGACGTGTTGCTTGAAGGATGCAGTCTCAAGCACCTAGATAGGGCGTTCGCAGCAAAAATGTGCATATATTCAGCATTTATGAATAGAAACGTATACAGGAGTATTATTCAGGCTGCTATACCAGCACCATCTGGTGCTGGCCACGGCGGGGGATGTGTAATATATCCAGTCATGCTGGTCTGATGTTGCGGGTAGGGATGGGCTGGGCAACGTGCAGCCAGCCAATCAAGGCCCAAAATATAGTTCGCAGGTTTGTTCACGATGGGAAACCTCCTCCTTCTCATGTTCGGAAGAGGTGGTACCTCGATCCCGGGGTTGGGGCACACTTAGGCGTAGACATGCAGAGCCGGCATACGCACACTAGCGGAGCCCGTTCCCGTCACAAGCGAACGCGCATGACGGGAGAGAGCTGTGGTTACGGGGCATCGTACAACCTTACTTATAGCACATGTTGTACGTTATGCTTGGTCTGAGCCGATGCGGAGCTTTGCAAGCGAGCAGCAGAGCATCTTTTGAAGGCATTTTCAAGAAATGCGAATGTCTTACTTATGACAGAATAGACCCCCAATGAGAAAGCTGGCTTCCTTGCTAGCAGTCCGCGGAAATGGGTCAGAAGCTCTTAACAGGGTCTGCGATGACCAACAATTCCCTGCTTGTTTGCGACTTATCTGGGCCATTTCCCCGGATTTCACATGAGACGGGTGAAACCCAGATCCTGGCAGAGGTGGCATCTTGACAACCTCCACGGCAGCGACGTGCTAGCAGGCCGAAACGCAAGACAAAGGCTACGCAGATCGACCTCTGCGTGCCGACGAGTTATAGAGGACGACTGCAAGTGCCCTTTGCACTTTTTTCTGCGGCTCACGAGGATCCAAAGGTCCGTTTGACTGGGTTCACATTCCTATACAGAATGTTCGGGACGACGTCTTCCACGGCTGCAGCTAGTCTAACCGAAAGTAGCCGTAGCATCGATCGGGTGTCCAGCCACGCAGCAGGATTGGGGAGGGCATCGAGTGTGTCGGGGCGAACCAGAGAACTCGCTGTGTCTGCGGCGAGGGGTGAGGGGTGGTCGTGAGATGGTTGAGAGATCAAATGAGGGGGAGGAGACCAGGGTGTCCTTGATTTGGCTCAAGTGATCTGGATAAATCCGGAAGAAACAACTCGTCCAATGAAAAGCGCATAAGGACAGTGTTGTAACTGCGACCCTGAACCTCAGCCAATCGCGATCTTGCTTAGGACCTAAATTACTATAGGCTTTGTGGTCAAAGGGACTTTTCGACTGGATAGTTGGTATCGTCTACGAACCCGGCTTCTGCTGCTACGCTTGCCGGCGTGAACCATCTGAATAGAGTAAGTATATACCGAGGCATGGATATTCTCTGCACGGCACTGATTGGTCTTTAGTTCTATCAGAAAATAACCTCGAGGTATATCTCGGCAAGCTGCACGGCCCTAGCTGACAGACATGATGTTAACCTGGTGTCGTATAGGGGTTAGGCCAGTTGCATTGAGGAACCGAGAGATGAGTCTGGCCATTTCGCCTCATCTTAACGGTGCCACCATAATATGGCTTGAGAAGCTGCTGAGCTTCTATACTAGTAGCCGTGGGTAGCCGTGACTGAAGACTGCCAATCAAACAATAGAGGACCACTGCGAACATCATGAGCCCTGGTATGGAGATTGATTATATTCATATCCAAGCGATATGCATGGTCTGTATATGAAGCATGCTTGAGACCGAGTATACGCCGCATGCTTCGTGCTCGCCAGCCCCTTCATATATAAAAGCCCCTTAGAAGAATGATACGGCATTTACGTCATTTTGGCCGAGGTTGCCCAACCCCCAGTTGTCCTCTACCGTCTTGATTAAGCTATAGTGGTTGTATCGTTTAGAGTCAGTCGTGCCGACCTTGCTGCTCGGGATGGCGTTCCCTAGAAGCACCGTGAAAACCCTGTTCTCCTTGAGATAGCTCTCGCTCTCGTCGAATGTCAGGATGATCAGGGTGCGGTCCTTGTTGAACCTAGGGTTAGAGAGCAGGGGGTCGAGGAAGTTGCGCGCCCAGTTCCCTGCGACTGTCACGGACGAATCGTGACCGTCATTGGCTGGGGAAGGTAATAGTCAGTTGACCGTGCCCAAGCCCAGCATGTAGAGGAGGGAACCTTACTCATGTTAGGGGTAATGAACATCCACTGGGGTAGTGAGTCGTTGGCCAGGTCGCGGTCGAACATGGTGAAGTTCTTGGTCTTGGCCAAGCGGTTCACGTCCGTCCCGACAGAGTCGTAACTCACCAACGGGTTATGCTTGCGAACGTAGTCGTTACGCCCGTTCTGTTGGTTTACGTAGGTCCCCTGAAACCCACTGTAGGGCATATCTTCCTGGTAGATTGACCAGCTCACCTGCGCCGCCTCGAGCAAATCAACGACGGACTCGGTGTCGGCATCGATTCGATTGAAACCATCACCGATGATGCCGTGTGTGCTTGCACCGCCGGCTGCGATGTAGTTTGGCTGCGATGGGTGAGTGACGGCATAGTAGTTGTTTAGCAAGATGCCCTTGGTCGCGAGATATGCCAAGTTAGCTATTTACTTGAATCAGCAATGAACGCTCCTCCCTGTCGCGGTGAGAGGAAGACTGACGATCTCCGGCTGCGATGGGAAAGTCTTGGTTCTCGAGAAATACCTGGACGAAACGGTCGAAAGTCCTCCCTTTGACGTTGCTGGTCGGACTTAATGTCAGGGCTGTAGCGCGTGCAGCCGCGATCGACGCACTCGCCGTCGCGGTATACATGGTGCCAGGATCGACACTGGTGGATGGAGCGTTGCCCATCTTGAACTGATTCCGCGTCTCAAGCTAATCCTAGCGAGAATCACATGTATAAAGCGGTTTGCTTCCATACACTTGAGCCGGGTCAGACCTCATCCAGGGGAGCACATCAAGCCTTTTATATCATTGTTTACACTAGGGTTCCCCCCAGTAAGAGATTGGCATCCTGAACGACCCAGGCTCAATCTCACCCAATCGATCTTCGATGGTCTAACCCCGTGAATGAATCTACGAAAGCTAACGGCATTGTCAACGGCGAGGATTCGCCTCGCTAGAGCCTAGAATCTTGAAAGAGGTAGGTGCACAAGAACGCGGCGACCTCGAGCTTCCTAAACAAGCACTTTTCTCCTTGCGTGGTGCTACAGGAAATCAGTCGGTGCTACAGAGGAACGGTCGAGCCGCACTGGGGGCGAGCCAGTAGAAACAGAAGAACAGGGAACGTGAGTGGTGTCAGCGCCACTAAGGCTTGCCCTAAACTGGTTAATGAATGGATGACCCTCCTTGCAATAGGGGTGCTGCTATTAATAATAATTTTGCATTCATTCATCTTTTGGGAATATTGAGAACATCTAGGTATCTCGAGATTCAATCTGCAACCCAAGCAAATGGATCATCCAACTTATTGAAATCTCCGGTGCTAGATTGAAGACAGCTAATATTTAAGTACCTCATTTCGAATCCATGTGTGTATTGCTCGATGGACTCGCCTTGAGGAATTGAACTCGAACGTTATCTCTTCAGCTGCTCAATGACCTTGGATACACCAGCAAAGCTGAGATCCTCCATCGTCTCTTCCCACAACCTTTCTCGTATCTGAGCACCGACATCCGTGTACAGGATCTTAGGATAACTAGGCGATCTAGTTAGCACATGATGGATACACACTAGGAGAGAAATATGGGGTTGGTATATACGTACGGCCGAATTGCCCATTCGCTGACATAGCTCCCGTGACTTTCTACACCCTTGACCACCGCCGCATCAACATACGTGCTTGCACCCGTGGCCACACTCCTCCCATTCATCCTTTTAAAAGTATCAAACATCAACGTTGTAATCACTGACCAGTCGCCTGCGTTCTCGAATGCTGTGCCTCGGCATAGGCCCGGATTGGCCAAATTGACGATGACGTCGTCACTGTTAACCTCCGCGGCAAGCTTCGAGATGAAGAAGTATTGGAGTAGCTTCGCTTTCTGATACCACGACATCGCCGTGTAGTCTTCGGCCTTGTCTAGTTGTGCTAGTATCGGCCCCGGCGTTTCGATGGAGGTCCAGAATGCTGAGTCTGATGTGACGACAGTGAGGGTTGGCTGTTTCGATTCCGCGACGCGCTTCGACTTGAGAACAGGTAGCAGAAGTATCGTGAGGAGTGCCGTCGAGATGTAGTTGACTTGGAAGCTATACTCGTGGCCAGTGCTCTCTACTGTTGTGAAGACGGCGGCACCTTTGAGTCCAGCATTCAATATTACCATGTTGATCTTAGGGAGCGACTTGCACCGTTCAACGAAAGTGGTGATGGAATCATATGAGCTCATGTCGAGGAGCCAGACGGACACATCGGCATTAGGGAACTCCTTTCTCAGACCCTCGGCTGCCTTGTCTCCCCGGGACTGCGACCTGACCGCGAGGATTAAATGAGATAAGCCAAGTTGTAATAACTGCCGTCCTGCCTCAAGACCAAGTCCGCTGTTGGAGCCGGTGACGATGGCTACTTGAGATGACAGGTCTGTCCCGGCTGGTACGGGCTTACGTCGCACCAGCCACTGCCTGTAAAAGAAGGCCAGGACGCTCTCCTCGAAGGGCGCCTCGTTTGCGAGCTGCGAAGACATAATCTGATAAAGTAGAGGAGAGAATCTGACAAACTCAAGATCTAGACAACGCGTCTGAACATGTGACTGTGAGGGAGCAGGCCAGGTCAACTATGATGACTCTCTGTCCAACACGCTTTCAGCGTTCCCATATTATACATGAAATCACAGCTGATATAGGCTACGAAACCCATGCTCGTGCCTCGGACCTCCAAATTCACATTACATACTGCCTGTGCGATTTCGCGCACCAAATCGGCCGAATCACGGTCGAGGGACACGACGTCTTTAATCATCTTTTCTTTTTCTTCTTAGCGCCAACTCTACCTTTCGTTTAAACAGGAGCGCGGGCCCCGAATGGATAGTGTAGAAGATCAGACGATCGCTTATTGGCGTACAAGGAAAGTCGAGTTGTGTGATGGTAAGCATAGGCGGCGCACAGGGCGAGAGATGACGCATTGCAATTAAAGAAAACCATTGCTATTACTAATATTTCTCAACTCCTTATTTCATGACTTATGTATCTAATTGAATGATGAATGAGGCTAATTGATAGGACTGAGTTGAGTGTATAGGTCAAGATAGAGTGGCATCACTTCTGTATCAAGTGCAGCCGAGTAAAGTCGGGTAGGTCTAGACTTCCAGCCGTCAAGGTGTGCCGGGAATGTCATCAATCCAGTTTCGTTTCATCGGTCTTCATCTTATTGGTCCTGTGTCGCATGAACCAGCGTGGGTTGCGGACTTGGAGGTGGTGCAGCCCCCGCCAAAAGGCCGATATCAAGTTCGGGATCCCCCTTTTGTCTGGCCTGGCGGTAGCCATCTCGTGCTGACACACGTGCAAGATACGCCAAAATGTTTTCATATTCGCCTAGGTCGTATGGATTGAAGCAGCGCATCGTTGTGAGACAGCACACCACCATGATATCAGCGGCACTGAATTGGTCACCTGCGAGCCAGGGTACTGTCGCTAATCGATCGTCCATCATGGTCAGCATAATGGATAGCTTCTCTTTGAACCGCTTTGATATGTCACTGCTCCTCCCCGTTCCATCGCTGGTGCCACCAGCTATCTTCAGCGCTAGGTCTCTCATCAATGCGGATTGCAAGCTAGCGTTCGCAAAGTCTAACCCATGAGTTAGTGTTCGTTCATCACCCTGATAGCGGAAAAAGTCTCAAGCCTGTCTTACGAAACCAGTATAGATACTGCGCGTAGTCTTTGTGGCCCGGCGCGATGACAAGTCGCCCTTTACCATGTGTCTGAGCAATGTACTCAACGCAGGCGCCTGACTCGGCTAGTTTCACCTCCCCATCTTCGATCACAGGGGCAGACCCTAAGGGATGCAGCGTCTTGAACTCGGGAGGAGCGAGTAATGGGGATCTGTTGTATTTCCTCAAATCGTACTCGATGCCTAGCTCCTCACAGAGCTAAACAACGCGATCCGATTGGGAGATGCCGAGGTGGTGCACGATAAGCGTCATAGCGAAGACCTCCCTAGTTGTAAATCTTGGAGACGGTGCTATTGTGGTCTTTCGATGTGAAAGTTTGATCAACTAATCATGAGCGATGTTGACGAATGACACCTTGGAAGACAGGTGATGCCTCACACCTATATACACTCGTCGGACCCTTTTTTAAAGCTACGTACCGAGGCTGCCGAAGATCACAGGGGGCCGGTTCTTGGAAGCACTCGGACTTTAGTGCAGCGCAATCCCATTCCCCAACAACATGAGGCTAGCAATCGGATGAGCATGTAGTAGTTGAATTGAATAGAACGCCGTTGGCATCCGCCGGATCTGATAGCCCGATAAGTCCGGTGACTCATCCATCACCACTGTGTCGGGACTACACTAGGGATGGGGATGCCAGCCACAATGTCTCATTTGATACATCTTACTATGACTCCCAATAGGTACTTCTAGGGTCTTTTTGGACCTATGACTCTTTGACAAGCGGTCAACGTAACCGGACCCCTGCTCTGGACTGGTTAGAGTAAAGTAGATGATCATCATTACAGGCTTCCTTAGCGAATTTAGACGGGCACATACCTGTCAGAAGGTAAGTAATAGCCGAAGAAAATAAAAATCATGCGACCTTTTTGGTAGTAATTCATTGCAAAAGCAACGTCATGCTACGCAGACACACCTTATATTCTCCGGCTTGCATCCCAGTGCCAAGCGAACCACTCGGCTCCGACTATAAACCAGCAACCAGCCCCGTTACGTATAGGTAGCTCAGCCATACCTAGTCGCAGGTAGGTAAAATTTCACATTGGAGGTCCAAGAAGCTTTACAAGTAAGGGCGAAAAGACAATGAATTGATGATTGGTGCCCGCATCTTGTGAGGGAGAAGAAGGCATGTCAGTCTAGATAGTCTAACCCTTTGCACGCCAGCAAGCCTCTACCACAACACCATTCCAAGAAAATGAAAATGAATCAATTGCCAGTATAAGATAACCAATGGGCTGAGACGCCAGTGAGTATCGATAAGACATGGAGTAACATAGCTGGCCCTTGAACTCAACATCCCCAGGGCGTTGACAAAGGGGGGATTCCCTTTCAGCAATCAATAACCTTGTTAATCCCATAAGCTTTCACGAAAGCTATAAGGGCCCCATATTATGTGTAGTAATAATGCGAGAAGAGTTTGAAAAATGAAATCAATGGAAATACTGAAGAACAAGGAAATGAAAGGACAAGAATACAAATGGGAAGGTGCCGGGCGAAGAGTAGGAGTGAAAGTTTAACAGCAAACAAAAAGTAAAGAAAAACGCCAAAAGAAGATGTTGGCAGCAGAGAGAATATGTGCCTAGCCAACAGATATGCTCAACCTAACCATGGCTATGTTGTCTTATCGCTACGAAGTCCTGCGCTTCTTGCGACTGCCTGTGGAAGCAGGAGTACCAGTCGGCATTAGTGGTGAGTGTGACTGAGCTGTCTCCGGAGTTCGCTGTCTGCTGCCTTCGATGAGAGTATCTAAGTGAGCCCGGATGTGTTCCAGTCTCTTTCCCATGCCCCAGTCTATGATATTCAAAACGCACTTGCGCAGCTCCAGAAAATCTTCAGGTCTCTGAAGCAAGAAGCTATCGACAATTGCCATAGAATATCCCTGCTCGTTGTCCTTCCACGACACATGAAGTCGCGCTTCTGTTCCGTTTGTAGCAACACTGAATGCTGCCGTGTCCATGGGCTCGCACTTGTCGCTAATGCTTCGAGACTCTCTTAGCTGACGGTTCAGGAATTCGGAACAGTTGACACAAGATGCCGATCCTCCGAGACATTGGTTCGTTGCTGCCCATAAGCTTCCAGATCCACAGGTTTCGCCTTTGAACTCGACAACAAAGAACGGGTATATCACACCTTGGTGATTAGCTGGTATTACTGCAACCCCTGAAGCAAGAAGCTGAGATCGTTTGTTAACGAATGCCTTTGCGAAGTTGTATCCGTAGAGTATATCAGGCACCGGAGTGCTAACTTTCGATTTGAAACCTGCGTTTGGGACAAGTTGCCTGACCATGGGCTGCCTGAGAGCGCGCATCAAGATGTCTCGGGGTCCGGGCCTAGGGAACATATTCTGACGAAGATACAATTCTACTTCCGGTTCTGTCGCACCCAACTGGAGATCATATAGGCCCCGATCTTTTTTCAAATCGTCTAACGACAGACTTGTCGATCCATGGTCTTGACGGATCATCTTGATCAATTTGACAATGTGTTCAGGCAGTGGATCGCATGGGTGGTGTAGATAGATGTTGTTGTCAGCTAGATTCTGCCAACGATATGACGGACTCTCTATGAGACCCCTTCCAGATGATGTTTTTGAGATCTGGCTGTCTCTAGTAATGCGTGACGATGTGTATGCATCAAGAGATGGCTCATTGCATGACGCATAGTTGTTCTCTCCTTCGTCTTCTTGAGAATATGGGGATATGGTAGAGTCTGGTGTGGGTGGAACGACGAACCCATCTGCATCCCGCTTAGTGCCCATATCTGGCACTGAGCTTGTGGACCTTGGCGAGATGGATGATTTGGCGGAATAATAGAGTTGGCTATCTGATCTACAATGTGTCTGTCGATCTGATCCAACTGACTCCAACCATTCAGATACAAAGACAGATCCCGTATGGATATTAGGGATGGGATCTATGAAGTCTTGAAGAAATGAAACGTATGGGCTCTTCGCTCGCAGGGGCCGGGGCTGTTGAACTTCTATCTCTGCGAGCCGAGCTCGCTTCGTGGGTACCGGTCCAAGATCATCAGTCTCAGAAATCTGGTCAAACCGTCGTTTAGGTGGGTTTCGTAGGCAACCTTCACTGATGGAGTCTTTTTGGATGGGTGCCTTTGAAACCTCAGTATCTAGAGAGACTGTTAGGCGAGCTATCCTTGCTCATGTCGACGGAAGTTATAGATGGGTATACCCATACCTTTCTTCGCGATAGCGTCTAGTAGCTGCTCTTGTAAAGCCCTGGATAGCTTTACACGAGTTCGACGAGACTTAGAGACTCTTCCGTCCATGGTCGTGGGTACCTATCTATAGAGAGATAGCGGTTGAACAGGAAGAGTTGAGTGTATTTGCTGATCGAATTGTAAGACAGAACGCGGGTCATATATCGCACTGGCGGTTAGGAGCGATTGGCTATCAATGACAATGTTGATGGCAGGTTGTTTGCCTTGTGTACCTAGGGATGTACCCGTGATATACCGGGTGGCACCAACTACACGGGAGCTAGGCTTAATGTGGAGCCCGTCCGTGACACACAGCGGTTTGGGAAACCTTTAGCGATATACGATGCTTGAGTGGTATCAATGTTAAACGCGTAGCATAGTGTGATTGTGGGGGAAGGGGTAAAGGGAGCAGAAACGGTGTAGCAGTGTAAGCGAGAATTCTGAGAAGAAGTATGAAACTGAATGATTGTATACTTTTGAAAGGGAGGCTGATATCAACGAGCACCTGAAGGACTGCAGGGCGGACAGCGAATTGATGGTCATCAGGAAAATTAGATAGGGGAATATTAGAGCACCGATAACTAATAAACTAAAATAAGAGGCACGAGGTACCGAAACTCAAAGCCCGGTATTCTGAAGAGACTTGTCATACAATTGCTGGTAACTCAAGGAGAAGGCCGTACCTAATGAGTAAGTTCCTAGATAGGAAGATAGATATATGTTTTTCTCACTCATCACAGCATGCCAGGGAGTATATACAAAAGTAAGACTATTGATAAATACTGACTACTAGAGAGGCAAGCTCAAAGTGTACACCCAAGCCTGGTATAACAAGGGCAGTAGATACTGGGCTTGGAACTGAGAATTCAGATTACAATGATCAACTAGGGCTGCACAAGTCCTTGACTCGACTCTATATACAACTGGTCTGCCAGCCTAGACCACCTAGGTCTCTGGGGTCTGTTTCAAGAAGCGAAGTCTGTACAACCTCACTTTCCAATATTGCCCAATATTGCCTGCATGTCTCTGTTAGATCATGAACAGCCTGCAATGATCCTCCGTACGGCCGAAGCGTAAGGCGTACTGCATATTCAGCAGGCACAGCGGTTGTGCGTGTAACACCTGGGTTAAGGATTTACTAGTAGAAAAACTACAAATAAACTATTACATGAGGTTCCATCAAAAGTTCAAAGTGGGAGCATATGCCAGAAGCCTTCCGCAACTAGATATAAACCAAAAGAGGCTAATCAATTGACGGCATTGAGAGATAAAGGCGGAGCAACTATATAAAGTATATCACTGTATTGCCTATTACATATAAAGAACTGTACTCCATTGGCATTCGTAGGCTGGCTGTATTACTTATTATAGGTATTCATGTTGCGAAGTATACCAAGGTCGGAGCTCTTCCTCGGAGTTGGTCCTCAACTTCCTTATCACTTGGTTGCGTTTCTTACGAACCCCGCGTCTTGCACAAAAGCGCTGATGCATAGGCTTCTGAAACCTAGTGTTTACGTCGGCAAGATGAGGGTTTGCGATATATACTGCTACTTAGTCCTACACACCCTAAGCCCGCAGATGTAACCAGACCTCAACCGATGAAGTTATTCTTCCTTCTGGCGTAAGGGATGTAGTGCGCTATACGATAACTAGTGTACAGCAATCACCTTGAGATCTTTTTTCCGTCGATTACTACATGTATGTATAGTGACAAATAGGGGGGAAATGAAGCTGGCCCGATTCATGATTGACCTCCGGACCAGAGTACGACGCGCTAACATTGCACTGGCTGACAAACAAAAAAGATGGCATTCGCTTCTAGGGAAAGGGAATCAATAAAACAAAACACACAAAAGATAACATTCCATCGAAGGAAAGATAGTCATTATTAGGAATTGAACCCAACCCGATTTGAACGGATGACCTTCTGGAGGCAGTTGATGAACTTGCAAGCTGGAATCAGATGCTCTACCGCTGAGCTATGGGTCCAGTGATGACAGGTTGGCTAATTATGATTTCTTAACATCCTACGCCACGCAGCTTAGTGAAGGGGAGAAAAAACTTAGTTCGCTAGGGAAATGGGGTTTAGGTTACCTAGACTCGCTTAGACTTTCCTCTGAAAAGGCGGTCAGAAGCGGCAGATCCGTTGAACTGTCGCGATAAGTCAGCAGATCGAAACCATTTAGCTTCAAGTTGAACCGCTGGCTGAGTCACACATATTCACCATGGCAGATTCTCAATCTCAATACCTTGATACATCCCAAAAACAGCAGTTGAGATCTTGTTAATAGGCAGATTGGTAGCATTGAATTCAAGCTCACCCCTTGGTTATAGTCAAGGTGGCACTTAGCCGTTCTACACCACTACTACGCTTATGGTTATGGATACTGTCATAACTATTAGTTTAATTGAGCATAGCGCAGGTTACTAGCTTGACTTTCCTCTCTAAATGTTCCAGTTGCATAGTCTTTGGCTTCGCAAGCTTGAAGAAATCCTCGGTAATCTCATGATTCCAAGGAATCTCTCGTCACGGACCTCATCATCATCCGCTGCTATAAGGGCTCGGACAACCTCTGAGCCGGTTTCCGCATCACCGTGTCTCAACCCATAAGGTGAGTCATTTGGACTCGTAGATCAATCATGGCTTCGCGAATTAGTCTTTTCACATTCTCAAAACTTCGTAACCGCTCCAGGCCGACCGGTCCGCCGAGGACGCATAGTACTCAGCCACACGAATCTACGTACTTGTGGGCCCGCTGGCAAGCGGATGTCCGTCGCAGAACCGTGAGGCGATCAGGTACCTAGTGCACGACACACCGAGATGCCCATGCCGCCGTCAGCGCGCTCCGCTGCGCGCCGTCTCGGTCGGCGCACGGGATCTGGGCGTCTAGCCGCATGAACAGCGTGAGGATCCCCCGACCTCGATGTCGGTCCCAAAGTCGAGCAGCCTTGATGATGGAAATAGACGAAACGCTGCAGCGCACCGTATTCAGCTCTCTTGCCAATATAATCTCGAGAATCTACCAGCCATGTTCGAAGAATATTTTGAGTCCGATCTCGAGGCAAAAGCGAGCGATGTATCTGGCATCGACGCATCCATTCCTACGACAGACAGAAATTGCCTGACCCTGGATCGGCTTGACCTACCTACCTAGCCAACAAAGCATAATGCATACCGTATCTCATGTTCGCATCACCAGCATCAACTGTTAGTTCATCTCGATGAATATAGCATGTATGCGACTATTCAAGATGCCAAGCCGGCGATACTAGCAGTGATCAAGAGGGGGTCCGCCATTTGCCGGTGGACTCTGATTGGTATTAGGAACCGGTGATATGCGACAAGCTTAAGTGGAAATTGAAGCGAAGAAAGCTCTGTCATCTTCACAACCGACGCGTCCTTGGCCCCCAATCGCTTAACGAATTAGAACGTATGTCAGAGGTAAGCTGAAGACTATGTGGCGTACATACGGGCTGTGCATTGGTTGGTGCGTAGGTAGGCTTAGATGTCGAGCGGGGCGCAGCAATGCGGTTTGTCGCTTGTCATGAAATCATCTTGTATCAGTTATTTTCATCGTTGAACGCCGTCAGCCAGTTGCGGCATCTCCAAAAACCTTGCTTAACCCGCTAATTAGTGTCTTTGATCGAAGTGTAGAAGATTCGAACAATTGAGAACGCGAAGCGATGATACCATGAGTCGTGGGTCTCGCTTTGGCCTATCCTGGGCGAAGGTGTTTGAGCCCGCAGATCCTTCAGAATGGGGCATGCACATTCTAGTTGATAAAGAGGCGCACGATACTGAGGCTATTGACATCATAGCGATCCATGGTCTCAACGGCCATTGGAAAACGACATGGACAGATGAAGCAACGGGGACCAACTGGCTGCGGGATTACATCCCCAAGCATCTGAAGACCGCACGTGTTATGTCTTTTTCTTATAACTCATCCGTTCAGTTCAGTAAATCGGTTTCCAGCGTCGCAGATTTCGCCGGGCAGCTATTGGAGAGCCTTGCGGCGAAACGGATCAGTGAAGTAGAGCAAGATAGGCCAATGCTCTTCGTCTGTCATAGCCTGGGCGGCATTGTATTTAAGCAGGTAAGTCACTATCGTATCATGATCGATGCTGGTACTAAGCAAACACCGCTCATAACAATTGTGTCTCTCTCTAGGCATGTAACCGAGCCTACCAGAAGGACTGTTACAACCGTTTGCTCGTGGCCGTCGCAGGTGTGGCATTTTTCGGAACCCCTCATCGAGGATCTAGCATTGCATCTCTGGGGACTGTGTTGAGTCGCGTGTTAAAGGCTGCTTCATTCGGCACTAACACAAACACACAACTACTGAAAGAGCTTGAGAGAGGTTCACCAGTACTCGACGACATAACAACCACTTATGCGAATCGTAAATATGATTTTAAAATATGTAGCTTCTATGAAACCGACAAGATGGACTTTATGAGCTCAGTGGTAAGAAATATCGGAGCGAATCACTCGACAGAACTTATCTAATGACGAGATAGGTCGTAGATCGCCATTCTGCTGTTCTGGGTATTGAAGGAGAGACAGTGGTTCCCATTAACGGCAACCATCGCTCGATATGCAGGTTCACAAGCAGTGATTCCCGCATGCCCGTTGTACTGGAGAATCTCAGACGAATGCTGAAGCACTGGAAAGGGCTCAATCAAGAATTTGGAGAACGGGAGTTGCTTGAAGGCCTAGGGGCACCGGACTATCTATTACATAAAGATCGGAACCCATCTCCAACGCAGGGGACATGTTCTTGGGCTCTAAGCCACCCCGAGTTCCTACGCTGGCACGAATCAAAGGGGCCAGCACTGCTGTGGTTATCAGCTAATCCAGGATGCGGCAAGTCTGTCATGATGTCTTTTCTGATTGACCACTTTCAATCAACTGTCGTGTCGAAACATGTCCACCTATGTTATTGGTTCTTTAAATCCGACAATCAGCGGCAGAGGGGCGCAATTTTCGCTCTTCGTGGAATACTACGCCAACTGCTCGTGACGCGTCGTAGTATTATACCGACAGTTCAAGCCGCAGCAAAAGACAAAAGCATGGATACGCTTCAGGACGTCTGGGAACTCCTGATACACGCCGTGCAGGCGCCGTCGGCAGAAGATGATGATGACCGAAGCTATACACCTCCTGTTCGCCATACAACAATCTGTCTAATCGATGGTCTAGACGAATGTGAGGCTGATGCAAAGGAAGAGTTACTATTGCTCTTTCGTTCGTATTTTCGAGAACTTGAACGACTTGATCGAGAATCCAAACCTATAACTCTGAAACGAGGGTTTATGAAGATTCTCATTGCCAGTCGACCGGAGAACTGGATTAAAGTCGTCTTCGACCGACTCAACCCGTCTGTGCATAATACTGGCCGGCAACAGCTGAATCAGGATGAACCAGCTACTCAATATTGTGCTATCCGCCTAAAGGGTGAAGACGAGTCTGACTTGATTAGCGCCGATATCTCTCTGGTTGTCCGAGCCGCAATAGCCGATCTGGTAGATCAGGGGTTTCCGGAGCTTCTTCTTTACGATATACAGAAGCAACTCATTGCACGTGCTGACAGAACCTTCATCTGGATTACTCTGATAATCGATCTACTTAAAGAAAAGGTTGAGTCTGGAGCATCTAAAAGCGAACTGGATAGAATTCTGCAAAGTCGAACGGTCGACCAGATCTTCGCCGAGATACTCAGGAAACGACCAGATTACCCGAAGACAAGAAAAATGTTCAGTATTCTGCTCGCTGCCGCACGTCCTTTGACGGTCGGAGAGCTGAGTGTCGCCCTGGCATTGACGGCAGAACATAGTGCCCTAAGCAAGCCAACCAAGCCGTTTCGACCTGGGCTGCAAAGCATCAAGAAGTTAGCAAATGACATCGTATATCCATTCGAGAATAACATACGATCTCTTGGCGGCCATTTCGTCCGAATAATTTGCAACGAAGTATATTTTGTCCATGAGACGGCCCGGGAGTTCCTGCTGGAAGAAGAAGTGAAAGGTCTCCATTCAGAGGAGATAGCGCCTGCCGATAATGACTGGAACGTCATCCAAGGTCCAACAAGCTGTGATTGGCAATATACTTTTTCTCACCAGTCATGCCACGCCCTTCTCCTCGACCTTTGTGTGACTTACTTGTATCTGATGGGGCAGGTAGCCTCCCAAAACCACGTCTTGTCTAATGATGAGGGCGTACTCATCGAGTACGTATCCACGGCATGGTTCGTCCACTTCGTTGTGGTCGCCGATCATATCGACCCGCATAATATTCCCTATTACCACAACCTGTGCCACCCCAAGTTTCCAGGGTTCAGTGTCTGGACTAGGCTGGGCTGGCATGATAAAAACAACCCTTTTCCTACCGTCGGCATGAACGATGACGAGATACAGGACTTTTTCATCAAAATGTACCACCTTGAACCGCGGCGCTTCACGTTAGAAAGTGATGAGGAATATGATCATGATTTTGACGAGATCCAGGATCTGGATGACGACGAGGGGCATAACGCCATCGGCCGCGCAATTAACATGCCTAGGCAAAAACTAATAGATTTAAACTCGCAGGACGACCGAAATACTCGATATGTATCGGGGGCCAATCCGACCGCACGGCCCAATCACCATTTTCCGCTTAGTGTCGATAAATCTGGCTTTGTGTCCATCGACTACAATGTTTTCAGTGATCATTTGCATACGCCACGTAGATAACAAGATATTGAGGGGTGAACAGAGTAAAGCTAGCGACGGATTGAATATTTTATTCTTTACCCATGTTTTCTGAGAGTGGCGCTATCTTGAACATAAATACCTCAACGGTCTCTTAATTATTTTTTATTATATTAGATATATTTAATTAGGTGAACTTTAAGATATGAATGAGTTAGCTATTCTTTCGATTCCTGAGATGAAGCGATTTAGCAGCATGCATATAAGCTCCGTTTGTAGAGTAGGGACACCTGAGGAATGAAGTACTTACATGATCTCGAATCCCTGGCTAGATCCTAACTTAGTGTGAGGAAAATATGGCTTGAATTAATGCCTGTGCATTAAGCCATTATTTTCAACTCTCCAAGACCGCGTTTACGCAAATGCGAATGATTGTGTTAGTGTCAGGAGTTAGTACCCCTTCAGTGAAGCTGGGTAGCAAGTAGGTAGCAAGTAGATAGCAGATAGGTAGAATGTAGGGGTAAGGACTCAATGATATTGATTCCTGCCTTTTCTCATACTAAGAGGGGGCCTTCCTCTCCTTATATACTCGACTATTTGAACTATCTCCACTCCATTGTGTGCGTTTTTAGGAAAAGACGTCCCCGACCTTCCCTTTCCACGACTGAATGAAAGAGAAAGGCATTTGGAAGAAGTGTTAGCACGGCAGAACGAATGGGTCCGAAACACGACCAAGGATGTTGTGCCATGGGCAGGTGGATTCATGTTGCTAGCTAGAAAGACTTAATGAACGTGCACGTAAAATGCTACGCCGTTAGACTGTCTGCGACGAATAGCCAGACAGCTTTCAAACTAATAGTATACACTTGAAGGATCTGAGCCCAGACGACCATCAAATAATCGCTGCGGCGAGCGTAGGCCTGGCTTGCAAATGTACATTATGCTGCACTGTCTTTCACTTGATCTCGCACACCATCGTTGGAGATACGGTGTGAAGTTTGATCGTAAAACGCTTTAAACATAATGGAGGGGCATGAAGACAAATATGCCATGCCGCCTCGGCCCTACCATTCACAAGCATGGGCTTCGCCCCAATAAGCTGACAGGTTCCAACATGCCTACACGCTCCGTAACAAGCCGGAGGCCTTCAGTCTTTCCACATAATTACTCAGTTCCGAATCTCGGAGGTCATACAGGTTTGCTTAGGTAATTGCATATATATCCTAATAAATACTATAAAAGGTAACCGGCAAGTGTGATAAATGAATGTAATATTTTATCGGATTAGGCAATCCGTTAACATGAAGGGTGAGTAATAGACAACCTGACTGATAACGGAGAACTGCGCAAAGTTCCCATTAAGTTGCCGATGAGCTCGATACCGCCTAGCAGAAGTTGAACAAGCCTCTTTGCCTCTTTCTCACTCTCTCGGAAAACAGAAGTTCGAAGATTTCATCCCAGGCATATAGAATGGGTAGAGTAACAGCGACATCCATGTCACCCACCAGACAGGCTTATTATGTATGCATCCATCCACTTTGTGTTCCGATCAGCAGCCAGTATGCCAACTCATCTGGCTTTGCTGGACGAGTTATTATTTCACCTTGAAGAGGAAAAAGACTCAAATCTCTATAATCCTCGACAGCTTCACGTGATTAAGCGAGGGGCAATAAAATACAACCCATTGCGGGTTTTCACTTTATTGCTGCGGTCTCACTGCCAGCTCTTGCCCCTTACCCAAAAGTCGGCCCCCAATTACACCCACCCTCTTTGTCCATATAAGCCTCCTCTCGTATCACCTACAGTACTCCAACTGTTGCAACACCTTTTTTCTCCAAACCCCCCGCCGCCCGCTAATAGCACACTCTATTGATCCAAATCTCTCAGCAGCAAAGATAGGCGACTGCCAGCCGGTCTGTCTAGTTGCCTCGTCGCCTTATTCACGCTAATATATCAGCCAGGCGCATTCTCTTCTACAATAGCAGTGGGGTCCATAGTTTCTACCATGCAATAACTACCTCAAAGTTCGCAAGGCTATTTCATGTCAGGTATGAGATTGATGTCCTATGAACCGTCTACAGGTTGACCCGTCTCTACGTGAGGTCTGCGGGGTGCGCTCTCTGCCCATTTTGCAATGGAGGCGTTGGCAGCAGTGGCGCTTGCAGGCAATGTTGCTCAGTTTCTCGAATACGCCATTATTCTAGTGACGAGAATACCGGAAATTCTTAACAGTCCCAACCACACTTTCATGGAGACGAACGAGCTGGAAACCATTGTTCTCGATGTGCAACAGTCATTTTGTAGCATCTCCATATCAAACCCGAAGGCTCAGGATGGAGCTGCGTCGGACAAGACACTTGATGGCCTTACAAAAAGATGCCTAGCGGTATCTGATGAGATCATGACCATCACCAACAGTCTCCAGGTTAACACTTCTGGGATTACTATTATCCAAGCCATCGAGATGGTGTCCAGAACCCTACTGAAATCATCCAAGTTAAAACAACTTTCCGAGAGGCTATACGACCTTCGCGGCCAGGTCTCCGCGCACCTAATTATACTAATAAGGTCAGGTTGTTCATAGGTGACTTCCGGTTAGTAATTCTATTTCTGACTGTTTACAGACAGCAACAACAAGAGATCCATGTGACGTTGAGAACCCTTACCGCCGCTGGCGAGGAACTCCGAATAACGACAGAAAACGACCTCCAACAAATAATCGACTACCTGGAAAGAATATCTAAGCATGTAGACGAGGAACAGACCATAGGTCGTGTTAAGCGCTCTCGAAAGGACAAACGTAATAAGGCTAAAGTGCAGCAGACTGCCAAGCATCGAAAATTGACTAAACGAAGACCTGAGTGGGATCATTTCATCGACTACGTACGGCGCGTAGAAGATTGGGCTGAAAAGAAGCATAACTCTATACTAAAGAGTTTGTACTTTAGTCAGCTAAAAGATCGCGAGTTTGCTATCGCCGAGACACACAAGAACACGATGGAATGGGTCTTCAAGCAGGAGAGTGCGAATTTTGTCGAATGGCTACGCGAGGACAACAGCATATATTGGATTTCCGGCAAGGCAGGATCGGGGAAGTCGACCCTTATGAAGTTTCTGGCGACTCATCCATTAACAATTCGCTACTTAAAAGAATGGGCAGGCCAAAATTCACTTGTCATTGCCAAACACTTTTTCTGGAGCTCTGGTACCTATCTTCAGAAGTCCCAGGAGGGCCTATTCCGAGCCCTTCTTCTCCAAATTCTAACTCAGCGGACGGACTTGGTTCAAGTTGCCTGTGCCAATCGGTGGAATGCCCAATACTCAGACAGCTTCAGCCCCTGGAGTCACGCCGAGCTGGTAAGAACTCTTGAGGATGCTGTAGGCGCTTCGGGACAAACAGGTTGCAAAATTTGCCTCTTCATCGATGGGCTTGACGAATATGATGGGGACCACGCAGAGCTAGTCACCGTGATCCGCAGAATAGGTGCTTTGAAAAGCATCAAGATCTGCGCATCTAGTCGGCCCTGGCTTGACTTCTCGGATGCGTTCGAGGTTAACCCCTCGAAGCTTTGTTTGCAGGATCTTACCTATGGGGATATTCGGCAATTTATTCAAGATAACCTACAGCAAAGCACGAGATTTAATAACCTCCAACAGCGCAACAGGCGTGAAGCGGGTGAGCTGGTCCTCGAAATAACTAAGCGAGCTGATGGCGTGTTCCTCTGGGTCTTCTTGGTCGTGCAGTCTATCCTACGCGGGCTGGGTAACGAGGACACAATTTTGGACCTCCAACGTCGACTTCGAGAACTTCCGAGCGATTTGCATGATTATTTCGACCGAATGCTCAGCACCATCGAAGGGGTATACATTAAGAGGGTATTGCGTCTGTTCCTTACGATGAGTTATGCCCGAACCTCGTTCCCAGTGATCACGTTCTACTTCCTGGATTTCGGAGACGAGCCGCTCTCTGCGGAGCCGCTCCCGTTCCTGAGGACGTGGCCTTATGTGAACTTTGATGAGGCAGAAGCTTTCGGCACGAAGAAAAGACAATTGATTGCACGTTGTAAGGATCTGATATGCATTACACCTGATCCCGACGCGCCGGTTCTATTCGCAGAGCGAGTAGGCTTCCTCCACCGTACGGTCGTTGACTTTCTTCAAACATCTAAAATCAAACAAAAGCTGCTGGGAATCGCTGGTGGCGACTTCGATCCTGTGAGGATTCTACTTAGAGCGAACCTGGGTCAGGCACGGTCTTTGATGCACCTCCATCGCTATACATATATAAAACCATATCTTAAGCAGTGGGTGCTAGGAACTCTGTATTATGCTCACCAGAGCGAGACACTTTCTGGAAACGCTGAAGTCGACGTATTAGACGAGCTCGAGTCTATTATCACGAAAGCCTTTAGTAGGTGGGACTTTTCCCATGCTGTAGATTGCGTCTTGGATATTGCAGGGATCACCTCCTTTTTAGAGCTGGCATGCAAATGTGACCTTGCGGCGTATATTGGCCACAAAGTCCCGCAGTGTACCAAGCGTGAATTGGACACACTCGCCCCTAAATGGAAGGATTTGTTGGAGATTAGACGAGATTCAGACTTTGAAGTTGGTGTGCGACAGCTCTTGTGCAATGAAGAGGACGATTGGCGGGTTGGCCGTCTGGTAGGATGTGCTGGCTCATTTGAAGAAGATACTCCAGTGGATGTGGGAACACACGATATGTCTCCCGCGCTGCCTTCACCCCCTACATATCGCATACGGGGGATTCTATCAAAGTTGGCTAGAGTGTTCGATAGGCTATAGCTTACTAACTACACATGAGTAATAGTACTTGAACCTTAACTAGCAAGAATCAACGGTGTCTTTTAAAGTTAAAGAAATATAGTTAAATTGTTTCTCATACCATGAATGTTGCCGTACAGCCCTAGATACATGGTGTAGAGAAACTTATCAATGGCATGAATCGCAGCTACTGCAAGGTCTAGGGGTTTAAAGAATAATCGCACTGATAGAAGGATCAAGTTCTCATTATTAGACATACCATCGAAGTGACCAAACTGCCTTGGGCCGGTCTCCGAACGAGTATACTTGAAGCAGGGCTATTCTGAGACGGCAGAGATAGTATCTGGCAGACTCTGGCTCAACTTGCCCCGTCTTCGCAAATTCCGAATAATTTAAGATCGACTGAAATCCCTGATTGATGGGCGCCGGAAGAGATGCTACATCATGGAACCAAGCAAGCAGCTCGTCATGACAGACTCTGTCATCCTCGACGCTCTGGTCGACGAGTTCACGTGTGCCATCTGTCTTGATGTTATGGATGAGCCTCGCACAGGTTGCCCATGGGGACATACTTTTTGCAAGAAGGTATCTTTAACAACTCATGAAGCGTCCCTTGTCCAGGATGAGGGCTGGCTGACTCTTGACCTTCTGCAGTGTCTAGAGACCTTGACGCGTTATCCGATGTGTCAATCCCCGTTCACTCGAGAGGCCATCTATTGCCCCACTTTAGGTAGTAGAGAGAATACCTTGAGGGTGAGGATGACCGTTGTAACCTTTGCTAAACGAGTCGACCTGCTAATGGAGACTACCGATATAGCATGACAGGATATTGAACCTGCTAAGACTGAGGGCCCGCGACCCTCCAACTCACAATGGCGCGTCGCAGCCCAGTTGCAGCTTGACCAGAGAAGAGAATTTCTCAAAGCGGCGGGGATTGAAATACGTGGCTGAGCTCTTCATGTTCCTTTTCTCAACCTTTGGGAACATTATCATTGCCATGCTTCTTCTTTCCAGTAACTTGGAATTCGAACGATATCTCTCCTTCTGGGTGCTGCTGTTCCCAATGTTGTTCTTCTCTAGAATCGCAGTACTCTCACTATATGAACTATATAGAGAATTTGTGTCACTGGTCTGAGAAAACACACTAGCAGTTGCTTATAGACTGTGCTAGGAGGTTGTAGTCAAGTTAGAGAACAGATGTGTCTCATCGTCTGGCTATGTCTTTGGCACTTGATAAAACTAAGGTTGACACCATTACAGGTCACCACTGGGATCTTTACATAAGGTTTCATACTTGAGGAAAATGAATATTGGCTGCCGAAATGTACAAAACTGAACAGGTAGCATGATTGTAAATGGGTATGAAAATGGCAACATATGGTATCCTACTTACCTTACGTGTCTACAAATACATTATATTACCACGTGTTGACCCAAAAATAGCCAACGCGACCTAGTCGAATAGATTTGTACTGAGGAGGTATCCTAAAACTACTAAAAGTGAGAAGAACCGTGCGCACACAACCAACCGAGCTAGCATGTCTCATGAACAGTAATGCTAGTTGAGCATTGTGGTGTAGCGATATGGATAAAGAACACGGGATACTACTCAACCCGACCGATGGAAAGCTTAATCCCACCTCTGCCATACACTTTCGTCCTAGTAAACACGTCACGTAGTCTGAATGCAACACGGAGACCCAAGTTCAGGAAAAGCATGGGTGATTCTTTCGTGGACTTTATCCGGCTCCAGTAGGTGAGTAAGCAGCACCTTTGGTTTCTAAAGCAGTAGAAACGAAATAAATACAAGGTCTCGAACAGTTATGAAGCGCTGCTGTGCTATTCCCCAAGATCCAACAATCTCCTCATCTTAGAAAATCCTCCCTCTCGATCGTGAAAATGCATATTCTCACATCCCTCATCATCGCCCTCATCCCCCTCACGATCGCAAAACCTCACCCCGTACACCAAGCTCCCAACCTCTCACCATCCCAATGTCCAGACCCATCGGCCCCTAACTCCTTCACATTCAGCTCCTTCGCGTACCTCCGGTACACAACCAGCGACAACCCGATGCCCCCGGCCCCACAGCCCAACACAACCCAGCTCGTCTTCGTCCTCGAGAACGCGAGCACGGGCGTGAGCACGGGGTGCGCGATCCAGAACATGATGGACGGCGACGGGAACTGGGCCGACGACAGCCGTGTGTGGTACCAGTGCGTGGATCGCGCGGTGACGGGTGCGGACGGCGTCCAGCGGGCCGTGAGGACGCGCGCCCATGTGATCTGGGACGAGTGGCGGGTCGCTGTGAACCAGACGTGGGCTTGTGATGATAGGTAAGTGAGCGGGGACGAAAGGGGGAACATGCATAGAAAAGGAGGGAGAGAGGCGAGAGGCTCCAGACATCTAGAACGTAGTAAAGACAAGAAGAGTCAAAACAAAGAACGTCCTCTGGCATATCGCCGACGAGTTCGAGGCTAATGCATGCAATGCACAGTACAACGGTCAGTCAATTTGCCGCCTTGACGCTGACGCCAACCTGCAGCGTGACTACAACAAGCTGGCAAAACATCAAGTCATGTGAGGCACCCGATGTTGTCGTTTCGACAACGTCACACGAGAGCACAATATTGTAGGACATTGGCACAATGGATTGATATCAGAATTACAAAATAGGAAATATGAGATCGGCTAGAATGCCTTGGTATATATGCCTTGGCGTAGGCAGAATGTCGTGTCAATACCCATCAGCTACTTTCAAAAGCTAAGTAAACACGAATATAACGCCGCGCCCCTGCCTAGGCGGCTCTGACCCCCCCAGAAATGACAATTACGCCTTGAATATGCTTTTTTCTGTTTCTCTGGACTAAAGCCACCAGGAACGCCTTTCATGAGCGTCATTAATGCTCGCCATGAATGATGCCAGACTAACAAATGGATGCTTCAACAAAACAAGCGACATGCTTCCCTCTGTATTAGAAAGTTTTGGTGGCAGATAGGACCATAAGCTCGAGGTAACTCTCCTAGCTCAAAAAAACGATGATGCGAGCATATATGCGAAGCATGTTGAATAGAGGCAAACAATGCAATTGTTAGCTCCCCTTTGCTGAGAAGCTGAACAGAGATGGTAAGGGTGCCACGTCTTTTGTCGTAGTAACAATATGTCCAGCCTGAACTAGCCGGTTGTGGCTAGTATTCAACTTTGGATGGTGTGGTTTTCTTCCCTCGTTTTTCTTTCTTGTGTACTAGGAGCAGCCGCTCCTAGCTAATTTTGGACAGGACTCTTGCAGGCTTTTATATGGCTGTTTACATCGGTGGAATTGTGGGGTACCGTTAACGAAAGCGGCCAAAGTCCACAAAGCCCATTCATGGTTGTCCGGAGATATCTTTCAGTTGAATGCTATTCGATCGATGTGTGATAGAGTTTCTAAGCTTCTTCTTCCATAATGCGCTGTACTTCGGGTGCGTTGAGAAGAATGCGTTTACCGAGTTCCTCAGGTTTTTTACCGTCCCGAATAGCGCCAAAATCGAGGACCTAGACGTGAGATAAGTGTTAGCCTTATTATCGTTGACATAATCGAGGAAACATGATCACCTACCTCGACGTATGTCAAGTGGTCCCTCTGGACAGCTGCAACACAGCGACGTTCATCAAATCTGACCTGCCAGACCCCACTAAGGTCTGTGAGGAGATCTTGAAGACATTCGCCCGTACGTGTGTCCCACATCTTCAGATTCCGATCACTGCCACTTATAACTTTGCGCCCATCATGCTGAAAGCATGTGATGGCACCCGTATGCGCTGTCAAGGTAGCTTGACAACGGCCTTGTTCCGGATCCCAGATACGGAGGGTGCTATCAGCAGCGGCAGACACTAGTCGCTCATCCCGGAGATCGAGTAAGCCAACAAGTAGAGAGTGGCCTTCTAGTGTATGCAGGCAGGAACCCGTTTCCAGATCCCAAATCTTCACAAAGCTATCCATACTCCCTGATATGCAGCGATTGCGTTTAACGTCCAGTACAACGCTGTACACTTTCTGGGTATGTCCTTGTAGGACATGGACAGTCTCTCCTGTGCTGATGCGCCACACACGGACAGTATTATCGTAGCTCCCACTCACCAAAGTGTCTGTATGGGCAGCAATCGCACGTACGGAATGGGTGTGACCTTGTAGCGTGCGAATGAAATAGGGGCAATCGGCGTCGTTGGCAGGCGGGCCAGTTTGTATATATCTTCTAGAGCCCGCCTCGGGTAGACGCCACACGCGCAGTTGGCTATCACGGGAGCCAGTTATTATTAATGGCTTCTGGGGCATCATCACATCCTGGCCGTTTTCCACCTTGCCGGTTTTGGTAGGCATCAATATTTGTAGACATCGGACAGTGCTGGTGTGTCCATAAAAGACCTGTGTGCAGAGACCTTTCTCGATATCCCATACGCGAACTGAACGATCGGTCGAGCCAGATACCAAAACGTTGCCTTCATATTGCAGAGCCCAGACACCACCCTCATGGCCCTCCAGTCGCTTTCGTAGCTTTCCGGTTTTGGTATCATAGACGTGTATTAACATGTCGTCGCTACCGGTAATGATCTTGTCATCGTCAAACTGCAAGCAGGTAATGACATGTCGCGGATGGGCTGCAAAGGCAACATGTCCAGGTCTGACTTTTCCACTTGTCCAACTCTTACGGATCATGTAATGACGCCTATACAAAGACTTGAACAAATGGAGTTTCCTCAAGCTTGGTAGACCAACATGCGGATCAGGTACCGCAATCGCGGCAGCATTGGCGGCGGAAATGGGACCTTCAGACTTATTGATTTTGCTGCCTGTATATGTCCTATCATCTTTGACATTATCTTGGTTACTAGCCCGGCGTTTCGATCGGTCGGAACTGAAGTTATTCAATGCTCTCTTTCGCTTCGAAGATCGTAGTTTCTGTAATGGAGGGTCGGGTTTGGATGAACGAAGTTCGTTTTCCGTTGAGGTTAATCGGTTTTGTAGACTGAAATCTCGTTCGCAGCCCTCAGGCCCAACAGGATCTTGCCAACCCCAGCCCTCACGGATGGCTCTATCCAGTTCACCGATACCCAAAACAAATCCGTCGCGGTCGAATAATTCCTTCCAACCAGTTTCATTACTGTCGATGATGCCTCGCCAGCACTTGGAAACTTGTGCAGCACGGCAAAGGTCTCGGTGGTCAAGATAGGAGAGAACATGAAGAGTTAGTTCCAAGGGGAGGAACTGCAGAATGTCGCAATTCAATGCGGGATTGACAGCATTAGCAACGACATGTAGAGTTTTCCTGGAACATCGTCTAAGAAACTGATACATCATGAAGGACTGCATTTCTGGTGGCATCGCGTCGAATGATTCAAGCATGGAGCGGCTGTTCATAAACGTCGCCTGGCTCCCCTGGGACCCATCATAACGAGTTATGGCCATGGACTCATTTTCAGCTAGTATAGATGAGGGGTCGGAATCATCATCTAATGCGTTTGGGATCTGACTCTCCTCACTCAAAGTGGCAGATGGCTCATCTTCAGCATGGATGCCGTCTTCGTCGTGACCCAAGGTATGTAACTGAGCTGCTTGAAGAGTCGGAGACAGCCGTGGACTAGGTAGGCTGGCATCTTGGGCTACAATGGTGTTGATCGGCCGTGGATGATGCAGAGCTCGGATGGATCGCTGGAGAGATTCGTCGGCATCAACAAATGGCTCGGCTTCCACATCCGCGTCGGTAACCGGGGGAGTAGCCACGTTACCGAAGGCGGTGTGAGTATCACTACCGGTCGGACTAGAGATGTCAAAAAAGGACGGCTGCTGGCTTGGTTCGGACTGGGGGGTCTCGAACGAGTCAAGATTCGTGCGCCGAAGCTTGGGTGGCTGGCTAAGAATGCTCGAAGGAGGATCAGTGGTGTTAGGCGTGACTGGGAAAACGCTGCTAAATTCACTTGTGTTTGCCTCGCCATCAGTCTCGAGGTTTCGGGAGCTGCGGGATAAACCACGTCGCAGCTTGCTAGTCATGGCATTCGAATAGGATGTAGTTTGTGATCGAACGGATAAACGCCCTGAGTTCTTCTTCACAGGGCCTACTGTGGTAGGTGAGACTGATCTGGCAGCTGTTCCAAGAGGTTTCCGTGATGATACCTGTGAAGATGGAGATTGAGGTTTGGACGAGGGCGAATGCAGTTCCGTAAATGAATCGTCCAAAGCAGTACTTGCCTTGGTTGTCTGTGTAGAGTCATCGCCGGTGGTTTGCTGGGACTGGAATGTGTGTAAGACAAAGGCATAGGGAGGGAGGGCCAGTCGAGGGAGTCGACGAGAGGGAGGCTTAACATACTTCTTGATGGGTTAGACTGTCGTCCTCAGTGGACAAGAGAAGGGGGTCATGGTTCTCGACACTAAAGGCGAAGTGGGCGAGTTCAGGAGGTGTTGGCTTTCGGGCGAGGGGGTATTCCTTGGCATCGAGTGAAAATAGCGGTCTCGACTCGTGGACTTGGAGCGGCGGATAGGTTCGTTTGGTAGTTGTGGTGGTGGTGACTATCTTTGTCTCTATGCACTCGGCGCTAAATTTTATCCTGGGATGTGGTGAAAGAGAGTCGGGATCATCGTACTTAACCGACACGGTGGTCTGGCTCGAACGAGGGCGTTTGGTTTCCATGCCGGCGGCTGAAATCCGCAGGTTCACGACACGGCTACTGCAAAGAAATCATCTATGCACGCAAAAATGACAGGTTTCGTGAAAATCGAGGCGGTGCGTAACGCGATATGAAAATGATAAGGTTGTCGTGTAACAGTCTCGTCGGTCGGGCCTTGGAGCGAAATGGTGAGATCGTGGAACGTGTAGTCAGGAACCTCCTTTAACTGAGCAGGAGGAAGACTGGGGGAAGACGAGGCCACACGAGGCCAGCCCAGGGTTCAGTCGTGGCGACAGATAACAGCAAAATACCAAACAATGCTCGTACTTTTGTAGTGACCTTGAACCAGAGGAAGCGCCTACCGAGGAGGATGCACGAGCTGCGAGTTAAAACCAAGGACTAACAGTCAGAACCAGGCAGGCAAGAGGCTGGGGGTTGTGAACGAAGGTGGTGATGATGAGTGCGGTGACTGGGCGGGCAGGGAAAAACGGAGGAGGTCGACTCGAAGAGGCGAGGGAAAAGCCCAAGTACCTCGCCTGGTGTGGCAGAAGGAGGGCGCACTGTATGTGGCCCATACAAGCGGTTCAATTACTACGAGTTAGTGTACCCATTAAGTGAGCGTGGGCACTGAGCACATACTTACCTATCGAGCCTATCCCCTACCACCCACTATAAATCAGGTAGGTAGTGGGTAAGCAGGCCCCATTGCAACATGTATCAAGGCATGGCCACGCAGGCTAACTGCATATGGGCGATACCTACATAGGTACTTGGTAAGTACGTGCTGCATGTAGGCAGGACCTAGTCGATACTTGCCCATACCAGCATAGACGAAGGCAGTGCACGCCTATTCACATCGCAGGAGGGTAGGGAGTAAGTACCGTCTAGTATATTGTACCTCCTCAGGCTCTGGCCATTCATCATTCAAATCTTTCGTGATAATACAGTGAACTGACTGTAAATACACACTGTAACGGCAACACACATCCCTACTTGTACTTACATACTACGTACTTAATTACGTGTTTAGGAGCCCTTCCACTAAGGTATGCACAGATAGGCAGAACTTTACCTAGGATATCTACACCAGCTCCATCGTACTGTAGGTCCCAACACCCAAACCTGAGCCATAGAAACAAACAGTATACTTGGTAGGCGCTATCCTGACTGGCAAGGCTTTCGGGATAAGGGGCCTTTGGCATCTAGAGAACTATATACCGGTACTGTAGGTACTTAATAAGGAAGTGAGTGGGCTTATGTCATAGTTAACAGAGGCTGGCAGATGGCTAGTAAGTGTGAACTGGGCACTAGAGTCTCTGTTTTGACTCTCAAGACTTGCGGCTAGCGCCAGTAGTTTGTGGTTTGCGGGAGGAGCGCACTACCCGCGGCTGTTGGCTTGGTGAGTAAGTAAGTACCTAACCTAGGTAAGTACCGTACCTAAATACTACACTCGCGCGGTACTGTAGATTCTACTTTTAGCACGCTTTTGCGATCGGTGATACCATTGAGGCTGCTGCATTTACTCAGCAAGTTAAATAGTTGGTGCTAGCAACGTAGTGCTCCTCTGTAGGTATCAACCTACCTACCTACGTAAACCATGTGTATGTAGGTACCTGAGTAGGTATCTACACGGCAGTAAAGACGTGATAGCGCGCGCCACCGACTTCCTAGGAAGTCGCTGGCTGTTCAACATCACGTATCTACCGTCTGCTATACTTACGCTGTACATACCGTACATACCCAGAGGTACCTACAAACATACAGCATGTAGGTAGTATGCCTATGCCACCCAACGTTGCATCACCATTCTGATCTGTACCTACATACCTATAGGTATCGCCAACTAACATGCGCATGTAAGCACTTGCACTTAAGCAAAAGTGGTGTGTGTTCTTACAGTACCGCTGTCATATTCTCATCTTCATCTGTGAGGAGCACAAGGCTTCGTGATCCGCACATAGGAGCCCATGTCTCGCACTTTCCAGCCATGAATGTCGAGGTCCCCCCTCAATGTGAATAACGGTCATCATCTTGAGCGAACCGTGAGGTTTGGGCATTGGTCTAGGCAGATCTATCAGGAACCCGAGCGGAAAGGTTATTGATCCTAGCATAGGTAGGTACCGATGCTCTGGTAGAGTTGGTAGAGGCGGGGGCAGAGGTCTGTCTTGTTGGGGGCATAGGCCACCATGATGAGAATTTTCCATCAGATGACGATAATCATGGTGAAGATGACACGGCTGTACCGTAGATGCCGTAGATGCCGTAGCTGCCTAGGCCAGTCCTCATAGGATTCTCCTGGTGCCGCAGTTCACGCGCCGTCGTACACAATATATGCGCATGCGGGGTGTATGCAGAGACATTGGCATTGGCACACGGTCCCGAGGGGCGCGGGCGAGGTCGAGGTTTTTCTGAACCACCGTCCATGCCAGATTGGGTGCGCGCTCCAACCAATGCCGGATGACAGACGAGTTATCAATCCCAGACAATGCCGCCGCACGTCTGTAAGCCAACCGTTTACTACCTAAACAGCCTACTGAGCATCTACGAAGTAGGGAGGCGGCATCTGTTTAGCAAACGGCAAACTCCAGCCGTTTGATAGATACCTAGCTATGGGCCATATAGAGAGTCACGATGACGCACACATGGAATAGGTAGGTACTTGCGTTGGCAGATGTCCAGGCTATCAAGCTACCAGGCCACCACGCAGTACCTGAATATTGTCATTTGGAGTTTGTTTGTGGAAAACGCCAAAAGCCGCCGCCATAGAAGGTTTATTGCCTGGGAGCCGATCCTTCGGTCACCGAAGCATGCTCGACCCAAAGTTCATCACCATCACATGTCCGTCATTTCCAGAAGTGAGCTTGCAAACACGGCCATCGAGCCAGAGAGAATGGATAGGTACTTATTATGCAGTCGGCAACGGGAATGAGGATAGATTTGACCATGCTCCGGGCTGCTCAAACGTCGCACCACAGCCGATGCGCCAATCAAAGCAACCTTCCCTACTGTAGGTAGGCTGACAACTTGCACGGCTTTCCTGTGCTGTGTCCACCTTGCTAAGTAGAACAGTCACGCGGTTGCGTTAATCGTTTTCGCCCTTACTAATCGTTGGTTCGCTTGCTCCAGCAGGTGAATTCCCCAAGTCCCCAACACAAATCAGATGCCAATCCAAGCCACGTATGGATGGTTGGACAACTCGCTAGCCTCACAAGCCACCCCTAAGGTCCATCCTACCAATCGCATCTATTTCACCTGCATTCGTGTGTACTAGGGAAAGGAAGACGCAGGCGTGCCAAGGTTGTGGTTTTCGAGCAGATTTCGAATGCTGCGCACAAGAGTTTGGATGATCATACGCAGTACTGTAGGGATCTCCCTAAACCATCCTAAAAGAGACTCAAGTGGTTTCTATTCGGAGACCTACCCCTACCGCACATCTTGCAACACCGAGCAATCAGGTCAGACGAAGCCTGGTGGGTATGAAGTCTAGTGTACTTACTCGCCTTCTTGGCACGTGATGATATTTGTCATCAGCATCGCGACAATACAAATGTCTAATGCCTCAATAATCAAGCATATAAGAAGTCATCGCTTTAAAACGAGGAACGCGTCTTCTCATATAAACGGAGCCTCTGCTCGTCGAATGTAAATTGCTACCGGATTCGTTCGCTTAGCTTCATTAGGGCTTGGTCATGGCACCCCTTTGTTCAGCTCGGGTATGGAGACCCGAGCAGGATTGATGCGCAGCCAAACGCCACTCGAATTCTTAAGTAATACCTAATCCGGCACCATCGTAGGCATCATCCATTATGTAGATACGCTACGACAACGCCAAGCCATGACCGAGAAACTACCTATCTAGTTGCATTTTCTGATTTCATGTCATTACGCTCCTGAATTGCCCAAACAGGTATGACAACTGGACGCCGTCGTTTTGATAGTACCTAGTGAAGGCTCACCGTGTCAGCATCGAATTAGATAGAATCGACCCTTTTCTAAACTCTTGGGTTATATTTGAAATTTGTTGTCAGAGGTAGGCAGCTGAGGTTAGACTAGCACAATATTCGTCATGTCGTATTCTAACCAGCAACCGCCTCCGCTCCCGCCTCGGAGCCCAAGACCTCCGGTCACTGGATTTGCCCCCTCGCCTCAACATCCCGGCCCGAGTTTCCCACCTCCCCCGCGGCGTCTGCCGTCAGGGCATTCGGGTTACGTGTCGAGCCCCGTTGGTCCCCCTCCACCGCTTCCGCCAAGACCAGCGGGTTATGAGATCAGAACTCCAAGTAACCCTAGCACTCCGCTCACCTACTCGCCCTCCGCTGGCCATGCTCCGCCTAGTCCTCATAGCCAGGCCGGCCCTCCTTTTCCACTGCCGCCACCGCCCCCCTACTCGGCTTTTCCGGTAGATGCCTCTACACCTCAACACGCATTACATCCAGGGCCGGTTCCGGGAGCCACGAGTCCGAGTGTGTTGACAACGTTCCCACCACCGCCCCCTGGGCCCCCTCCCCAGCCAAGCCCTCACCCTTCCCCTGGCATTCCTCAATATTCGCCTGCTCCCTCTCGCCCTCTAAGTGCAGCGGGACCTGCAGCTGGATACCCATCCTCACAGTCCCCTATCCAGCCCGCTCAGCACCATAACATTACACCCGACTCTGGTCAGACTCCCAGCAATGACTTTCACGTCCCCCCGTCTAATAACTTCCACACTCCATCATCTAATGACTTCTACACCCCACCGTCTAATGGCTTTCACATCTCCACGTCTTCGGATGAAAATCCTCCTATATATCAGTCGTCTAGCAGCAATGCAGGATCATCTCATGGGGCTTCAGTTTTATACCCCCAGGAAAAAGCTTCACGGAATGAATACGCCAATCCAATTTCTTCGGAAGCGCCTTCAACGGAGAGTTCCAACTCCACTGCCGAGTCCTCTGGGGTTATTCCCAGCGTAGCTCCTTCGCAGATACCTCAATCTACGCAAGAGCCCCTTGAAGCATCGTTTCAGTCTCTACACTTGAACTCAGGACCACCTGTCCCTCCCAAGGCTCCTCTAGCTCCAAGCTCCGCTGAGAATCAACTCGGTGGACAAGCCGCTTCTTCTTCGGCGACATTCTCAGGCTATAGGCCGTACGTCCCTCCAGCTCCGAGCTCGACTCAGAATCAACCTGGCGAACAAGCTGCTTCTTCCTCAGCCACATTCTCAGGTTACAGGCCATACGTCTATTCACCCCAGACAAATCCACCTCAAGATTACTCTGCCAAACCCGCTCCATCACCGCCCAATGCTCAGCCAAAGCCATATTCACCGCCGCCATTAGCACTCCCAAAGCCTAAAGCAGTCGCATCATGTATCGACACGCTCGTGACGTTCACCACAGATTGGTACTACCACCCGGAAGCATCCAAATATCTCATCTGTTCCAGATGCTACGTAGACCACATCCACGGCACCAAATTCCAGGATACTTTTCACCGCAGCCGATTCGACGACGGCAAGCCGCGCTTATGCCGCTTCAACAAGCCACGGATGAAAGACCACATCTTCAAAGAGGCGCTCGCCTCAGGATTTCTACGAAAAGCCGTAGAGTGGATGCAGAAGCGGTCTTCGATTGTCGACTGCAAGGGCGTCGAAGGCGTCAAAGGGAAATCCGCAGATGGCATCGTATGGTACATGGCGCGCGATCTCCCCGGGTTCCTGTCCTGCGAGGCTTGCTACGAGGACATGGTCCTGACGAACCAATTCGCGCATAATCTCAGCGTGCACACCGATTCCCAAGGAGCGGACGATGTCTGGTCCTGCGATATTGCCGTGCCGTTTATCGAGAGGGAATACGAGCAGAAGGCCAAGCAGAACGACTGGGAGGGCTTCGTAGCCGAAGCGCAAGCCCGGCTCACGGGACGGCCTTGTCCCGGGAGCGCCAGTATCAGAGGCTATGGGCGGAAATGGTTCGTTCCCAGGGCCGGACCACAAGATCTCATCTTATGTTTTGCGTGCTACTGCGACCAGGTCATCGGCACAGGCGAGGACAGCAAATGGGAAGCCGCGCCCGACTTCCCGATCGGCGCAGACGTGCGCTGCGCACGCGGCCGGTTCAATTGCCGGATCCTGATGGCGAAGGCCGCAGAGACGAAAGACTACGCTATGTTTTGGGATACTGTCCATCGCCTCTATGCCGAGAAGCCGTGCGAAGGCGACGGTATCGTAGACGGCGTTTGGTACACGCTCGCCTCAAACCCGAAGGAATTCGGCGTCTGCGGCGCCTGCTGCGTCGGGATCCTCGAGCCGTTGGATATTGCGCGCTTCTGGAAGCGCAGGACGGATGTCCCGCCCGGCGCGAAGTTGCTTTGTTGCTTTAATTTCAATCATCCGAGATTCAAGAACTTCATCCCGGGCTTGCTCGAGATGTGGTACACGAAGAACCCGAGGCCGCTCGACGAATATGCATCTGTTTACGCGTCGATTGCGCCGTGTATGCGCGATGAAGATAAGCCGAACCTGCGCTGGTATGGCTGGGGAGATTGTACTATTTGTCCGGAGTGTTATCAGGACTTTGCGCGAGATAGCCCGCTGGATAAATTGATGGAATACCGTAATACAGAAATAGCAGGAAACACGGGTGAGTAGTTCTTGATACCTTCTCTTCTTTTACACCCCTTGACTCGATCAATCCCAGGACTTGACTAACCTTTCCCCCCAAGTGTGCGAAATGTACAGCACACGAATGCGCAACCTATACACAGAATGCGGCAACGCCAGCCCTCCCAAACTGCAAAACCTACTAGAATTCTCAGCACAGCGGCGACAAGTGTACATCGAGACGGTGCCACAGATACGCCATCTCCTAGCCGAGGCGAACAGAGCGCTCGAGCAGCAGAAGATGCTGAACGTCCTCAGCAGCCACCACAACTTCATGGGGTCCATCAACCAGATCAACTACGGGACTACGCACGGCGCGCCAGGCGTCGGATACGGCTATGCGAACCGCGACTTATTGCAGGGTGCGCAGTATGGGCAGCAGGCCACGGCCGTCATGATGGGAATCCTGAATGGTGGGTATAATAATACTGTTCAGCAACTAGAGCAGCGATGGAGGGCAGTAGAGTAGATTGAGAGAGGGTTTATAGAGTTCGATGCTACGTGTAGTTGTTTAAAGTGTATAAATCAGTTCAGTAACCCCTTTAAAGTGTGGTTAAGCTGAGGAGCGTATATGTCTTTATGCAGAAAGGCTAAGATGTGCTTGCTTAGCAGCTTTGTTAAAGGTGTGTACGACTTGTGAATGACGGGCAGACAGTAAAATGCTAAACTGCGATAACGAATTAAACCGATGAGCAGAGTCTGCTAAGCCCCTTTCCACACGCTGTGCTACACTAGCTGCCACGCCTCAGAAGGAGAAAGAGGGAAAAGGCTATTATTATTCGCAGCGACATTCGCGGCAGATGTAGCCCAAGCCACCCCCTCTTCATCCATACGTATCAGCACAGCCTGCAGGTTGTGTAACCCCGATATGACAACACACTACTCTGGGCTATTCTTCTCCACGTCTGAACTGCTCTACGCATGATTAATGACAGTTAATTCATGGTTGTCTGTAACTAATCAGCACATTGTAATGAAAACATCGCCAGCAGTCGCACAAAACACATTTACCTCGCCTAGTCTTACTATGATCTGGATCGTATTCCTCACACTCTGTTCCATTGTGCTTGGGGTGTTATGGGTATTTCACCTATACCGACCCAGGTCCCCCATGAAACAAGATATTAACATACGACCCATAAAACGAATTTCTCAAAAAGGAGGCGTTAACCTTGTTCAGGTGAATCCGGAAATGACGGAAGAGGTTAGTTCCCTTGGGCTGCCCCAGGCCTCATTGCTTCTGCATACTCTCACAACATGGGCTAAACCCCTTTCCTATCTGGAAATTATTGACTCTAATATGTTACAGAACACCGACATTGATATCATCGCCATCCATGGTCTCGATACAACATCGGCTACCACGTGGACCTGGAAAGATGGGACCAACTGGCTAAAGGAGGTGGAGATGCTTCCGAGTCAAGTAGGTCCAGCCCGGATCTTCACATGTGACTGGCCCGCCGACCGATTTGAACCATCTGATATAGTTCAAGCTACACTTCAGGTCCACGGCCGACGTCTTTTGGATGGTATTCAACAGCATCTCTCGCATGCAGACGACACAAGAAAAACTAGTCGGCCCCTTTTCTTCATCGCATCGTGTTTAGGCGGTATCATCCTGGCGCAGGCTCTCGTGGATGCGAATGATATCGGAAGTAACTACCGTCATATTCGAGAAGCTACTCGCGGAATTATTTTTTTAGCAACGCCCTTCAGAGGAACATCATTTGGGAAAATAGCTCCTTGGGCCATGCCGTGTCTAGAGGCCTTGGCTAATTTTCAAAGTAAACGCGTCAACAATCTTTTCAACAATGTCAAGAAATCCAGCTTAGAGGAACTTCTATGGAAGTTTACGGGAATCTGTCAAGACCGAGATTTCCCCTACATTATATCAACATGCTACGAAACGAAGAAAACCATGCTCCCTTCGGGGAGATGGTATTCCAGATGGCTTCCCAGGTTGCTCTCTGTCAACGAGGTGGTAAGGAACTGAAAAAGAGCTTTGAAGTCAAGGATAAGCTAACTCTTGGCAGCTGGTCACTAAGTCTTCAGCAAGCTTAGACTTTGTTCCCGAACCTTTGGAGCTACGTCGTAAGCATAGAGATATGAATAAGTTCGAGAATCACAATTGTAAAGATTACAGAGCTGTTGTTCATCGAATCCGTTGCATACTTGCCGCCATCCGAGCAGGTACGCCCCTGCAGCAGGTGGATAAATGGCTCAATAGTCGGCACTACAACGACGAGAAGCTTCAGATTGAGCGGCTCTCTGGAGATTTACTCCCAATGAAGGACTGTTATATCAATCTGGCTATCGTGGAAAGACCTAGCCACGCCGAAAGTGCCTTCCCAGATAGAGGCAACAATCGTGACACACTATTCCAAATATCCCAATTCACACGTCAGAGTCGCCTCGAGGTCGAAACGCCGGAAAAAGGTAACCAGGCTGACTTGGCGACTCTCTTCAGCCCCCATGAATTTACAGACGGTACGAATATCATGCCGAAACGAATACTCATTCATGGGCGCGCCGGCATAGGGAAGACTACGTTATGCAAGAAGATTGTGTCCGAATTTCGGGATGGTCAATGGCCTGAATGGAACCAGTTATTTGACCGCGTTCTTTGGATACCGCTGCGTAATCTGAAACTCTCAGAGCGTCGAGTAAGGGGATACGGTTTAAAAGATCTCTTTTATGATGAGTTTTTCTCGAAAGGGGCCAGAGAGGACCTTGCTGAAGCATTAATCGACTCTCTCGCGGCTGGAAAGACTTTGTTTCTCCTTGACGGTTTAGATGAGGTGGCTCAAGACTTGAGTAGCAACGATGCTATGAGCACTATGCTTCGCGAACAGCTGTTAAAGATGCCGAATGTAATAATCACATCGCGGCCATATCCACGTCTGCCTGACAACATACATCTTGAGTTAGAAACCATTGGATTTTATCCAAATCAAATAACTCAGTATATGCAAGCAAGTCTGGGCGAACAGGAAGCCAACCAGATGCAGCTATTCTTTCGAAGCCATCCACTCATGCACAGTCTTATGAGGATCCCAATTCAACTCGATGCTTTCTGCTTCCTCTGGGCAAAAGACAACTCAAATTTGAAGACCGTCAAAACTATGACAGATGTATACCAGGCCATTGAACTGGGTCTGTGGAAAAGAGATATTCTACGACTGGGAAAGAGGCACGAAGGTGAGCTCGTAGCTCCTGGCCATCTAGAGTCATCTGGCTGGCAAGAACTTGAGCCTTACATTGAGGAAGAAGAGTTATTCCTTGAGCGCCTGGCCTCTGCTGGACTTTACCATGGTATTATTGAATTCAACAAGAGGCATCTAAATGATGCCCTGAAACATTCAGGCCTCTTGTTCGATAGGACTGTTCCGCATCTATCTTTCCTACGCACCTCAGACCCATCTCAAAGTGCCAATAACAGAAAGTATCATTTCATACATCTAACCTATCAAGAATACTTTGCAGCAAAGTATTTCGTACGGCAGTATGTCAATGGGAATAATTGGATGTACTGCGGAGGCCAAACTTACGAAGGCGATGAGAATACCAACGGTCTGAGGGCTGTGGGCCTATTTCGAGAACACAAATACAGTGCACACTACGATATGGTATGGCGCTTTACTGCGGGCTTGCTTGATTCTCCAAGGGTATCCGATTTCTTTGAAGAAATGGACAAAAGTCCTCTCGATCTTGTGGGGCCAGTACACCAAAGATTGGTTATGAATTGCTTGAGTGAGGCGAATACCAGTAAATGCCAAGATATCAGACAAGATTTGGAAGCCAAACTATCAGAGTGGCTACTTCTTGAATGTGACTTGATACGTGTGTTGCGATTGCTTTCACGCCCTGCACCAGCATCCGGGTTGTTCAATCCTCTACATTATTCGCCACTGATCACTGAATCATTTCCTGAAAGGTCTCTATCAGAAGCTCTGAAGAAAGGTACCATCATTCAGCGGATGGATATCCTTAAAGCGCTTCAGTTTCATGGAACATACCTATCGGGAGTCAAAATCAAAGATGTGAAAGGGCTATTAAGATACAATAGGTATGGTGAGAGATACTTTATCTTTTGCACCCTAAAAAATCAATCGAATCTACCACAAGATATTCTCGACTATATTTTGTCATATTGGGATGTGACCCAAGAAGAAGAGTCCAAGCGAATGAGAAGAGAGCCTCAGTACAGGAAAATTTCGTCTCTAATTGCCGATACCATAGGGATGCAGTTGACCTTGCGCCCAAAAATTACCAAAGAGTTAATGGAGTTAGTCCAAGGTGGTGATATGTTTAGGAGGAAACTCGCTTCTCGTGCCCTGAGTCATCGATCAGACTTAAGGGGGAATGTCACAATACTGCTAACTTTTCTTGAGAAGATAAGCAGTGGACAGTGCAGCGACAGACAGCTTTACGATGCCATCTTTTTTGCCTTGAATGGCACATCAAGCTTTCCAAAAGAATCCATTATTATTCTTCACAGATTACTCGGATCCGCAGACTACGACGTTTCGGATGATGCCGTAACAATTCTAGCGAGGGGATCCCATTTTTCAGACGAATTTGCCGCATATATTATAAGAACGCTCCAAGTCAATCATGATCAGAAGTCGCGTTGGTGTGCCCTTGACGCTTTGCATAAACATACAAACTTGCCAGTGCGGATTGTTGAAATTCTCGTACAGATGTTGGAAAATGCACCAGACCCTTGTACTCGACAGAAGGCCGCTACAACTATCGCCATACAGTCAAGTATATTGCCTCAAATAAGAACATCTCTTAAAAGTCTTACCGCAAATTCAGACGCGCTGATTAGGCTCTACGCCTCTATAGCTTTGAACGAACAAGTAGAATGGATATGTCAGGGAACATTATAGCACTAGGGTAGAAGTTACCCCGAAGGGTGGGGATAACGTAGAAGTTAGCTATATAAAGGTATCCAAGCTCCCTCTTTATATTTAAGGAGCTAGGAATTAATAATATTAAGCCTTTACCTATACTTTTAACTTATTTACTTTTTATATATTACTTATTAGTAATTTAGCTTTACTTTAGGATAAACTTCTATAATAAGTTAATTTTTTCTTTTATTCCTTAACCGTTATTAAATTATTATAAATAGCTATATTAAAGTTGGATAATATAATATTTTCCTATATCTCCAATAATTTCTTTAATAAAATTATAAATGCTAAATTAAATATTAATACCTTTTTAAATTAATAATTAAATATTAAGATTATAATAATAAAAAAGAAGCTAATTTTAAAAAAAAAAATAAAAATAGCTTTAAAACCTATAAAGGGAAGTTAATGTTTTAATTATTACCTTTTTTAAAAAAAGTATTAATAAATAAGTTGTAAAGAAATTATAAAGTAAAGTTTTTATTAAAATTAACTTATTTACTTTTAAATATAAAGGAAAGATTAAAGTTAAACTTTCTTCCTTCCTTATTATATTATAATTTTATATTTATTTTATTAAAGTAAAGTTAAAGGATAAAATAGCTAAAGTACTTTATATAAATAGTAACTTTAAAAATTTAACTAAAAGGAAATGGATTAACTTCCTTTTTATATATTATAAAAGTAATCCTACCTAGGTTTTTTAAAAAGTATTTTAATAATAATTTTATATTAATGTTTTAAATAATACTATTAATAGTTTAATTATAATATTAATATTATAAACTTTTATATAAGGAAATAATAAATCCTTTAATAACTTTTTAAAAAAATTTAAAAAGGTAAAAATAAAAGACCTTAATAATTTATTAAATAGGATATAAATAATATACCTTTTAATAAAGTTAAATAATAAATTATAAATAAAAATTATTAAAGAACCTATCCTTTAAACCTATAATAAATTAATTATTATAATAAGGAAAATTAAGCTATTAATAAAAGCTATAAGGATTTATACCTTAATAACCCTCTTTTAACCCTTATTGGACAAAATTAGTTAAAGTTATCCTATTATTAAAGTTAGGCTTAGCCTAACTATTAAGTAATAATTATCCTATAAGAATAAAGGATATAGGAAAAGTAATACCTCTTATATTAATATAAGGATAAGGAATTAAAAACCTATTATTTATTATACCTATAAAAAAAAGGGCTATATTATAACTATATACCTATAAAAGCTTCCTTAAAAAATAAGGTCCTATTATATTTATAAAAAAATAAAATACTTTTTTAAAGGATATTTAAACTATAGCTATATTATTAATATTATATTATTAAAGCTTTATTATAATATTATATATTATGATCGGGAATTTAAAGCATAGCTATATTAATGTTATAAACGAAGATTTTAAGCTAAAGAAGAAAGGAAGGAAAGATAAAATTAAAATATAAGTATATATAGAAATATATATATATTAATAGCTATTGTAGGTTACGTAACCTTATTAATATAGGTTTTATATATTTCTATAATGTCCCTTTATAATATATATAATATTCCGGTATAATATATATTTAATATATTTGTTATACTTTCCCCTATTAAAATTAAAATACGAGTGTAAAATAGGTTAAAAAATTACTTATAGCGTTTAGTTTTAGTTATAATGCTATTTTGTATAGTAACGTTATTGTTAGGGTAGTTAATAATAAATTTATTAATTATTATAGCTCTTATCCATTTGTTTAACTGTTTAAATAGTTTTAATATATTAAGTTATTTTTTATAAAACTTTTATATTTTAATTATTAAATTTTTAAAATTCTTTACTAGGTATTAAGTATTATTAGGATTATAACCTTTTTAAGCAATTTGTTATTATAATATTTTATTATACCCTATTACTTATAACTTAAATAGCTATTTAACTTTTTACTTTAATTCTCCTTTAATATTTTTAAATTTTAATAATAGTTAAGTTTATTAAAATAATAGGTTTTTACTTACTTTATATAATTGATTTATATAAAAAAGGTTAATTATCTTTATTAATTTTAAAAAGTTTAATATATAGCTATATCCTTTTTCTTTAAATATTTTAAAGGGTTTAACCTATTAGGAATTTAATTAAGTAATTAAGCTATTAATTATAAAGCTTTTCTTTTTTAAGAAAACTTTATCTTTTATATAAAAATTTATTAAGCATTACTTCTTATTTACCTATACTTTTTATTTCTTTTATATAGCCTTTATTACTTTATAAGTTACCTTTTATACTTTATAGGTTTATTATATTAATTATTAAGCTAGCCTTTTAAATATTATTTTTTTAATAATATTTAATAAAAGTAATAATAAAGGGTTCCTTATATTAATTCCTATTAAAACCTTTAATAATACTATATTAATAGCTAAATATTAAAAAGTATTATATATAAAATTTAATATAAATAAATAAAAGCTTTAATTATTTTTATATTTATTAATATAAAAGTATAATTATTAATTTAACTTTTAATTTATAAACTTTATAATTTTTTATATTTAAGGGTAAAAGGTATTTCTATATTGGTATTTAATATAGGTTAATTTATTAATCTTTATTAAAAAGCGTAAAATAAAGGGTTTTATATTATTTAAAATCTATACCTTTAAAAAACTTAAAAAATAATAAGTATATTTATAATATTAATATATTATATTTTTTATTATATTATTTTTCTTATTAGGTATTATAATTAATAAATAGTTAAATTTATTAATAAATACTTATATATAATTATAATTATATTTATTTAAAAGTATATCCTTCCTATTAATTATAATATAATGCTAAATAGCTATAGGAATTAATAATAAGTATAATAATTTAAATATTTTATTTTAAGGAATTTTATTTTATTAATAATTATAATAATTATAAATATATATTTAAATATTTTATTTTAATAAGGGTTAATAATAATCCTATTTAATTATTTTAATATATTTATTTTATTTAAAATAAGTAATAATTATTAAATAATAAGCTTTTTTAATTAAAGCTATTTAGAAATAAACTTTTAAATTAAAGGTTTACTTTAAAATAATTAATTAATAATCTTTATATCCTAAACTTTATTTTTCGTTTTTTTATTAAATTAAGTCTACTAAGTTAAAACTATATAATATTATTACCTCTTTTTCTATAATAACTATTAGCCTTCCTAAAGCTTTAAATAAGATTAAAGCTATATTATATTCTTTAGCTTTATAAGCTTTAATGGTTAATAGATTAACTATCTTTTAAAATAATATATTTATTACTATATTTTTTTAATTAAATTAATATTAAAAGGTAATATTAAAATTAAATAAAAAGTTTACCTATTTTATTTATTTTATAAAAAGGACTTTTTTAATAATAAAATATAATAAGGCTTAATAATTAATAATTATAAAGAACTTTATATTTAATAGCTTTAAATAATTATACTCTATAATTTAAACTATAATTAATAATTTTTTATTTTATATAGGATAAGTTTATTTAATTAATAATATAATTTTTAAAAAATATCCTATAGGCTTTTAAATGCTATCTTTTTATTATTATTAAATAGCTTTATTAATAGCATTTTAAAAAGTATTGGTTTTAATTTTAATAAATTAGCTAAAATAAAAAAAGGCTAACATTAATACTTTATAAGCTAACTTCTTTATAAATTTAAAAGCTCTTTATTATTTATTATTTATTTTAAATAATATATCCTTTTTAAATAAATAGTTTAAAGGTTTAATTATATTGTTAATATAATATATAAATATTTAAATAAAATTATTTAACCTTAAAAATAAACGGATAGCTTAAATATTAATTAAATCTTAAAATTTTTAATTAATAATAGTATTTATCTTTTTAAAGTTTATTTAGATATTTTATTTAGCTTTTAAAATTATACTTAAGTAATTTATAAAGGTTATATTAAAGCGGGATTTTTTTATATCTCCTTAAAGCCTAGCATTATAAAAGCGACATATTATCTTTTTATATTATTCCTAATGCTTTTTTTTATTATCTATAAATATTAGGACATTATTAATATAAGTATTAATAAAAAGGTTAAATAATTTATATAATTAAGAATTAATAAAGTTTTATTATTAAATGGAGCTAATTTTTAATTTAAAGGGTAGGACTAACTATTAAAACACTTTTTATTAAATCCGGAATATTATTAAATATTAGGATTTTAAAGCTATTTTTAATCTATAAAAGGCTTTAATAATATTAAGCTTAATATAACATTTAGCCTTCCAGTTATTATATATAATACTATTTAAATCTAGCGTTAAAATAATATAATCTTTTAAATATTTATTTTTCTATTAATAATTAATATAAAACTATTTTTTAATTAAATTTAGTTTAAAGGTAAAAAGGATAAAGGAAGTATTTACTTTTATATAAAGTTTAATAAAGCTATAAATTAATAATTTATCTATTACTTCTTTTTTTAATAATAAATATTAAATTAAAGTTTAATATTAAAGGGGGCTATTTAAAAGGTTATTAGTAATAATTTTAAGGATTATATTATATTCCGGTTATAATAGGAATAACTTATTAACTTCCACTTTTAAAAAAAACCCTTTTAAATAGGTTAGCTTTTTAGGAATTAAGTAATAGATTAGCTTAATATATTTAAAGTCTTCGTTTTATAAAAAAGAAATATATTTATTATTAAAGGTTTTTTAAATCTTTTTTAATATTATTATAATTACCTTTAAGGTTACTTTAACAAATTTAATAAGTATTAATTTATTTAAAAGTACCCTTTTCTTCTATTGTTTTTATTTAAAGTTTAATTTAATCTTTTTAATAAATTATTAAATAATCCTTTTATTTCGAAATTGCTTTATTTTTAAGCTTTCCGGTTAAATATTTTCTTAAAGGTATATAACTAATCGCTTTAAAATAATATATTTCTTTTTTAAAATAATATCCTTCCGATTAACATTCTATTAAATAGTGGGGTTAATTTATTAATTATTAAAAAACTTCTATACAATTTTAATTATAAATAAAAATAGTGCAAAAGGAAATAAATCTTTTAATTAATATAAT